TTAAACTCGAACCCGCGACCCTGTCACTCTAATATTAGTAACAACTTACCCTTTGCATAATCACATCGGATTAGAATTATATTATATTTGATAATTTTAGAAACATTCAACAAAAAGCTATTACTAAAGTTAATAGCTCGTTTGATTTAATTAATCCTTCTAATAATGGTAATTCTGGTCAATATATTTAATTAGTAGGGATATTTTAAAAAGGACAGAACTTATTTATTTAAATAATTAACTTAACTAATTTTTTAATCTAATCAAATTAATTAACTGACTTTTATATTAAGGACCAGAGATAATACTCCTCTGGTTCTTAATATAGGACCCAATTATTGAGTTGGTTTTGACCCTAAATATAATAATCATTTCTCATATTTATCAATTTTCTCTAAATTACTTCTATGGATATTCTCTCAACCATAATCAAATGGAAGAGAGAGATAGGGTATTAAGAAAGATGATTATGGTGTTTTAGAGAAAATGTATTACTTTTTTTATAATTAACTAACGTACCTAACTTCCTTAATCTAATCAGGTTAGTTAAATGGATTTTATATTAAGGACCGAAAAAGTATTACATATTTTTATTGGTTTTTATTGGGTTATAAATCCCACTCTTCGCACGAAAATCAAATATGTATGTTTTCACGTCCTGTGAATCTGGCGACTTCATGTAAACTTTACATTATATACAGTTTAAGGATTTTAACTAATTCACACGACTTTCGAATGAAATCAACAGTGGTTGTCCTCGGTGATAATTGAGTGACGCCAATCATTGAAAGTATTTTTCTCTGTGTTAATGAATTATGCTGTTTTTTAAATTAATTAATCCCGCATCATCCCATATCACGTATGACATGGAATTCTCTAAAATTTCCTGCATCTGAAGAAAATTACGCAAAATATGAAGAAAATGATAGAGGGAATATTTAATTTTAAACAGAAGAAAAAAATTGTCGAGATAATCAAACTCAAGAGGATTTAATAAAACTGAGAAGGTCTAAATCCATGGTCTGGAAAGAATTACTATTGTCAAGCTGGAAATGATCACCCACAGCGGGCGAGATAGTTGAATTCGATTCCATATAGATAAAAATATTATGTGTGTGTGTGTGTGTATCTCACGATCCGCATCACGTGGTCTTATTTAAAAATAAAAATCTAATGACAGATTGCACCGAGAGAGGCTAGATTAGCTAACCTATTTAAACAAGTAAAATAGAGTGCATGCTGGCTAAGAAAAGGGGTCATTTTTCTTTGGGATCCGTTTTAAATAATTATCTGTTGTCTTTCAATCTATTTTATAATCTTGTGATCTTTTAACGTGGTTTTCTTACGTAATCAAGATAAATTATATCCACAGCTTCATCAGATTTTATCATAAACCACGTAATCAGAATAGCTGATTTAAAATACAGCGAATATTTGTTAAGAATTACAGGGATCAATCAATATCTATTTAAAATCCATCGAAATTTAATCGGCTTCTGAATATCTCGAAATTCTCTAAGTTTCTACCACTAATTGACTTCGGACATCAAATAAGTTGAATTATGAATATGTAATCTAAAAATGGACAAAGATTTATACTTATTTTGTTCCTTAATTATTCCATAATGTTACACAAACGTCAGCAAGACGGTGAGGCGTTTAGAAAAACGTTGGAGAGTTGGGGAAAGAAAACTATTCCATGCTAAGCTCGAGAGGGGTTGCATGACCTGTATTTACTTTAAGAAAATATTTATATCAAGTTTCTTATATCTATTATGTTAAGTTTCTTAGTTACACCTAGTCACGTGTCTTGTTTTTAATATAATATCATTTACTTATAAACAAAATTGAAAAAAAAAACACATGACCATGTATAATTGAAAAACTTAAAATAATAAATATAATAAATTTGATATAAATATTTTTTATACTAATTGTCTCATCCTGACTATAACAACTAACAACTATTTTTTTTTAAGGGAAATTACGTACAGATCTCACAGAAAGCAATTTATTCATCTAAGGTCTCACGAAATGTCAAAATCACTGATAGGTCCCAAGAGACCTCAGAGTAATATTTTCAATTTGTAAAATGACATTACTGCCCCTCATATTCCAGATTTACATTTGCTCTGTCATTGCGATTTACAACCTCAGCAGTGACTATTAACAACCGAATGAGAGGGCATTAACAACCTAAGCAGTATCCGTTAACAACTCACTTTATAGAATCATATAACCTCCATATAAGAGTAAATTATAATCAAATAGTATAATACAACAACTTTAACACTAAAATGGGAAGCTTTTTGATATCATTAAGAATTTTAACTAAAGCCAATAGGATTATAGTAATATTTTAATGCGAAGATCCATTTACAACCTCAGCAGCGACTATTAACAACCGAATGAGAGGGCATTAACAACCTAAGCAGTATCCGTTAACAACTTACTTTATAGAATTATATAACCTCCGCATAAGAGTAAATTATAACCAAATAGTATAATACAATAACTTTAACACTAAAATGGGAAGCTTTTTGATATCATTAAGAATTTTAACTAAACCCAATAGGATTATAGCAACATTTTAATGCGAAAATCCATTTACAACCTCAACAGTAAGTATTAATAACCTAAGGAGAACTGTTAACAACCTTAGCAGTGTCTGTTAACAACTAACTTTATCGGATAATATAACTTCTAACTATAATTAACTAAATTATAACTAAATAGTTTTAAAGTTAATCTTATATAGTTGTTAGAGGTTATATTATCCTATAAAGTAAGTTGTTAACGGATACTGCTTAGGTTGTCAATGCCCTCTTATTCGGTTGTTAATAGTCGCTGCTGAGGTTGTAAATGGATCTTCGCATTAAAATATTACTATAATACTATTGGATTTAGTTAAAATTCTTAATGATATAAAAAAGCTTCCAATTTTAGTGTTAAAGTTGTTGTGTTATACTATTTAGTTATAATTTACGCTTATATGGAGGTTATATGATTCTATAAAGTAAGTTGTTAACGGATACTGCTTAGGTTGTTAATGTCCTCTCATTCGGTTGTTAATAGTCGCTGCTGAGGTTGTAAATCGTAATGACAGAGCAAATTGAATCTGAAATATGAGGGCCAGTAATGTCATTTTACAAATCGAAAATATTACTCTGAGGTCCCTTGGGACCTGTCAGTGATTTTGACATTTTGTGAGACCTTAGATGAATAAATTGCCTTTTGTGGGACCTGTACGTAATTTTCCCTTTTTTTCCCCTCCTAGTACGGTAACTTTTCTAGATCTCAGAAAGAAAGTACACCGTGAGATCTATTATTCAAGGTTTTGGTAAACTTTGATGTTACATATTGAAGTGGGGATATTAAATTTTTAGGACCTCGCAATAAGGTTCAATTATTTTACTGTCTCCTATATTATTTTTTTTATGACACCTCTATTATTGAAGGGCTTTTATCTGTGCACGTCAATATTTAAGAAATCCACGTGGAGTGAAGCCACTCATAGTATAATACACGGCGTGAAAAAAAACAATGGGAGAATATGTGGAGCAGTAAACGAGCACGACATGTATACCCAGACCTCAAATTCCCAACCATTCATTCGTTGACTTTATGGCTTTCATTATTACTCGCATTCCACTTTCCCTTCTCTCCTCCTCGTCTCCCTCATGCTCTCCCTAACCTCCTTTTGTCACGTCACCGTGCTCTTTTCTGGGCTGCTTCAAATATTACGTGCCACAATACAATGATAAATAAAATTAACACTGGGCCAGGATCAACCCCCAAAAAAAAAAGTTCAGGCAACACATTAATCAAAAAGTTTCATAATAACAAAAGAATCAATATCACAGGTTTTATTTCTGGATAAAGATTATCTTTTTCTCCCCACACCAAGCAAGCCTGTATGACTGTCAATGAACTTCCCTCCAGATTTTCCCGGCATCTTTTTTGTGCAAGGGACTACTCCTGCCTTCCCAATATATACACACACATACCAGAAATATTCTGTGATGTTTAAATTATAACTATATTATCCATTTAAAAGAATATATATTGGTTCGCTTTTAAATATAGGATCCCCTATGTGGTGTAATTCTCTTTTTTGTAACCATTGTTTGCGTTATCACATCATATGTTGGTGTGGTTTGCGGTTAAACAATGCTATTCAGGAAAGAAGTTTTGTAATTATGCTATCTTAGGCAAGAAGTTTTGTAATTATGCTATCTCAGGCCGCGATGTAGTTATTGCGGATGATAGTATTTACATTATAAAATGAATTTTATATTTATGATTGTTGAAGTATAATTATATTGTTAATTTGTTTTTACATTTTTCAGAAATATAAATAAAAAAGGTCAAAAATTGCAGTAATTTAAAGCTTCTAAGCGTCAGACATTATGCATCATTAATAATCGACAAATGAGTTGTAAAAACATTTAATTTAAGCTCAACTGAGCATGCATAGAATTATGACTCAATCTTGTTAGGATCCATATTTATTCTGTTTCTATTCTTACTGACTGGGATGTGATGCGATATGATTCTGTAATGATTATCCTGATTATTTTTTTTGTTCCAAACAGTTTATTATATTTATTATTTATTTAAAAAAAAGTACATGGACGAAAATAGGTATATTACTGTATAACAAACAAAAGGACGGCACCGCTGACGTGGAAATCAAAAGTAATAACGCGGCCTGAGAGTTACACCAGACCAGAGTGACGGGGAATTATCAGCATGAATGATTATTGGATGGCGATGTTGAGACTTGAGAAATAAATGAAAAGCGAACAGGAAAGGCATTCCTATCGGGCGAGGGATGGGCCCGCAGGTGACGTGGAGATTCTTTTGTAGGTAAGCTGTTGCGGACAGAACCGTAATTCAATGAAGAAAAGGAGGGTGTTTAAGTAATTACGCACCATGATCTTGCCATCGTGCCTGTTTGATTTCCGACCCCCTTGTCTCTCTTCCCCGCCCGGAATGAGATGCTCTGCCATCGCCTCCATTCTATCGGTTACAACAACGGTTTTTAGGAGGGAGAAGGAGAGAGAGACGCACAGTCTCACTACTACTTAAACTCATTGCGCTTCCTCTCATTCTCATGTCTAAAAACCCTAATGTTTCTTCTTTCCTCTTTGTCCCCTAACCTAATTCCTGTCTTCTCCTCTGTCTCTTACATTCTTTGAACGATGCGTCCTTCAAAGTCACGTCAAGTCCATCCCACCCCGGCTCAGGGTGCCCGCCTCGACCCTAAAATCTGGCGAGCATGCGCCGGTGGATCCTTTCGCATCCCTCCTCTTCATTCTAGGGTTTATTACTTCCCTCAGGGCCATATCGAGCATGCCTCGTCGGCTCCTCAATACCTTAACCCTCTCATCTTCTACAGGCCTTTCATTCCCTGTCGCGTCTCCGCTGTTGAATTTCTTGCTGACCCTGTCACTGATGAGGTATTTGCCAAGCTTTCGCTCCTTCCTTTGAGTGATGGCAACTCTGATCACTTTGGCGATTCCTTGGTAGCGCCGGACGATGACAAGATCGTGTCGTTCGCGAAAGTTCTGACGCCTTCTGACGCGAACAATGGCGGTGGATTCTCTGTTCCTAGGTACTGTGCTGACTCCATCTTTCCGCCTCTGAACTTCCAGGTCGACCGACCCACCCAGACATTGTACGTGACGGATGTTCACGGTAACGTCTGGGAATTTCGCCACATTTATCGGGGCACACCGAGGCGGCACTTGCTCACTACTGGCTGGAGTAAATTTGTCAATAATAAGAAGTTGGTTGCTGGTGATTCGGTGGTTTTCATGAGGAACTCCAGAGGGAAGATGTTCGTCGGGATTCGCAGAGCTTTGCGACTTGCTAAATTAACTGCGGTCGATTGCTCCATATGGTCTTCCCAACTTGGTGGGCTGAGAAATAAGCCTGAGGGGGAGCAGCAACGAGATGGCTATGTAGGTCCCAGAGGGAAAGAAAGGTTTTCAAGGGACGGGGCGGGGAAATTATCGGCTAAGGAAGTTTCCGATGCTGCAGAATTGGCAGCGCAAAACATGCCATTTGAGGTTGTGTATTATCCAAGGGTGGGCTGGTCGGACTTTGTGGTGAAGGCGGAAGTTGTGGAGAAAGCTTGGAATGTCGCATGGGCTTCCGGAATGAGAGTTAAAATGGCAATGGAGACAGAGGATTCGTCCAGGATCACCTGGTTTCAGGGGACAGTATCTTCTGCATCTGCTCCTAACAATGGGCCTTGGCGGGGTTCTCCATGGCGTATGCTTCAGGTATGGCTGCACAATTCTTTTGCTGCCTGTCTATTCTTGAAAGTTAAGTAACTAATGGGATTTTTCCAAATTAGATACACTTCGAGGAGTTGAAACTTGTGAATGATAGATTACACATTGTTTTTCTTTGGCCAGTTCTATCAAGAAAGAAAGAATGGCAGGCATGAAGCTTTGGAGTTTTAAGTCAACTACTAAGATTTAGATAGTTAAAGTTTGAGCTCTGAAGTTGCTTGTGAAATGTTTTGGCACAGGAAGTCTATGTTGCTTGGTCTGTTATGGAATGTCAATATTCATCTCGACATCATAAACATGTGCTCATTCATTAGCGTCTGTTATTTATGAAACATAAGATGTCTAATTAAACCTAGTTGCTTCTGGTTGGAGCCTGTTTTCGATATTGGAATGAAAATTGATTTGATGCTGTGCTTAATGTTGCTTTCAAAGTGATAGTGTGTGAGAGAGTTACAGAAAAATTAAGGCGAAATATGAGAAAATAATTTAGATTTCTTTTTTTTTTTTAAAAAAAAAAAGCTTCTAGACAAGGTAGACGGCGTAAGGTAATTTGTCTACTGCTCATATCTTGTCACTAGTCTTAGCGGTTTTATTCTGTGCAACTTGTTTTGCATATATTGTTTGGAGACTTCAAGGATGTGGTTACATTAGATTCAATGAGCACTGGGTGCATTACTAGAATTTTATTGAGAATGGGAATGATGGGTGGCGGCACATATCACTACCCCCAATCAAAGTAAAAAACCGCTAAAATTGTATATCCTTTTCTGTTCATGTTCTGAATCACTGGCGACTACTTCTTGTGAAGTAAGGTCAACTTGTGGTTCATATGTTATCACAACGGACGTAGAATTTTTTGGCAATTATGGCTATAAACTGCTCTTTTTAGATGTATCTTTGCAAAATCAGATTGAAATTATTATTAAAGTTATTTATATTGTGCCGGCTAGGTAGTTTCTTGGAAGCTCTCTCATGAGTGGATCTGTAAGGGAAATGCAGTGTCTTTTATTCAGATGTATTGATAAGAAGAGAAAGGAGTAAACTATCTCTTATTTAACCTTGTTGGCACTTAACATAGTGGCGCCAAATTTTCCTTCCTCTAAATACAGAAAATTACCTAGCATGCATGAGAGCTTTGCCATCCTTCTCTTTTCAGGTTCATCTGGATTAGAATCCTGTTAAAGAAAGTTGAATAATTTCTCTAGAACATGGGGCTCTGTGACTCCGCCTTTGATTTATGCTTCCACAGTTCTCACAATTGCAACATGTTAGATTCTCATTGTTACGGAAATCCCTCTCTATGCGTGTGTTTGTGTATGCATGCTTTGTTAGCCATTATATGGACTAGACTTTTAGGATTGGGAGGACTGTTCCTTATTTTCTTTCATAAGTCAATCATAGGATTATATTTGTTGCGATAAGAAATTTGTTGCCGCAAAAGATGTTGAAGAATTGATCATCTTTCCCATATTATTGGTGTTTTCCTAACAGTTTCTGATCTCTATATCTTAGATTATGTGGGATGAACCAGAAGTCTTGCAGAATGCAAAGCGAGTGAGCCCGTGGGAGGTTGAACTTGTTTCCTCTGCACTTCCCCCTAATACGGTATTCCCTCCTGCAAAAAGGTTTAGGGCTGCTCAGTATTGCGGCGCGGCAACTGATAGAGAGGGAGACCCTTTCTTTTCTATGACAGGTTTGACTAATTCAACAATGGGGCAATTGAACCAATCATTGTTGAATTACAATACTATTCCTGCTGGCATGCAGGGAGCCAGGCAAGATCTATCTTCTGTATCAAGTCTCTCCAACTTTGAAACTGGTAATTCTCATCTGTATATCGTTAATACAGCTGGTAACATGGTACCCAAGATGAAAACTTCTATGTCAACAGAGCCAAATATTGACAGTTCTCAGTCTAATAGCTTGTCACCAGAAAGCCAGAGTAGTTTGCATGGCTCTGGCGCAGAATTCGCTGGGACACGAGGCTGCTGCATGACAAAACAGGGTGCAACTTCAATTCAGCTATTCGGTAAGCTTATTCAATTGGAACAGCCCGTTGAAAGTGGTTCCCATGCTTTTGGGTGCACGGGAGACGAGGGCAGTAATGGCGGCAATGAGACTGAAGGCGTTGACCAACCATTGGGCCATTCTCTAACCAACAGTTGCTCGCTTGGCTTGATGTCCAATGCCAATGAGCATTCTGGGCAGTAGAGGCATGTTAACTAGTTATTGTGCCCTGTTCAGCACATATTAGTATATAGCTGTACAGGTATAGTTATGTTTGAGTAAGTTGAACTCGTCATTAGTGTACTTAGATCTTATGGTTTGTGGACAATTTAAGTGACATGAATTCTGAGAATGCTTAAGAGGTTCCTTTATTTTCTCTCACTCGCTTTGTCCCTAATTAGAAATTAAACGTTTGTGTAATCAGCTGGTTTTCTCTATTGAAAATTTTATCCTAGTTTCTTTCTTTTTTTCTTTTTTCTTTTTAAAAATAATTCTCTGGCATATGCTGCGCGAATCTGAGATGAGTCTGACAGCATCCGCTCTTACGGGTATGGATAACTGATCCACTTATCCCAATTCAAGGCCGTCAGATTACTAGTTTATGTTCGGGTTTTTTTTTTTTTTTTGGTTTATATGAAATTATCGTATTTTTAATTAGTTATTAACATTCACTACTGCTAGTTTCAAAGCAATCTGATTACTTTAGTTCGGTATATAACCGTTGATTTACCATTCAATATTCATATCAAATACTTATCTTTAATTATTTTATGCAACAAATTTTGTTATTTTGTCCATCTATAAAAATTATTCACTTAACTGACACTATCAAATTTAGGACAAATTAGAGAATGCGATTGAACAATTTTCCGTGCATTGGGAGTAATTAGTAATATACTACTTCTGGTCCTAATTATAAGAGCTAATTGATTATTTTGATGATATTAAGGAAGTAAGTTAAGTTAGTTATTTATAATAAATAAGTGTTGTCTTTCCTAAAATATCCTTGCTAATCAAGTATATTGACTAAAACTACCATTATTAGAAGGATTATTTTAGAAAAAAAAATATAAATATGAAAGACAAAGTGGATTAGGATCTTATAATTAAGATCAAAATAAAAATCAAATGAAGTCTTATATTAAGGATCGGAGGTAATGTATCAATATCCATATACATAAGTGTATATATATATTTTACAATATTGATTTTATATAAACTAACGAAACAGTCCAATACTGATATTTTATATGAAGGCTATAAACTAAATTTTGCATAAAATTTAGATAATATTTTTCAAATAAACAAAAAATTTTAAATACTATACTGGGGAAAAATCGTATTTTTATTGATAAATGAAGAAAAAATCGATTTACATGCGAAATTTAACGTTTTATTTTGCTGCGGATAAAAAATAAAATAAAATTTTTTAATGAAGTTCCCCGCACCTCCCCCGGCTGCCAAGTGTTTCCTGGTCTCCTGCCCAATTTCCCTGCAAAAATTCTGCGGAAAGCTCTTTCGCTCCTTCTCATAAAAATGCGTTGCACGTACTAAGCGAGGAGTGAGAATTAAGAGAAAGAAAAGATAGCAAATCCATTTTGTATATCCAATTAGGGGTCTTTTTTGGCAGCTTCCCATAGTTATCACATTGCTCAGTGCCTTACTGGGTATAGCCTTTTCAATGGCTGCCTTTGTTACCAATCATTATCTCTTGGCTTCCAGTCCTTGTTCTGCATCCTTGTTTTCAAAGCCCTTGAAAGTCCTAGAGCCCGACATCAGACTTCCATGTCTTTCCTATCCATCCACTCGTCACCCCATTTGTGCGTGTAAGCCTATGTTAGGGTTTTCAAGCAAGTATTTCCCAGAGGGCCATTTTAGTCGAGAAAATATCTTCAAGTCTTACATTGCCGCCGAAGATTCTAGCCCAAATGTACGTTTTCTTTGATAACTTATCAACCGCACCCCACTAATTTCGTGTCTCTGCGCAAGTTGAAATTTCGTGTACAATTCTTTTGTTGATAAATTTGTTGAGCTTGTTGCTTGTAAGTCGATATTGAAATTGGATAACTGATCTAGGTAAAAGTTGTCTCTGATGGTTTCTAGTGCCGACAGCAACTCACTGCTATTGCTTCAATTTCAGAAATTGGGAATTGTAATTTAATCATCCAGTGTCGTTCTAGACCCGTGGGAGGATAGCATGCTCATAACAGACTTAAAGCAAAAAATGTTGTGAGGCGGAATTTCACTTCGTAGAAGCTCAGTATGTATAGGTTCTATACTTCTAGGCATGCGGGGAATTCTAAACCTGTATACTGTCATCTTGATCCTATCGTATGAGTCATGGTATTTTTTCTTGAAATTTGCAGCTACAAATGATGCTAATTATTTACCTCCCTTTTATGGTAATAATGCTTTATTGCCCTCTATTTTTTTCCCAGTGAATTTTTCATTACTTAGTATACTGGGTTCCCTTATCTAAACTAATATAGCCTGTGTTTGTCTTAGAATCAGTGGTTCTCCTTATTGACTTCTTATTGCCATAGATTGGTTTTGTACCATTGATTTCTCCTGTGATAAATCCCAAGCTAAAGCCTCTGTTTCTGTTTGTTCTCCTCAGACAGATGATGAAAATGAGGACATTCAGAATGACGCGAAATTGACCGGTAACGAAGAAGATAAAGTATTACTACCATCCAGCTTAATGGCTCTCATCGAAGCATACAAAGAAGCAAGCCTTGATGGAGATGAAAAAACTGCATCTCATATTGAAATGAGGATAACATTAATGGCAAATCAAAAGAATGAACTGATTAAAAGAGTGTCGACTTTATCAGCTGAGAAAGCTGCTTCAAAAAAGAAATATCTTCGTTTGCAAGCAGACTTTGATAATTTTAGGAAAAGATTTGAGAAAGAAAAGCATAACATACAGTCCAATGCCCAAGTAGAAGTCATTGAAAAACTTTTGCTGATGGTGGACAATTTTGATAGAACCAAACAACAAATTAAACCAGCAACAGATAAAGAGAAAAAGATTGATGCTAGTTATCAAGGTATATACAAGCAATTTGTTGAGATTTTGAGGACTCATCACGTGGCTGTGGTAGCAACAGTGGGCAAGCGTTTTGATCCTTTGGTAAGTGAAGTTTGACAAAGTCTTTGTTGATCTTGTATGTGAATTAGGTTCATTTCCCAGGTCAGAAAAAAAAAGAAGCTTCATTTCTTCCTTCTATTGAAATAATTTCACCATGCTGCAGAGATTGGACAGATTTCTAGGCAATTTCATGCAATCTTGCTGTGATTTGCTTCAGACAACTTCTGCAATCTTGGAAAAAAAGAAATGAAGGGAACTTTACATCCAAATACAAGACCCCCCCTTTTTCTTAAATTATGATTTTATTGAATTGTGTGCTTCTGTAGTTTAGCTTCAAGCCTGCTTGTATGATACATTTCCAATTGACTTACCAGACTGGATTGGAGCTCTATTTGAACGTATTGTCAGGTAATTTTGGTGATTAGGTTGGAAGGCTGATGAAAGTAGAAATGAAAAATGAATCTTTATTGCGTAAACACAAGGGTTGAGCAAGGATCTCGCTTTTCCAATTCTGACAGCCTAGGAAAATCTCCTAATTACAATGGAAATAAGTAAATTATTTAGCTATCGAAAAATACTCCTAGAGTAACTATTCAGAGGACTGAGAAATAACATCAGCCAAATGATAAAATAATCATAAATCAACAAAGTTGACAGAGTCTTGCTAGTGGAGCATTTCCAATTGACTTACCAGACTGGTTGGAGCTCTATTTGAACGTATGTCAGGTAATTTTGGTGATTAGGTTGGCGAAGGCTGATAAAGTAGAAATGAAAATTGAATATTTTTTTGCGTAAACACAAGGTTTGAGCAAGGATCTCCGCTTTTTCCCCCAATTCTGACAGCCTAGGAAAATCTCCTAATTACAATTGAAATAAGTAAATTATTTAGCTATCGACAAAATACTCCTAGAGTAACTATTCAGAGGACTGAGAAAAACATCAGCCAAATGATAAAATAATCATAAATCAACAAAGTTGACAGAGTCTTGCTAGTGGAGCTTCCCTAAATGTAGTGTGATATCTTACCCTGCTCCCCCATTATCTCATCCTTCCATGTCAACCACTTCGTACTTATTCTGATCACAAGCTCCATCCTCTCGCCACCTATGAGTCTCATGCCTTGTGGAATTAGTTGCTTTTCATCAAAGGCACGCTATGAATATGACAGATGAACTTGCAAACTATTGTAGATGTGATGAATAAAAAACCTAAACTATGGTCTCCACTCTCTATGCCTTACTTGCCTTTCGTAAACGGCATTCATGATGAGCTTATGCCATGCAACTACTATGTTTTTTCCTGCATGAGGAGAGCATAATTGACGAGAAGCAAATGAACCTTGAAAAGGTGGCATGCATGGCTGTGAAAATTGTTCTAATGGATTCTTTTTGTTGTAGGTACATGAAGCCATAGGACGTGAGGAGTCCCAGGAGTACAAAGAGGGAATCATCATTCAAGAATCCAGACGTGGATTTTTGCTTAGAGATCGGCTTTTAAGGCCAGCACTGGTCAAGGTTTCTTCAGGGCCTGGCAACAAGAAAGCTACAGTGACCCCTGACAACTCCAAGGAGCAACCAGCAGCTACAGCTGGAATAGAGATTGATAATATTCTTCAATATGATCGCTCCTTTTGCAGTAATTTACTTAAATCTGCCTACCTCATTATATAAATGTTAATCGTCTCTACTGGAGATGCTTCAGTAATTTTATATTCTTATATGTTGCACCTTTGATGTAATGTAATTTACAAGTCGTCATTTGCAAGTGCTCTGCAGGATTTATTTCATTCCTCAGAAGATACTTGAAATCAACATTCTGGAAATATTATTGTGCTAGCTGATGGTGCATATACCACAAGTTCATGTCATTGTTGTGCAATACGTTTTGATCGCAGTCAGAATCGGTTCTTTCTTGGAATTTTTTTCATTTAAAATTACTACGGACATCTGCTCCCCCTCTCTCAGCGCATCAGCTTTTTCAACCTCTGCATCATAGGAAGAGGTCAGTGGACTAAATAAAATTAGAATATTTCGCTTTCTTCTTTGAATGGAGATCTGTCAGTTAAATACACAGACGGGCTTACAATTTGAGCATCTCATCTCCATATCTTTTGTGCTGACCTTAAACTTCCAGCCCTTTTGTGAGTAGGTGGCACGCCATCTTAGAAAAACAGACAACCAATTGCTCGGGAAGTCAGCAGAAATTCTATCTATTTTTGGAAGACGGACGCAACATATGCATGTCGTCTTTCTCCCTTCTAATGTTAGAGATTATTGTAGCTGTGATCATTGTAGGAAATTAGAAGACCCTCCATTAATGGTGGCAATAATCTCTTGTCAAATTGTGATCTTTAAGGAGGGGGGTTTATATACGGAAGTTATTTACTTTTTTCACTGGGATATGTTAGAATTTGTTTGAGTAATTGAACCTTTTTTTTAAATACATATAAAGGAGTTTGTATATCTGCATGTAGTCAATTGAGTTGTACTCTCTCCAAATTCGAGTGGTATGACTTTTCTGTACTTTTTAGGTCTTGTATTTGATTCAAAAATTGCTACTTCTATAATTGGAGCCTCGAATGACTGGACCCATTTCCCCAGAGAATAACGAGGCACTTGATTTCTATCTCATGAAACCAACGCATCTTGCGCTCTAACCCATGCTGATCACAGTATGGGGGAATACCCCCCTCCCCAAAAAACAAAACAAAAAAAAAAACAAAAGAAAAACCGAAAAAAGGTTAAAAAAACAACAAAACTTTTTTCTCTCTCCAAATTCAAGTCACAGTCATGATACATGAATTTGGGCAAGACAGTCCCTTTTGTGAGCATGGAAGGATACTCCGCAATATAGTATAAGTTATTAAGGTGTGTGTGGCAAACCAAAACATAGGTTTCAGAAGCATTTTTCGCAAACGAGATAACCTCCTCCACATTTACTTTCGTATCCGTAAAAACACTTTTGAAACACATGGTTTGGTTTCTATCCAAACACCTTCTCAATACAGAGTTCCCATCAGTTTGCATAATCTATGAAGTTCCATTGCTTTCTCCTCCCTCCCCCTCAACAATAAGCTGCAATCATCTCATTCCGCAAGAAGGTGTGTTTTGTTTTCTGCTCACTGAATGCTTTCTGGGCATCGTATGAGCAACCGTATGTGTGAGTACGATACTCGCATAAACTCACTATTAAGTGATATAATCTTTTGATTTTTCACTACGAACTGCCATAATCTTAATATTATTATTGCTACTCTTGTTATCAATAAACTCACTATTAAAATTCTATAATTTCGGAAAATCTGTGCCTTTTAAAATTTAAGATCATCATTTTCTAGTTACTGTTTAAACTCACGCAAAAGCGGATATCAAAACGAAACATTTCTTAGTGAAATATAAATCGTTAAAACCATGCATAACATTCCAATTTGTTTTCAAGAAATATTTTTTAGTCTGAGTTATTTATTTGAAAATCATTTACATGGAAGCAAAATAAAACATAATAAGTATTTTAACTAAATATTGAAATAATTCAAGATATTCGAAATGCAGAACAGTTTTATTTTTTTTAATATTTCATATATTCCATTTATAAGCTTTAAATTTATAGAGGAGTACTGTCTGTTTGGTAAACTTCAATTCGGATTTATTTTAGCATGTGTTTTTTTTCCCCTAACTTTGTCATAAATTATTTATTCTTTCTTCTTTAACCTGGGTATATTTGAAAAAAAAAATTTACTTACTTATTATTTTTAATTAATTTTAAGTGATTTTCATTATACATAAATTAATTGTTTGAAGTTTACAATAAAAAAGATATACATTAATACCTATCAATAATAATATTAATTAATTACTCTGTTCAAGGCGCATTATCGTACCACTGTTTCTTATTATAAGTTACTTGAAATTGAACCCAAAAGTTTATTTTAAAATATGAGTCACTTGTCATATAATTAATGATCTTTTTCCAATTTTACCCCTATTAATTTAATAAAAAATTAATTAATCTCTCTCTCCATCTCTCTCTCAACTTTTCATTTCTATGCAATCCATCCCCCCCCTCTCTCTCTCAACTTTTAATAAGAATAAATATAAAAAAAACTGATTAATTTAATATATTTTTTAATTTGCGGGTTTAAAATACAAGTAATTTATAATAAGAAATAGAGTGGTATTTATCAGTCTATACATACGACTATACCAGTTAAAAACGTAAATGGGCCCACCTGATTCTCCGACCAACAAAACAAGGAGGATCCCCAATGAACCTAACTGCCATTACGTCCAAGTTCCCTCTTCTCGTGCGATTCCATTGTTTCGCGCTTCTTCGCTTGCACATCGCATATGTCTGACGCTACCGGCTACCATCCAGCAAAAGCATATCTCCCCTGCCCCCGCATACCATCCACGTTCATTCTCTTTTATCTCTCTTCCTCCCTGAGGCCATCCCTCAGTTTCGACCCGAAAGCCTACTTTTTTAATCTCTCTCTTTCGCTTTTCCCATTGTTCTATGGAATCATCTCGTCCGTCTTCTAGCCCACGCCGATCTCCTTTCCGCTACTTCCAGTGTTCCTGTTTCAGACGGTGTTGTCGTTGTTTCTGCTATTTCTACTCCTACCCCTAAGCTAGTTTTCCTAACAAGAAGTTCTACCTCTCATTTCTTATCTCAAGGACGTGCAAGTCAGGAAATATGGATTTGTCGGGTGCTCAGTCGGGCCTTTCTCTGGGCTTAAACTCTCAGATTTCGTCACCGGCTTTGGCGGGCCATGTCAATGATGATTTAGCTTCCTTTCGACAGAATTCGAGCTTTCGTAGTTCCTCCAACACAACCCCTCTTGTGCCGTTGCAGTTGCTCGAGGAAAAAGACGACAAGGTTAGGGTCAAATCCAGTGAAGAAACAGAGGATGAGGAGGAAGAAGAAGAGGAAGGAGCAGTGGAAGATGAAGCGATCGACTTTATGGGTCGGCCTGTGTGTGTGAAGAGGAAATTAGAGGGACAGCCGAATTTCTCTTCGAATCTTCCGAAGCGGCTTGCTGTCGATTCCGGGCTGGACGCGAGGCGAGCTTCAGTGCAGGCTTTCGCGAATCAGCCAATGGAGGTAGCTGACCCCGAAATTCATGAAATAATGGGGAAGGAAAAGCGGAGACAGTTCACAGGGATAGAATTGATTGCTTCTGAGAATTTTGTATGCAGAGCTGTCATGGAAGCTCTGGGAAGTCATTTGACGAACAAGTACTCTGAAGGAATGCCTGGAGCCAAATACTACACAGGAAATCAGTTCATTGATCAGATGGAATTGCTTTGCTGTAAGCGTGCATTGGCTGCCTTTGATCTCCATCCAAGCAAGTGGGGCGTGAACGTTCAGCCTTACTCATGTACTTCTGCCAACTTTGCGGTGTACACTGGTATATTGCATCCAGGGGATCGAATTATGGGTTTGGATCTGCCATCTGGTGGGCATCTGAGTCATGGATATTATACCCACAGTGGAAAAAAGATTTCTGTGGCATCGATATTCTTTGAAACTCTTCCCTACAAAGTCAATCCTCTAACAGGCTACTTAGACTATGACAAGCTTGAAGAAAAAGCCTGCGATTATCGCCCCAAACTACTTATATGCGGAGGCAGTTCGTATCCTAGAGAATGGGATTATGCAAGGTTTAGGAAGATTGCTGATAAGTGTGGGGCTGTTTTGATGTGTGACATGGCTCATATTAGCGGGCTTGTGGCAGCTAAGGTTTGTGTTGAATTATTTCCTTTCCAAAATATGGCCTTTTTAATTAAATAATTGATAATTGATAGCACTTATGTTACAACCCTGGCACTTCAAGTTAATTTCATTTGGAAGTTAGAGGCAGTTCGGCTGTGTGTGTTTAAAACATCTAAGAGATAGTTAATATCCTCTTTCTGGGAAATAGGATTGAGCTGAATTAACATCTGCAGACTTGGCTTCTGTCTTTTCCTTAGAGATATAGAGAGCCTTTTGCCATCTTCCAAAGGCAGTAGTATTAAGTAGTAATATCTCTAGAGAGTAGAGACAAGTATATGATTCTTGACCAATTTCTTAAACAGGAATAAAACATAACATTACAAGACCAATCGCCTTTTATTTCTTGATTATTCTTGATTAACTGTGCATTGGTTATACTTGTATTTTTTATAGGTCATGTAGTTTTAGGTTTTTTTAGCATAAATTGTCAATTGAAAATAAAATGTATTTATATTATGTTGAAAGTTTGGAATTCCTTCATATATTCTTGTTAATTTTTTATTTATTAGTTTCTTTCCTGTTAAGCTATTTGAATTTTGCAGTTCACTGTTGAATGTGTTTATAACTGTATTGGCGTTCGTTCGATTTCACAGGAAGTTGCTAGCCCATTTGATTACTGTGATATTGTTACTTCAACAACCCACAAAAGTCTCCGAGGTCCAAGGGGAGGTATCATCTTTTATAGGAAAGGTCCAAAACCTAGGAAGCAAGGCCTGGCTCTTAATCATGGGGATGATGGTAATTATGACTTGGAGGAAAAGATAAACTTCGCTTTATATCCATCCTTACAAGGAGGCCCACACAATAATCACATTGCTGCTCTTGCCATAGCCTTAAAACAAGTTGCAACTCCAGAGTACAAAGTATACATGCAACAGGTGAAGAAAAATGCGCAGGCGTTAGCATCTGCTTTGCTGAAAAGAAAATGCAGACTGGTAACTGATGGCACTGACAATCACTTGTTGCTCTGGGACCTAACTGCACTCGGCTTACTTGGTATTCTTCCAATCTGTCTTTAATTTTGTTTCAGCATTTATAATAAAAAATTATGCTATTAATGCATTTAAAATGAATATGCCGGGCGACCTTCAGATTTGAGAGCAGTGTCACTTGCTGAGCTTTTTCTCTTAGTTTTCTGACCAACTGTGTCTTGGTTGATTTTCACTTTCCTTAGTGGTAAACTGAATGAGTCAAATCATTGGCATTATATTTCGCCTCCTTATAATCATATGTAACTGGTACTGATAATAAATTCATTTTTCACCAGTCCAACAAGATCAATGACTAGTTATTTATTCATCTCCGTGCGGTGCATGGCTGTTCTGAAAGCCCAGATATTGTTTTTTAGTTTTTACCAACATTTTTTGCCCACTGATTTAGGCTTTGTAGATCCTATTTTTTGAGTAGCAATGTTGTTATTTATCTATGTATCCTGATAGTTGCTAACATTGTTCTTCCCCCTTCTCTTATAAATTATGTCATGGTCGAACTTGTTATAAGCATGCTTTCTAATTTATTTTACTCTGTACTGCAGATAGAAACTATGAGAAGGTCTGTGAGGCTTGTCATATCACACTCAACAAATGTGCCATTTATGGTTCTATTTCACCTGGAGGAGTGAGAATCGGTGAGCTGCCCTGCCACAGTACAATCTGAAATTATAGATTATGTTTTAGCGACCTGATGTTTATGGTTAGATGCTTGGATATTGCTGCAGCAATAGTTAATTAGGTTTCTATCGTTAGCATATTAATTAACCTATGCTTTGCCTACAACTCTTGGTTCGTAATCTTTTCAAGTGAAATCAATCATTGTAGATCCAATTTCCATATATTTTGAACAAGGGTCCTAATTTTTTTACGGGATCTAATTTGTAGCAAATAAGAAGAACATCTATAGTGCTCGCCTTGAGATGTTCAAGAAGCATCCATAATCACCTTTTGTTGCAAATTCAAATTTTTTACTTCGAGTTCTTAGGGGCCCATATGGTTATATATTTTCTTTCTTTAATCCAATCAAGATTGAATTTTCTTAGTGTCCTTGTATTTCCCTGGTGCTCATGCCCCTTATTTCATGGATGTTCAGGTACTCCTGCAATGACATCAAGAGGTTGCTTAGAGGATGATTTTGAGATCATAGCTGATTTTCTTCTGAAGGCAGCACAGATTACGAGCAATATACAGAAGGAATATGGAAAATCTTGTAAAGATTTCCTCAAAGGTCTTCAAAATAATAAAGATATTGTTGAGCTCAGAAATCAGGTTGAGGCATTTGCTTCCGAGCTTCCGATGCCAGCATTTGATATTTGATTCAACCATTTAAGTAGGCAGCCTCCACATTTGGCATGGTGACCAATCCACTCGGTTTCGCTCTTCTGCTTACTCTGACCTTTGCAAAGGAAGCTCCCTAGGATCATATACACAAACGGGGCACAGATTAGTTTGCCTCGGCATACATCATTATGTCGTAACAGTTTATCGGGGTTCATGTACTGTACAAAATATTCCCTTTCCACTAATTTTATGGATACCCTTTGCTTGTTTATGGAAGAAACGACTGTAATTTCAGGAACTCGTTCAGGAGAGGTCTTTTGAGTGCACCTTGTTCTGGGGACTACATACTGTTGAATTCTCGGATTGATGTCGCGCGAACTATTCTGGGGACTAGGCGTTGTTCTTGGTTTCTTTAATTTATATCTCCTGTCTGGTACATAGTATTGAAAATAAGAAGTAATATTTAGGATTGGGATTGGAAAGACTTATTAAAAGAGTTTTGAGTCTTGGGAATTGCATGTTACTTAGAATTAGACAAACTCATATAGGTAGAGAAAGGTGACATTTTCTAATCCCACCTATATGGGGTTTGTTTAATTCTAAGTAACGAGTAATCTTATACTAAACACTCTTTTAATAGATTTTTTAATCCTAATCTCAATTCTTACTTTTTATTTTTTAATGTTTTGTATCAAAACAGGACTTATAAAGCCTGAAAACATTTTGCAATTCTGTTTTTTTTTTTGGTTACCTTGTGGGAGATCTGAATAGCAACTGTACTTCATTGACTTTGGTTCTTTTCTCTATTGCCACGCTCCTTAATGCCACAACACATTGCTTTATTGTCTCTGGCCACCGTTTCTGCCATTGAAGCATCCGGCATGCTGGCCTAAAGCTAATATGTAAGTCATCTGTTTTGGCTCTTTCATAAGTATTGTATTGTTTCTTCTTTTTAGGCAGCACTTGTATGAAACCCTTATAAGGAGGCAAGGCATGAATTTCTGGCAAGGGATAAAAGGCATGAGATACGGTTTGAAATGAGAAAGTGACTGTTCAAATTTTGCTACATATTATGCATCCCCAAAACCCCAAAAAAGTGAAAGATTGAAGAATATTTGAAAGAGAATAAAATTTTGAGAGAGAGACTTGGCAGGTAAGGCGATACGGCGCCAAGCTTTTTATCATGATTTGCGTTGCTTTCAAAGAGAACCGAACTGGACAAAAGCCTTCCATGAGCAAAAAGAAGCTGCTTCTGACATTAAAGAGTCTCCAGGAATCTCAGAATGCGCCTTGCCTAGCGGCCCTTAGGCCGCCCTTTTTCCATTTCACTTTCAGTACTAAATCATTAATCATTCACTATACACTAACTACCTCTTTTAATGCTTCCGTCTCGACTCTCGAGAGTAAAATTTTTATAAATTCTACACCGACAATGAATTATCACTGTTCACTTAACGGTAACGGCCTGCAACAACGATAGGGTGTTTTTTATTTATTTATTTATTTGGTGTGGTCGTTTTGACATTTGATTTTGATTAATTCTTCCTCTAATATGCTTCTTGTTTAACTATAACGTTATAACACACGAGGAATCTAAGTTTGTCTTACAATTTAAGTAATTTGCTTATCCTGCGAGATAATTAATCTACTGCCTGTATCGTCTCAGATATAGAACCACATTTAATATGAGAATCTTTTCCCCTGCTTCCTGCGGGAAAAACTTGGCCACAAAGTCCCAACTACGTAAACTGTAATCCAAAAAGGGTTAAAAAGAAAAAAGAAAAAGAAATGAAAAAGAGAGGACCGCAAGAGTGAAAGAAAATGGAACGGGTGGACGATGCGGCACCCCAGCAACTGATTCCTCTACACAGTTGCTTTCTTGCTTTTAGTTTTTCAATTTCAACTATTTTTTCCCCTCTGATCAGCTCGGTCGCTCGCTCTTCACCTATGGCTACATAAGTCCAAAAGTTTCTTCCTTCCTTCAACAATCTCGTCAAAGAAGTCGTCGAGCTGTCCGATGATGTTCTCTGCTCCGGATCTCATCATCCCAAGATACCCTCTCAGATTCTCCACTCTCTCTCTCATGCCCACCTCTGTTTCCCACTGAACCGCCATTCCCTGCGATCCCCGACGCTCCAATTCTCCCCTGAGCCTCCATCGTCACTTTTGATCTTCTGAACTCGTACAATAAAACGCCCGGCGCTCCATTGCACTGGCCGATCTCCGCCGCCACTCTCTGCTGTAACCTTGCCGCCGAGATCATGAACGCCGATCCCAGGAACAATCTTCCCTCGTATTCACCTCCTAGGATGAAATCCGAGGAATCAGGCCAGCAATACACCAAGCCGTATAGCAGAATGACGAGCAACAGTGAACTGACATTTCTCATTGCGTACAGTACTCCCCTGAACCCACTGAACCCGTTTAGCTTCGATTCGATCGAGAGCTTGTCCTCGAAACGGAGGGAAAGCGGTTGAATTCTTGTTTCGATCAAAGCTCTGTTCTCTTCTGCTAACCCCATAGCTTCTCTGCGACAACCCGAGATTGCTCGAATAACCTGCTTCAGGAACAAGAAAAGCCTGTTAATTCAGGGCTAAAACTTCAATTGCTGTATGAAAAGAAGCAAAGGAAGAAACGAAGATTGTGATCGACCTGACCTGGCGAGATAGTTGTGGGGTGAGATGAGGATGAGATTCGAGAGACGAGGCGATGTTCAGACCAGCAGAGTAATAATTTTCCATTCCAGAAATGCCAGACTTGAGGACATGACAGGCTTCCCAAAGCTTGGAGCTTTCATCCATGTACTCGTCGAGCCACTTGTCTCCTGAAGGTAGATGGAGCTTCTGGACAAGAAGGGTCAATTGGGTGTGGAAGGATCGAAGAAGTGAGAGCACCCTTTGAAGGAATTGGATTGACATAAAGTTATTGGAGAGATAGACTCGTTCAAGATCGTCAATACCTCTGGTGAGAAAGGAGTAGAAGCCATTGACGGAGCTGGTGGAAGAAGGATCCATTACAGGATTTTTATGGAATTAAAACGAAAAAGGGAAAGAAGAAGTAGGGATGTGGAAGAAGAAGAGAGGGAAGAAGAGGAAGAGGGGGCAAAAAAGGTTGGGAAGAGGGAGATATTTAAATGAGAGAGAGAGTGAGAGTGGAGGCATGAGAAGAAGAAGAGGAAGAACAAAAAAAAAAAAAAAAAGTGAAAAGAATGGAAGAATGGAAGGGAGGGAATATCTTAGAAACTCAGGTTTCTGAGGTTGAAAAGGATTGTTGGGGGCAATGATGGGTGTTTCCTACAGAGGGGAAAGGATGATTGGTAATATGCCATTTTCGTTGTTGTGTAGGGCAGAAAGAAAGCAAGAGAGGTAAATTGAGCATGAAAATATACACTTACAGACCCAGAAAATTAAAAGAAACAAGACAATTATGGCGAGAGAGGGTAAAGATAGCATAATAGAAAGTGATGCAGGGGTTAGTAATGTGATGTCAATGTCACAAGATCGACTTTAGCCACCTTTCTTTAGGTGTTTTTCCCCGACTTTAAGCCAAGAATCCTTTGGGCACATTTAATTTACCTGTATCAACTAGTAATTTAATAAAAAATTATTCACGACGAAGCAAAAGAAGCCGTGGAAGGTGGCGAAAGGAAGTGAAAGGTGGGAACTTTAAAATATATTAAAGAAGGTTGAAGTATCCCTCTTGTCATGCAAGGATTGGGTTAAGTTTTGTTCATTATTCGATTGGCATACGAGTCGCCCATCTTTTGATTTGAGAGCCCCTTGGCTTCTTCTTTCCTCAATTTCTTCCTCGAGCTACTGAACTTGCTCCTCTTCTTCCCACTCTTCTCCATTGAAGTTTGCGGTTTTTGTGTTCCCCAGATATATATTGTTCTCTTTGATTTTCCCAAAGGAAGAATTAGAATGATGAGGTTGCTCTTACTTATGTGTTTCGTAATCTTCAGCCTGTAATTTACCATTCAGCCCTGGGTGGCAAATATTCCTATTAATGATGTTAATTAATTAATTAAATTAAATGAGTAGGCCTTACTGTCCATCCGTGGACAGATATTGATGGGGAAAAAGGACTTGGAGCTGCTTCTGCTTAATGATTGTTGGGTATTGCGAGTGGGTCCCTAGTTTGTGCATCTTATCGAATAGGTTTTTAATTGGCTGATCATTTTCAGTCATTAATGGGAGGCCACAAAATGTCAAGTTTAAAGATACCACAAGCATTTTTCTTGTGTATTTTATTCATGGAATTTCTGCTATGTGTTCAGAATTATCTACTGGTATTAATTTTCTTTTTAAAATTAAAATTGGCGGAGTGGGGTACCGAGCAATCAAATAATGCATTGGGTTGAGTTTACATGTTATTAAAACTGGGGTTGGAGGAGTGCTCGTGAGATTTTGGAGAATGGGACATATGTTGGGAAGGATGTTGGTCGTCTATTCTACTTAAGACTTCATCAAAAAGTTATAACAAGGATAAGTGGATAACTACAAAAACATTTTCCTTACATTCCTTACAATTAATCATTTAAAAAAAAATAGAAGAAGATTTAATTAAAATTTTATCATAGTTGGATTTCAATCTCCTTTTATTCCTCTCATTTAATAATTTTTCACCAAATTGTCTTTATTAATTTCCTAGTTTTTTTTTTCATTATCTGTCTCTCACATTTAACATTTTATCTGTGACGATATTTTAGAAAAAAAATAATACAAATTTTTACATAAAAACAATCAATTTAATTAATTTTTTAATCTCCATGAATTAATTAATAAAATATTATAATTAGAAACAAAATAAATATTTTTTATATGGACACGCGTACCCCTACTTATGTGCCAACCACCTGTTTATCAGCAGCATCTCTTCGCCAATGAATTCTTTTTTTTAAAACAATTCTAAACCTGCACATCAAAGACAGATTTGAAGCATTTATCCTGCTGCCTACCAAATCAAGCGCTTTGTAGTTTCTGGTAGTATGCATGTTATTTTCAATAAAAATATATATGAAACATGTTAACTTTAATTTTTTACAATTAAAAAAGAAGATGTGGGTTTAGGATTTGTTTGCTCATATTTGGTAAAAGTGTTATTTCCTGGAGAAGATAAGAGAGATCGCGAAGTAGAAAATGCAAGCGAACAATAACCAGAAAAGAACAGCAATAACAACATGCAGGTACGAGTGCATGCACTGCAAAACGGCAGCAATATATGGTCGTTTTAGGTCAATTCATTCACGGATAAAAAGGTAAATAAAATAGACGACGCATTGAGTGACCAGCCCAACAAATCTCTTTCGTCCTCATCATGATCCTTCACCTATAAAAGTCCCTGTGGAAGAATATTTCATTTTCTCGTCAGATGGATACAACTGGATGGTCCACGGCTTCTAACAAAGGAATGATTGTTTGCATAGAAAATTGAATTGGACTGTGTGGAAAGACTTAAAAGGAGAAAATCTAAGGATTTGGACGCTCTTCATTGTTCCTTCTTTACTTCCTTTGCACTTATTATCTCAATCATTAATTTAAAATTTGAATTTAATATATAATAAATTATTTTAAAATATTTTTTAATGCAGTTTTCGATTGTCACCACTAAAATCTAGCAATTTAAATTTATTTATTATTTATTTTATTAATTTAATATTCTTATAAAATATTAAATAGAATTTGTGGGTAGAGCTAGAGAGGAGGGGCAAGGAACAAATCTAACCCACCCAGTAGAGCTAGCGAGCAGCGAATGCGTGGGGGGAGGATGGGGCTTCATAAGTCTAATCTTCACAACTGTTAATCGAATTAACTCTGCTTAATTAATTGCGTTTCAGGGGACCACTCACACTTGGTTCATTCCTCTTGGTCCAATTTGATTGAGAATCTGAGATAATAACATTTTTGCGGGCTTTAAAAAGAAAGAAAAAGAATGATTAATCAAAAAGGGTAATTTTGTCTTTTTAAGAGGAAGATGTTCTCCCACTAACTTGACACAAGTCCGACGAACAAGTCCGTTTTGGAGGGGAGAAAATAAAAAGTAAGAGAAAGGCAAAGTGAAAGTGCAATGGGAAGAAGTGAGAGCAATAGCATTTGTGGGGGAAAGTGTGGTGCCCACAAAAAACTAAAACAAAGAGGATCACAATTATATTCTCAACCTTCTAAAGTCACTGGTTTTCTTTCCGTCTGGGCCATCTCCTTCGTGACTTTTTATTATCAAAAACTTCACTTCACATATACATGCATGTCATTCCTGAATGAATGAATCACTCTGATTAATAAAACCAAATTAATATTCCTCAGCCAATCATGCAGCGCAATTATTTTGGTGGGGGGGAGCCCAAAATGTGAAACCTTTTTATTTGTTTCACGTATTTAAGGAAATTCACCAAAACCCAAAGTAAAAAGTGAGATTCTTTAGTGACATGCCGTGGATGAATCCAGATTTTACCAGATACGATACAGTAACTTGGTTGGCTAAGTGAAGATGATAGCTTTGTTTGTGCAGACACAGAGATGGTAATAGGCATAATTAAATTCCAAAGGCACTTGGTGATGCAGCATTATCATGACGGGTCTTGAGTTGTAAGGGCCCTTGGCTTGGCGGGACTATGAGATTGAATAGGCGTGAGACATTGGAGAGAAGAGGCAATAAGGAAATGGACCTGTGAGGGTCAACCAATTAGCATGATGGCACTCATTGGTAAAACAAGTAAACGACTTTGAAATGATTGCTTTTGCATATATGGGAAGGAAGAAAAGGAAGCCAACCCCAATGATCAAAAGCTTAAGTGCGTCCCTCTAGTTTGAGACTACTATGATTTAACTGTTGCCACTTTTGACTTCCATAATGCTGATACTCACTCTCAAATTTCAAAGGAGGCCTTTTCTCTCCAACTTTTTCTCACTTTTAAGAGATATTACGGTTTATCCTCCTTAATTAATTAATTAACTGTTTAATTCATAGATGGATGAACGAAGCTTTGAAGTTTCTGATAACATAGAAGCGCTCCAGGATGAGGAAGGGAAGTGGAGGTAGGCTTTTTTGTTTGTAGAAATGAGGCATCTTAGGGTAGAGGGTGCTGGAACTCCTTTTTCTTTCATAATTATGATGTTGATGTGAATTGAGTCTGTGCTTAATAAAATGGTTAAAAAAAAAAAAGCCTAATCTCATAATACACTTAACAATCTAGAGATGTCACGTGTTACCTAAGCAGATGGTTAATATTCAAATAGTGGACGAATCTTAAGAAGATGTACACTACACTTTGCATTGTAATTCATCCCTCCATTTGATCCCAATCTCTTGAGGGACCCACCAGCATTTGGGAAATCCTACCTTACAGTTTACATATAATTGTGTCATAGTAAAATTCTACTTTCTTGCATTTCACATCCTGCCTTTTTGGTCCGATGAAACTCCTTAATATCTCTCAAGTCTGGTCCATCAAGCATGTTTAGGCGTATTCAACTCCACTCGTTCCTTAGGAGATCACTTGACGCGGACAAGCCGCCAGTTATTACAGCACATGAAAGTTGCATTACAAAGAAATCTCTCAAGCGCATATGATTTCATAGAAAAAGAAATACAAACATGGTTACTTTTCTATTGACTTGCATATTTCAAATTTGAGGAGGGCAGGACAGGGCAGGACATGTTTGAATTAATTGGGATGGGCAAAGAGAGTTAGGAGGAACACCATAAAAGGCACAGTTCAAGCATACACCGCACAATAAATGCAGGGTTAAGAGAGAGAGGACTGAGGGAAGGGGTAACTAATGGCTTTTTGGCTAGATGAAGCCCAGAGGGTACAGTGGTTCAGGGTGTGATTTGTGAGCTGACAGTGGGAAGGACCAATTAAAGACTCTGGAAAATGTTGTATGAGCCGAAATCTGATCATTAAGTGGAGCCCCTACCCCTTATTATTTTCAGTGTGAAAAAAAAAAGAGTAAATAAGCTCACTTTTTCTTTCCTTTTTCCTTCCATCCCCTGCATCTCGTGTCAAGTCGTCTGTCTCTTTGAGTTAGACTTAACCGCTTGGTTGGTTTGGCAATAAATAATAAGATGTATAAACATACTACCCCTCAATTCAATTAATGGAGGAGGGAGGGTTGGAGGGATGAGGGCTATGGATTGTAAAGTCTTTGGAGGAATCATTTTGGCTGGAAATGAATGATGAGCTTTCAATTGTTAAGGCGGCAGCTGCATACTCAACAACTCACAGCCACAGATAATTATTAGTTACTGCAAAAAAGCAGGATAGTAATAGAGGAGTCAAACGAAGAAGCAGTTTGAATTCAGAACCAAAGTGCCATAAAAAGAGATTTTTAATCACATCAGTCACTCACCCCAAATTCTAAAAAAAGAGGTTACCAATTTAGCTTTCCAGAATTCAGTTACTAGTACATTTCTCTTTTTTTCATTTTTGGAAAAAAAAAAATAGAAGATGGGGGAAGAAGGAAGAGACAATACCCTTAACAGGTAACACAAATTATGTTTGTCTAAACAGAGATTAGGGGGTACATTCAGAACATGATTTTGTGATTTACAGGACGAAACCACTTTCACTTTATTTTGAGTAATTTTGACCAAATTCGACATATTTCCAAACACACATTAAGAGTTTTAATGAATAGGATAATACAACACAAAATTCATTGTTTAACCAACTCCCAGTTACTGACAAGAAAAAGATGCTTTCGCCTTTCTTTCAAGCACTCAATTTTGTTAGTACTTACATAACATCCAAATGTAAAGTAAGCATCACTAACCTTACAATCAACTTGGTTCCTTTGAGAATAAATACGTTTAACGTAAATAAAAAAAATTTCTAAATCATGATTAAAAAACTATTTATAAATCATTTCAAATAGGCTTTTAATGATACGAAAAAGTGGTGAACACCGTAACAAGTAGCTTGACAAGAAAATCAGAATGCAGAAGTCATATGATTAGTCTTGCTGCGCACATTAAATCCACGAAATTAGGAAAAGAAAAGGTTTAGAGTGAAATACGAAAATCCAGAGCCTGAGATGTCGACTTCAAGTTCCATTGACATTTTTCTTCTTGTTTTTTTTTTTTTTGACCTGGACCATTGATATTTTTCTTCGGCTTCATAGCTTAATTGGTAACACATCATCAAAGGGTGCTATATTTTCAAACTTTTCACTAATTTCGTACTACGAGTTACAAAATATGTACACATTTCTTTTGTGCAGACTTCAGTAATTGAAACCAAGTATTGTATTTGGGCTGGGAGAGTAGGAGTATAGTATCATCCCTATAAAAAAAAAAAAAAAAGGATCCTCGTGTCCGCTACAGTGCATCATCACCATCTGAATCAAGCTCAAGACCCTCTTCAGCCAACAGCCGAGTGATAGTCTTCTTTCTTTCTTCCTCAGCCTTTTTTCGCATTAAATCTCTTTTCTTTAATACAAGCGTATGCCTCTTAAGGGTATTGTTGAAATTTTCAGCATAAGCTTTCTTTTCTCTTGCCAGGATTTTCCTCTCTTCTTCTGGATCAATCTGAGATTTCAAGAGATATTTCCAATCAGACTCTGGAATACTGACTATGACCTATCTGCACTAGCAAACATGAGCACTGTAACATCCACACTACACTGAACTTTATTTTTCGATTATCAGCAACAAATTTTCAGCAGCCAATCCAGGGTGAAAAGTGATGACAAGCATGACGACCAAGTCATGTATTCTTTAATATTCACTCAATTTATCCGCAGCAACTGAAAACCAGATGTTAGGGTTGCTAGAAGAAAAATTGACAAAGATCTTAGCTCCAATCAATCAAAACCAACAGTGAGCTGGGTTCATTTCCAGGTACATGATAATACCTTTGAACGAGATAGACTACGTGCACGGATATTTAACTCACGCTGTTGCTGCTCTGCCCAAGCAGCAATAGCCATATCACCTCGCTGATAAAAAGCCTTTCGCTTTTTCATAAGCCACTCCATCCATGCCTCGGATGCCTGAAGGATACAGAACGCCACCTCAGTAATTAGGCCAAAATGTATTGTAGAAAGAATACATCCGATTTAAAATTCAACAAGGCAATTTTTGTCACCCATCCGCTTTAGCAGCAGGTTAGTTTGACCAAGTCCCATCGAGTCACTCTTTTTTTCTCCAATTTTTTTTATAAATATCATAAAAATGATCCCTTACAAAATTTCATACAAGTCCCTGTACATTTATATTTTTCCCTTGAAAAGTTTTTCAGATAAATCCATATAAATATTTTTTCTTGAAAAAAGCATACAGGAATAGAGTAGCCAAACTACCCAACATAATTGACCTAGCGTCCAACTCGATCCCCACAACCCAAATTTTGAGGCCCGCTCCACCATCACGGGTAATGAACCAATGAGAGGTTGGCTAGTACCACTAGAGCAGCCTTATCAACTGATATGTTGACAAGTAAGTAATTAAAACTTAGGACTTTACCTTCATTGGGTTCACTCGGTTATCCATATCATACTGCCGCCGTCTCTCGTCGTCGATAAGTAATTCATAAGCAGCTTGAATCTTTATGAACCTTGCTTCTGCTGTTTCACCTTCCTCAAGGGTTCCTCTGCCATCATAGACTTGAAGGGAAAAAATGGGAATTAACTCAGGATATATTTAAAGAACATTATAAGAACAACTGTATCGCAACCAAATCTATTAATCTAGTGGCGCAAAGGGTTGGAAAATGTTATAGTAAATAACATAGTGTTGGCTATATGAAATTGTGGCATATATGTTGAAAAAAAAAAAAGAAATCACAACAAAGTTTATAATTAATAATATATATGAAGGTCAAGCGCAACAATATAATAATTATTTATAAATCACAACATCGAGTGCTTGAATAACACGAGACATTAATGTTTAAGCAATGAAACTCCAAATTTGTGGAATGATTAAGCAACACAAACTTCTCGACCCCCAAGTCTCAACTAACATAAAATTGCCATCTGATGGATAAGAGGATCATGCCACCAATAAGCATAACAAGTTCACGTTTACAGTCTGTATGACACTTCAACTAAAGAACTAACTAATATGAAGGTACCTACCATCTGGGTGATAAAATTTGGCCAAGCGTCTATAAGCATTCTTTATCTGATCCTCATCAGCATCTCGTTCTAATTCTGGTGTTTCATCAGATAAACAGTTGGTAAAGAAGTGTTAAAATAATTACGCATAGAAACATACTTCTTTTATAGCAATAAGGGCTAACTCATCCGCTAGCCATCACAAGTATGCTTTCCCGCAATTATATAAAGCATCATTGACATACCCAAATATATCGATTGTCTGTCTTTTCCAGAGGATGACAGTATTGCTTTCATAAATATAAAATGCACTGTAAAATCCGTTAGTTGTAATGTTATAATTGGATGTATCAATAACTAGAGTTATGTCAAATGTTCTCCCTCAATTTCAGAAAGCACTGTATTGTCAGCATGACTTCAACCTTCATTAAATCAATCCTTTTAGATGCCAAAATTCTGTATGGTTGACATATCTTGCCCATACATCCATTTTCTAAATTACAAATAAGGTCTTGGAGTAGCTAGGCTAAAAGGAATAAACTTGAAAACAATTACCAAGAGTTTCGTATGGGGATTTTTGCTCTGTCCAATTGGATGCCTTGACCACGGTTCTCCTCTGGCTGCCGCGAAACCCAAACTCAATTCTGCTCGAAACCGGGGGATCCAACCATGTAGAGTATATTGAGGCCGATGGTGAACGAGGCTTGCAATTAGGGCTTCGAAATGAAGCCCTAGCTCGAAATAGTTGTCTGCAACTAATGAAGGAGAACAGTGGTTGCGGTCTACATAGCGTTTTCAGGTTGCTCATGGTTCTCCGACTTGAAGCTCACCCAAACCAAGCCGTCAATCGAACGATCAAAGCCAGAAGTGTTCAGCACGATCGAAGCCTCTTTTTCTTTTTTCTTTTTTAATGACCTTGAGATCGAAGCTTCAAAACATTATATATTATGTGTGTCCGTCTCTTTATCACAATTTATGTTCTTTTTCCTCTGACGAAATGCAACTTGGCTGAAGTCGCGAAGAAAGGGAAGAGGTTTCAACGTCCACCATTAATCTGGCTCGAATTTTCAATTTTTGTTTCTTTCTCTCTCTCTGTTTTTTTTTTTTTTCCTCCAAAGAAATTTGAAGCTCTGTTTTCCTGAGAACCGGGATTTTTTTTTTTTTTTCATTTTATATTCTGAGAAAAAGCCGGGAAAGTTGTGGACGGCTTGGCTCCCGCGTCCTCATATCATGACAGTTATAGGCCAGTATTACCGTTATGCCCACGTCTACTTCCCACAATGACGAAGTACCACTGTACGAAACACGACAAAAACTTGATGTCTTTGGAATAACTAAGCCTCTCATACGTCCCAAAAATCTACGGGCCTTTCTATTTTTTCAGTTCATAGAATCTAAGCCAAGCTTCTTCCTTTTTTATTCTCTTAAATGTGAAAAAAAAAGAAGCTATAACATGTTACGTATCTATTTTTGTCAGTTTTTCTTATTTCACAGCATACTGAATTTTGCCTTTTTCTCCCATTCTTCTTGTTTGAAATATGGTCGTAAATTAGACTTGAACTAGTTTTGAATTGAGAGTGTTTCTCTCCTTTCTTTTTTAATATTAATAAACACGTTATCACTTCTGGTAGTAGAAGATAATGATGAAGTCTATGTACAAAGCATGAGCATCTCAGGAGCGACGTGTTACCTAAATTTTGCTTCAGGGTTACTAGAGGTACACACAACAAAACTCATGCAAAAGCTACAAAACCATATTTATATTGCCACTGATTCAACAGCTAGAGCTGTTATTGAGGCGGTGCGATCGAGCAGATCACTGATCTCCTTCAGAAAGCTCCTCAAGTTTGGAACGTAGGATCGCTTGGACGAGCTGACCAAAGAGAACTAAGAGCACGAAGACGCTGAAAGTATTCGCCTAAGGCCAGCAAGCCTTGAGCTGCTTGCTGGACTGTCAGGATCCGAGACATATGCTGCAAGGTTTGTTGTCGAAGGTGATCTGCCTGCGGACAGCCATATTCATTCAGGTTGTGTACTTTAGGACTCTTCGAAATCTTAATATGGCAAAAATTTAGAATGGCTAAATTTGATGTCGGAAGTAGTTACCTGGCTTACAAAACCCTCTAGTGCTTCGATTTTCTCCATGGCAGAAGTCATCGGAAACCCGAAGCTTCCTAATGCATCGGCTGCCATGTTGTGGACCAGACTCTGCTGCAGTTTCTCCAGTCCTTGTGAAAGAGCATCTTCAGCTTGCTGAGAAGATTGCCGGAGTTTGGTGCAACTCGCTATCTGTTGATCCGTCAAATTCTCCACCTGTGGCACGATGATCTGAAGCAAAAGACAAGCAGTTTCTCCAACTTTTATTCATCATGTGAATCATCAAATCACGTCCAAGTGCTTTATGATATGAGCGGCATTTTGCAATTACATTTACTGTAGTGCTTCATCATCGCATTGAAACTATGCTGAATGGCTGTTTTGTGAACAAAACTACTACAATATGATGGAAATGATGAGGGCTATTAGGTGAAAGCTTTTCATTATGGTGTGACATTCCTAAAAGGTAGGGGTATGACTGAAAATTCTGGGAGTTGGGAATGCCGATTCTGAGATAGATATTAATAAGTATGTGAAATGAAAAAGAAGAGGCTGATGAAGATATTCAGAATCAGAAAACAGTACATACATTAAGAAGCTGAGAGGGGCGGGATCCTCCGATCCAGAGGAAGAGGCGTTCCACGGATGCCTTCCAAACTCCAGAGATTAAGTAGAAGACATCAGCCTTTGCAGCGTCAGCTTTCATCCTGAAAAGATTTGAGTAATGATTCAAGATACTCTCAACCAGTTGATGGAGCTCCCCAGGAGATGACTCAGTTTGCACTGCGTTTCTAAGTTTAGCACTTTGTCTGTGTTGCTCTTCAACCCATTGACCATATTCCATCTCAAAAGCGGCAATCCCTGCCCCACGGAAGGAACAATATAGCCATTCATAACTGACTGAAAGCTTTCATATTTGGAATTGAAACACAGGAAGCTAAGAATGGCAGGTTCAAGAATGTTGCAAACAAAGTATTGCATATTTTGTAACTATCATAACCCAACCGGTATGACATGGAGTGAATGATGATGAATCATTTACAAGGGGATACCAAATGAAAGAAACTCGCCCAAGAAAGGGGTTTCAGTTGAAAAATTCTTCACCTTTATTCTAACATCTGGATTGTGTTAAATGCACATAATACATAGAAGGACTTATAGTCAAAAAATAGCAATGATTTATCTTGCATTGTTGGAATGAGAAGTGCAGACCCAAAAAAATAAAGGAATCTATTGACTACTGATTTACTCACTGAGACATGTCTTCTGCAAAATCAATGTAATATTTGATGCACTGAAAAGAATGTGTGATGCATACTAGAATGCCTGATAGATGAGAACACAAAAAAAAAATGACTGTAAAACATTATATATAAACTACATCTTATAAATTAGAAGGAAAGTATCAGTATTTCATGTTCTGGAAATGCTTAAAAGAGATAAGCATATTAAGTATATGATGAGGAGGATTAAAATTGATATTCGAAATAGCGAACCTGGGTTTATTGTTCCAGATGATCCTATATAAGTAGCATCTACTGCTCCGCCCATATACAGACCCTGGACTCATACGATGTAGTAAATGCTCAGGCATGAGACAAAGGAAATATATACAGAGGGGGGAAAAGCAGCTAATTGTTTTGGGAAAAAAATTGTGTTCACCTGCTTTTTTGCTTTCTCAATCTCTAGCTCCAATTGCATGAGCTTCAAACGGCTTGATTCTAATTGTTGGACATAGGCCTATAAAATTTATATTAAAAGAAAATTTAATTTAAAAAAAGAAGCAGAAATCACACTGGCTGCCTTCCTTGAGTTCATTTTTCTGTCACCTTTTTCCTTTGACGACTTTTTCGAGCTGCTTCCCGATTTTGTTGTAAGCGTCTTAGCACCTACAAGTATACATTGAGTAATTATAAGGTCATAAATCGAGCGTTCGTGTTTATTTCTTCAAAAGCACTAATGATCACGGTGCATTCAGGTTTGCTTTCCGGTCTCGGCATTTAAAAGGCAAAAGAAACCAAGACGCTCATCTTTCAAAGATACTTATGTTCACACTCCATATTAATTCTCAGACACAATAATGCTCAATGAAATATTGGTAAGCTCTAGGAAAATGACAAAGAAACAGCTCAGTAAATATCAATGGAATTTTATTACCTTGCTGACAGCAGTATTGGTCTCTTGATCATCTCCCGAGGGTCCAGTTGACTCATGGGGAATATACTCAGCCTGGAGAATTCACATTCACAAAGTCTTTATAAATCTGGACTTCAGATAAAAAGAAGTTAACCATCAGAGAAAAGAGAAATTCAAGCACCTTGGGCTCTGTGATAGGGTTCACCATGAATATCTGGGAAGGACCTGAATTGAGGCTATTTTCAACTTTAAAGTTGTCCCCCCACATGCTAACTTGCTGGAATGGCTCATATATGCCCATCCTTTTTGAGATGACAAGTTGAGTTGATGGAGAACTCATGGAACTAGATATTAGGAGGAACAGAAATATAACATCATTCTCACATATAAAATAAAGATTGGTTCTCCCAAGTACAAAAATATAACACAAGAAGGAGCATTGTAGAGAAGTCTGCACATGGCTAATTTTTTATCATAGTGAACACTTTTAGATTGACTGAGATTCTATGATGAATGTCTCCACATGTCATGCAAACCAGAATTCCTTTTTTTTTGGGGGGGGGGGGGGGAAGATCAATGGAGAGGGTTTGTATAGATATTAGTAGTTTAGTTTTATGATTTCATGAGTCATGAAAATGGCTAACAGATGAGATGGGTTGGTGATGTTTAAAATTAAAAAAATCATCTTAGACAGAGACAAGGAGAAAGAGATTTTGGTGGACTGCTAAAGCTTAGCGCTCGTGAATTGCTATTGCTCTCCAGATTGTGGTTAATAAATGATAAAAAGGGTTAAATGCTTCAGAAGTGAAAAAAAGAACTTGATATTTCTATGTGCTGTAACAACCCCCAGGGTTCTTTATATTTTCTGAAATGTCTTGCTACAAGAAGAACAGAACCTTCACCGAATAGAAACAAACAATTACATATATCTGACACCACATGAAAACAAGAAACTGACTTCTTAAACTGAATAATATCACGACGTCCCTGAATGCATCGTAAACGAGAAATTAGTGGTGCCAAAATCCAGCAAGCAAACAAAATTCTGAATGACTAGCCAGAATCAGAGCAGAGGAATTGTTCTAGTTCTAGAAAACGAAAAGACCAAATAAAAACAAAACAAGACAAGAAGAAAGACAGACGGCTTGAACTTCAAACAACCAAAATCGCCATATTTGTTGCCGGAAAAGACGACTTTCCCCAAACCAAAACAGGTGCCAAACCTACTGCAAAGCCAAGAAAACCAACCTTAGCTTGAAAGAATCAGCAGGCTTCAAATTTAGTTCATCAAAGGCCCAATTGATTCTCGGAACATATGTGGCAAACTCGCCAGCTCAGTTCCTGTAAATATATCAATTCCATTATTTCCTCGCATGCAAACAAGCATCAAAAGCAACACAATGACTCAAGAAAACAAAAGATACTTAAAAGGTATATCTCAAAAAAAAAAAAAAAAAACCAAATATTCTTCAAGAGAACAAAACCTTTTCTTTTTTTCCCCCTTCTTGCTTAAAGAAGCTACTTTAAAAACCTCAACTTGTTAACGTCGTGACCTTCCCACTACGATCGAGCGAAACTGTCCAAAACGCAATTAAAAATATCAGGACAGCTCTGCATTAAAAAGGAGAAGAATGAATGCAAGCTTTTGCAAAAAAGAAAAATGGGAAGAAACTCACCGTCCTTTGCCTCACTGCTTTTTATTTGCTTCTGGTGATGGTGATTCCTCACCGGTCTATATCTGATGTGAGTGAGAGTGTGAGTGCAAGTGAAGACGCCACTTCCACGGCTACCTCAATATTTATTTATACAGGTGACAGGTCCCACAAATGGTTCCACGTCATGAAACGGTCCCACTTCAGAATCCGGCAAATTCCTTACAGGCGTCCGATCTGTCTCCTCCCAATTTGATGGAGGGCCAGAAATTTGTAGTTTATTGCCATGAACTCTGTACGGATGGTGGCAAATATACGCGACGGCGCATGTTACTTTGTACTAACGCCATGTAATCAAAATGGTATATACCACGTAGTATTCCGCAAGTAACAATAATGCTAACAACTTTATTCCATTCAAATACAGATCATACATACATAAATACATACAATAATTGACGAAGAAATTTACGTATAGCTGTAAATTAAAAAGGAATGCATGATTTTATATTATACGCGTAGCTAACAGAGATACTTTTTGAAGTCTTCAGTTGATTCTTAACACATATGTTGAGCATCCAAAAACTGAATAATATTTATTGATGAATGATGGGCATTATTTTTCTTTATCCTGCAGCCAGAGGGGGGGGGGAACTAATGGAGCTTATCTTGTTTTGGCCTGGAAAAGCAAAGTTTTGATTAAGTAAACTAATTATTTAGTTAAAGTGAAACACGTCAACTTTGTCATGAAAGATTATGGATTGGCTAGTTGATTTATGCCCCAACTAATCAACTCGTCCCTTCCCACCTCAGAGGTAAGGTATGGGCACCATAAACGACACCAACACATGCCTTTTTCAAAGGTAGAGATAAAAGATTTTCGAAAAGGGGACAAGTTTCCTTTTATCTTTTTTTTTTTTTCCCAGCCCTTCTTCTTTTTTTTTCTCCCCTTCTTCTTTATCATCACCAAAAAGCGAACGCTGTCAGCTCAACTTTAATCAATAATGGTGGTATCAAGCTCGCATCTCTTGTGCATTTCATGTGGATTTAGCTCTCTTTATTAGACCATCGTTAATTCTGCTACCCATGGGTCACGCAAAGTTATTTTAATAAAGTTCGATTCATATTTCATGAATCAATCCCTCATCATCAATCTTAGCTCATACAAGTGGCCGATTTAAAATTAATTTTTAGCTGATTCTTTGCAAGCAAATTCTATTAGCAACACGTTATTTAAACTACTGTTAAATGAACATATAATATTATGGAAAAGTTTATAAGTGAACTCCCCCAGATTCCTAATAAGAACCTCATTAAACGATACCCGCCACTCCTGCCTTCTATATTAAAAAAAAAAGTGGATACCATGCCGGCTAGCTTGTGGAATAAGTATTCTAGCTAGTTAAAGTTCAGTGGATTTTCAAATGAAGATCTTTTAATTATTGATTCATGTTTGAGTTTTTAATTAATTCATTTAGCATAAAAAACTGCGTAGTGGCATATATAATATATGTGTATTATAGGCTCTGGGTGACACGAGAAGGAAAGGATTACATGAAAAACTTGCTTTAAAGATAAAAGGAAGGGATATGAACAGCTAAAAAGGTGTGTAACTGATCAATATGCCAAGTGGTAAAGCGTGGTAGTTGATACCTGGTCATTTGCTAGTTAATTCCAATTAACGCTATCTGCCTCTTGTGGGTCAGACAAGTTAATTAAAATTTGAGTAAATTATTTATTCCTTAGTGGTGGAAACTAACCATAAATCATAGATAGAAACCAGTATCTGACAAACTTCATGCTGGGCACACAGCATTTTGGTACAGAAAACTTCTATATCGATCATCTTACAAGTGGAAAGATTTATAGATGGAGACCACAAGAATTAGGTCATCCGCCACAACTTTTAACCATTTTTCTCTGCGGACGAAAAGCCATCTCCTTTTTCTTTTTCTTCCATTAGCTGATGTGTATCTCCATTACCCAGAGGCCAAAAACTTTTTTTTGGGGGGGGGGGGTTCTTGGGATAACTTATAAAATAAGTAAATGTATCTTTCCGTTAAGCATTCGGTTAAAAAAGAAACTTGTTTGGCTAAATTTGGCTCTCTTGCTGGATCTTGCATGCTTTTTAGCTTTCGAACGTGCATGCCTGATCTATTGGAAGGAACTTTACACATACGGCACATAAGTGGCTCGTGGGAATGAGTTACAAACGGTGGTAAATCTTACGTAAAAGTCTCAAAGGATCGGAATTAATTTAAGGTTACCCAGTAACAACCATAAAGCATGTTGTGAAGGAATATCAGCAAAATGATATGCCTTAATTAGTCAAGAACACAAGCGACCTTTTTTTCCCATCCAGTGGTTCAAAAGGGTGGCGTAGATTCCTTCCAAACTGGCTAAAAAAAATCGTTTTTTAATATATTCTTTTGGGACTTCACGATCTTATATTCTTTGACCACATCTATAGGTCCCTAATTGTTTGGAATAAATGGAACAGTGGCGTTCTGTAGCTTCATAAAATCTTGAGGTTTTTGCTTTAGTAAGGTAGTTATAGACATAAAGTGGGGAATTCTTCCCGCTTGTTTTCCTTCCTGGACATGAAAGAAACAAAACCTTATTGACCTGCCTTCGGTTATGAGCCGCTTCTTTTTGCTCTGATCATTCAAGTGGGGGGGGACAAATTATAGAAGCTAAATTGCTGAGGGAAAAGGCACAGTAGCATCGATCTGCAATTTCCCTAACCCTTGGTTTTTATAGGCCTATAAAAACCTAGAGGGAGTCAAAAACAGTAACTTTTCATACTATTTTTGAGAGTTTTCTTATAGTATTCTCTCCGTTTTCTCCCATTTTCTACTCCATCGGTCCATCCAAACCAAGCATTTCATCCCGAGAGCCTGCCTTTTTTCATGAAGGGACTGTTTGAATGGGCTACTGAGTGTGATAACGAATATTTGGATGCGATTGGAGCCCATAAATTAAGCCCAGACATCAGAATAGGTTCTCGTGATAAAAAGCCCAACAAGATCTCTCTTTTTTTTTTTGTCTACATACCAAAATAACAAAAGCCCAACAAGATAAACTACACTAAGCCTTCAAGATGGCGACCTTGTGCTTTTACGGAGTTCCGGGTGCTCCATTGAGAGGTTGCGCTCCCGGTGGTCAAAAAAAAAGAGGGAGAGAGAGGTTGCTCCCAAAAAAAATAAATTAAGTTATTTCTGTAACAGTGAAGAAATGGTGTTTTACTTAGAAATTTTAGATTTGTGTATTTATAAGGGTCAGCTTACATTTTTCTCTCAAGCAAAATAGAAGGATGGGCGCCTCTTATATTTTATAACAAAAGAATTTCTTATATCTAAGTTAAAATAAAAGCTATTACTCATTTAAGATTTATTCATATATTTTTATTTCAAAAACAATATTCATTGTGATCCATTCAATTTAAAAAAATGGTTATGAAATACATATAACTTGTAACCTCCTTATATTCGATATGAATCATTTCAATTTTATGTTTATAATTTTATTCAGCATTAACAATATTTATTTTGTTTTATCTTTTTATGCTATTTCATACTTCCTGTTTAACAAATTAAGATATTAAAGTCATCTTGTTTCTAACAAACTTACATTCAATTTGAATCATTGAAATTTTATTTTTAAATTTGCCAAGTTATGTTAATAAAATAATTTTTTTTTAATTTTAGGTTCTGTTTTAATTATAACGAAACAATGTCTTCAAATCATTTGATCTTAATTTTCACATTACACATTTGTTTAAATGATAACTTCGTTGACTTCTTCCCTTGTTATCAAAAAATTATTGATGAAAATCCGATCATATGTAGTCTGTTAGCGTTATGGAGATTTGTTAACAACTGAAAATCATGTATTTGAGATGTAGCGTTTCATAATAAATTTTAATGTTAGTTTACAACTATTAATATCAAAATGTTTTAAAAAGATTGTATAATAACTTTATCATTGTAAGAATTGAAAAAGAAAAAAATAGTTTAAATTTTTTAGATGCATTACCTTTGTGGTTCACTGCGCTCTGCTATCTCGAATCCCCTTGGATACCAGTCAAGGCCTTGTACCATCAATATTTTTCTTTTCGGTGAAATCTACCATCAGTATTGATATTAAACTAAATTGATGATGAATTCAAATTTATATATATTTAATTAAACAAAATAAGTTAATTTAATAAAATATAATAATACCAATTGCCATTAATTTGGACCAAAACTCGACTCCTCGTGACAAATTTAAGATATATAGAAATGTCTAGACAAGAACATTTTATATGAATAAAATTAAATACTCGTATCTAAACAAGAAAGGACCCAATAATTATCAATATTATTATCAAATATATATAGGCTAGCGCACAAGCTTGTTCAGTTATCCCAACAATATGGTGCAAAATATCAGGAATTAATGACAGTTAAAGATGAGAACTGCGAGACTATTTTCCGATTATCTCTCTCTAAAAATAGGATCTCCTTCACCTAATTTAAGTCGGGCACATTATGTTAAGCACATTCCTAGATTTTTTATTTTTTATTTTTTGTGGCGGCTCCAATTTCGCTCTTGAGTACCCTTTTTCATTACAAGTTAGTAATAGTACCAGCTTAGCTTCTTTGGGTTTCTTCTGTAGCTGGGAGAGTCGTCGTTAATATACATCGCCATGGTTTCCACAGATACAGCTGAGAGTCCACATCCACACTACTTAACTTTCTGTCGGCACGGATTTCTGTATAACCAAAACTTTGATGAGTTTCAGAGTTTATTGGGACACAAAGATGAGAAGCCTTTGTCTGGAATGAGTTTTGGTGAGCCTCTGGATAACACGATTTCAACCGAGAGAGGTCAAATTACGCGTAACCTTCCATCATCCTCCTCGCCTGTTTCGCATTTCCCAGATAACTTGGATTTAAATGCGACGATGATTAGTAAGAAAATCCTGGATCAAGCGTGGAGTGACTTGGTTGTGCAAGAACATGTGAACCGAACAGGTAAGAACCAGGTCCATCAATCGAGTTTGGAGGAAGCAACTGCTGCAGATTTGATGGTACGTGCGGGGGCTATGAACGTAGGAAATCAGGAGCACGTCGGCGCCGATGCTCAGCCGCTGATCGCAATTGATCCGATGGAGATGGTGTCCCAGCAGGCAAATTGGCTGCCACTGCAAATGCAGCTGCAGATACCAGCTGGCATTAACTACTCAGATTTGAATGTTCGTGAATCAGCTTCGGAAATATGTTTCTCGGATAAGGTTCCGCCGCTAGGGATTTCATTGCCGATAGCATGTTCGTCGAAATCACAAGTAGTAGGAGGCGATACAGAGAGGAAACGACGTTATTCGGATGGGACCTTGAAAGAGAATTCTGAAAAGAAGCAGAAGAGGATGATCAAGAACAGAGAATCTGCAGCCAGATCGAGGGCAAGAAAACAGGTCAGTGTATACAAGCAAAATATATTTTAATTCTGCATCTGCCTGTGCTTTCCAAACTCGAGGATCACAATAGAAATCTTGTTTGTTCTTGTTTATCTGATGATATCATTGTTCAAGGAGTACACAAAGAATATGGAGGACAAAAGGGACCGGTTGGAGCAAAGTAATTGCTGGCTTAAGAAGATTAAGGTACGAAAACGCAACCATAATGTATAATGGATACGTGAATCATCAACTTCATAATCTTATGAGAGTAAATGTATACGTTTAAAACTCTAGTGAATTAAATTTTAATAGTAAATTTGTTTTAGATATAAATCATTTTGCGATATTCCTTGCAATCTGTTAACTTTCATCATTCTGTCTGAATAATTTTGTTTCTTGGTTTACCATGGTAGTTAACTCTATCCGATGGGGGGGGGGGAAAAAGGAATTTAACTATATCCAATCATCAATTATTTTTTTTTTTTAAAAAAAAAAACACGAATACTAACTTAAGACGAGCAATCTAAACTATTTGATTGACATATCCTTTTTACATTTAAAATACTGTTTTGCTAACCCAATCGCATTAATTGCCACAAAGGAAAAAAACCATCTTATAATTTTATTGGGGTTAAGCGGGCCAGCCTATATGATGTACAATGCTAATACTAATATATTATCTCAAAGCGGGCCAGCCTATAGCTTGAATTTAAAACTTCATAATAAATCTTATCCCTTAATTTGTCCATAAACGTTATCTAGACACGAGAGAATTATTTGCACAAAAAATTAAGAAAATATTTTTATTAATAACATAATATCAATGAAATGGCAAAATAATTGATGATTGAGGTACATAAACTTCAAAACTTAAAGGGGCTCGCAAATGGAACAAATTTAAGAGGGTTTTGTATAATTTAACTTAAATCACATGTTATAATTGTTATGATATTTTCTTGACCTAAATGAAGTCCTTGTGTTTAAATGAACCGTTTTTCAATGCTTTTATGAAATTAAAGTTACAATTAAAAAAGTGATAATTTTCTCATATTATATTTGTCATTCAATGTATCAATGTTGCAGGAGGCAGAGTCGCGATTCACAGAACTCACCCCAAAATATCAACTACGACGGATCAGTTCAGCTCCATTTTAAGAATGGGTTTTTTACAATCAAATTGAATTACTCCTCCGGTCCTTGATATAGAACCTAATTCTTGAGTTGATTTTAGTCATAAATATAAGACATATTTCTCATATTTATCATTTTTTTTAAATTACCCTTATGGATACTCCCTCAACCATAATCAAGTAGAAGAAGAAGATGGAGTATTAAAAAAGATGATTATGGTGTTTTAGGAAAAATGTGTCACTTTTCTTATAATTAACTAACTCACCTAACTTCTTAATATAATCAAATTAGTTAAATGGGTTTTATATTAAGGATCGGAAGAGTATTTGTTTATTTCACTATTGGTTGTCACTCTCCTTCAAGAGTACTACAAGCATGATGCTTGTTGCACCTTCAGAAGAATTTGAGTAATAGTAATACGAATTTTTTTTAATCAAAGATAAGATGAAAACTAATTGGCAAAACAACTACATCGGCAATTCAATTAAAATATAAGCAACAAAACCCATAAAATAGTAAATAAAAGATAGGTGTACTCTTAGAAATACCTATAGGCCATAGCAATAACATTGGATCCAAATAAATAGTTGATTAGCTGGTCAAAAAATAAAAAGTCACTTGTATCCACAATTTAATTAGCTTTCCGCTTATTGAAAACATTCACAGGCTCATTAAAATTTTCTTACAAGATCATAGACAGCCTTCTAATAAAATCAAAATTTCGGAGACAACATTAACCAAACAGATCCTTTCGAATTCAGTGCTTTTTGTTCGCGCAAGCACAGAAACCGGGAGCAGACACCGAACTTGACGAGTAAAACTAAGGGGAAATCATACAAGGTTCGCAAGCAAATATAGCTGAGATGTGATTATTAGATTTTATAGTTCGTCTCGGGGAATGTCTTCCCTAGGGCTTGGATTTGCCCAAGTCTGCAAAATGCAAATTTACGTCAGGTTAAATCTTAAGAAATTCGATCGAACCCGCATCGTACATGAACAATCAATAGGCAAAATATCACTTGTATTCAAGGAATTGGATTTTGCAGAGCTCCCGAAATTATCTTCACATAGGAAAACGTCTCATATTTTGTAGGGTCTAAAGGTCGTCAAAGATGAAGGAGTAGTGAGCCTGCTGAGCTCATTATAACACTGATTATCTTCAGAGTTCCCATGACTGAAAAAGCGGGGAAAAGGGCCAGAGCAAGAATAATAACATTGACTTAGACGTTGATTTTGATGATCGACAGCGGAAACTAGTTATGACTAACGCACTGGAGACTTCTATCAACATGACCTAATATTTACAGTCTCAATTCCGAGAACTCGCTAGATGCTATATGTACAGAGAAATAAAGGGAGGAAAAGAGGGCCCCAGATAATTTGCAGCGCATATGATCCATACATTCAGCTATCTTGGGTCAGCTTTCTCACCGTTGAACCTGAAAACCGAAACACATCAATATGCTTTTCAGTCAAGGAAAACAAGTCTTTGGCCGGAGGGGGGGGGATCAGCGAAAGTTTTTATTGCAAGCCTGAAATAACAAGAAGCCCCGATGCAGAATCGTAGGTTATTAAGGCCCAATGTCTAAAGTTAACTTCAGAAAATTTTGATGCATACTCAGAAAAATATGCTGCTTCCGATTTTAGTTCAAAATTTTGAAAATATGACTCGGATTCAGTTGCAGCTCAAACCCGAGTAAAGATCAAGCTTTTCAAAATTTGAATCTGCCAGCCTTGAACTTCTCCATGTAAATTGTAGCTCAGCCTAATTGCGTCCTAACTGTCCATCAACTATTATTAGACATGTAAAGTGAAACAGATCAACGGGCAAGTCCCGCAGAGGCAAGTTAACCTTGGGCTGGGCAAATTCGGTCTGAAACCGGATCTCATTACTGAATAATAGCTTGAATGGACCCAGTAGCCCAATCTTCATATGTTATTCCCTTTTAGAGTACTAGTAGTCCAGTTGTTCATGAGTCACTTTCAAACGATTCTAAAATATTAAAACTAAATGAAAGGGCACGTACGGAGAGAGTAACCATCTGTTGCAGACAAAGATCATTTCTTTTTAGCATCTATGAACATGGCTCGAGTCCAGTGCTCAACATCCTCACTTTGCGATGGGGGAGGAGGAAAAGCTGGACGCTCTACAAGATCCCATCCTTCAATTAGGCACTCACTTTTTCCATCAGATGAATCTGTGACATAAAGAAAACTAGCAGCAGAACTTGGCAGGCAATTTTCAATTCTCTGCAAAAGAGGAGAAATTCAAGGAATTAAAGAAAATGATGAAACCACTGACAAGGTACATGAATCATCATACAAATGGAAAGCCCATTTTGGGATGGATGATGAGGTATTTAATATGGTTATTTTGAACATCCGACTGCAAATAAAAACTACAAAATAAGTCCTGTACGTTACAACAGCTTTGTACCCTGATGAGAAATGACATAGCAAAGCATATCCGCGTATAATCTCCAGATCAGCTTGCCTTCCCAAAGGAGGGCTTGAAAAGGCAATAAAGTGAAACAGAAAAGTAAACTTCAGAAGCAAGTAAAAGATTATTAACTAAGCCATGGCAGACACCAAACGGCTGGCCAGTGTAAACCGTTTCCTGTTCCTAATATTAGAAAAGATATGTAAACCTATCAGAAAATTCTCTATTCTTTTAAATGCAATTCTTAGAAATCCAGAAGGACTCTGCTCCATGTTATCTGCAATTTATGAACTAAAGTCACTGAAACATAAAAAACCTCCTCAAGCATTTTCTTCAAAAAACAATGACAAGTAAACATTTACCCTTGTTGGCACCGAATGTGAATTTTCCAGCAAAGTGGTTGATGATATAGCAGAATTTACATTCCACACAGATTTGTTCAACTGTTGAACTTGCTTGCATGGCCTGATCGAAAAGATTAAAAAAAGGGGGGGGGGGGGAGAAAAAGCTGGTATTAAAATTTTTATTTTACTTCAAACTCCAAAACCAAATTATGAAAGAAACTAAGCATCTGCAATCCCGAAACATGTTCTGGTTAAAGACAATCATATATTTCTCACGACCAGTTAAAATTATGAAAGAAACCAGATATATAAAGCCAGTAAGACAAACAAATGAACTACCAAGCATACACCTGAATAAGTTGTGATTTAATCTCAAATGAAGTGACACATAAGAAAGCATTACTGACAGCTATATTGCTGCCTGCATCAGTCCATGACTCCATGAACACCATAAATTTCTGTTATTTAATAGAATAGTAAAAGATTTTATTGACAATGGCACATGGTCATAAATATATTAAGGTTGCAAATTTACAATTTGTTTCAACAAATGTATAATGGTGAAATTGATGGAAACATTTCTCACAGAATACAAGCTGGATGGTTAAAGTGGAGAAAGGCTACCGGAGTTATTTGCGATAAGAAAGTACCTGAGAAGCTTAAGAGAAAAATCTATTGGACTACTATAAGACCAGTTGTGTTATATGGTAGTGAATGTTGGGCTCTTAAGGGAAAATAAGAACATAAAGTTGGGATGGCAGAAATGAAGATGTTAAGATGGATGTATAGTCATACCCAAAAAAAAAGAAAAAAAAAGAGTCGAGATGAAAGTATCATAGCAAGAGTAGGGGTGGCGCCTATCGAAAAGAAAATGATTGAACATCATTAAAGATAATTTCGACATGTGTAGAGAAGGTCATTAGAAGCATTGGTGAGAAGGGTAGATCAGACGGTTTGGAGTCCTTTAAAAAGGGACAGAGGAAAACCGCGAAAAACGCTCAATGAGATCATTGAACGAAGCCTTCTGGTTAACAACCTATCTAAAGACTTAGTTGTTGATAGAGAACGATGGCGTCGTGCAATCCATATAGCCGGTCCTACCTAGTTGGATAAGACCTGTTGTTGTTTCAACAAATGCTATACAATTCTCATGAAATGGTGTGTAAAGATTCATTCAAAGGTAAACATGAAAAGCACCTGGAACGAGCCATCTTTGAGGATAAAACAGATCGAACTTCCTTGGATGATGAGAGTATAGCCAATAACTTTGCAAATGCTTCAAAAGTAGATGCCTCAGAAGGAACATCCAAGCCTAGGGTGTTGTAACAGTAGGCTGTGATGCATGCTACACTTTTCTTCAGAAGTGAAATCCCTTTCTGCAAATCTTTATGCGTTTGAACAGAATGTAAAGAAGCTGAGGCATAATTGAAGCTATTACTCCCAGAGGAATCCAGGCGAGGCCTCCTTTCAGATTCCATTGAGGCAACACCAAAATTACTTGAGCTTCTATCAGACCATGAATTTTCCCCACTAGCAGAGCAGTAATTTTGGCGCGGTATGAAAAGGGGGTATTCATTGCTGAAAATTAAGAAGTATTTTGGATCAGAGAAACCAGTAATTCCAAATAAATCACACTAAATACATTTTCACTGAAATACCTCCTTGAGGAGGGGCGTGCATCCCAATAAGAATCTCGTTGCCAAATTCGAGAGCAAGAGCCCTGAGGCAAAAGTAAATTATGCATTACATATTTAAATAAAGTTTCCTTCTTGGGGGGAAAAAAGTCATCGTTGAAGCCAACGTGGAAAATTGGTAATAATCCATGATGAATAATAAACTTTACAATGAACATTATAATTGGAGGAAAAACCATATTTGGGGTAAATATGCTGTGTTTGGGTCCAATGACGGAGCTAGGATCAAAATATGGGGTGAAAAATTCAGATGTGTGTGTGTCAACAGGTCTTTATATGTGTGTTTGGGTCCAACTTTGCAAGGCCAGATTGACCTGTTAAATTATTTGTTTATTTTGCCAGTAGCTGGGCTGGAATATTTGAATAAGTTTGAAACATGGGCTTCAAGGAAATAATGGGTCGATACAAGAATATTGAATCAGTGCTCACCGCAAAACCTGAGTTATGAAGTGCTGGGGCAGCCAAGTTATGCGCAACAAGATTTAGAAGTTGCACCATGTATCTGATTTACAAACAAACGGATAACTGGTAAATATGCAGCAAAAAATTCAAATGAGGATATAGAATTCTGAACCGCTGAAAGAGTATACTTGAAATGGGCTATAATTTGCAAATTTATCAAACATGTATAGCTCTATATTTAGCATGGAAACACGGTGCTATGCTGTTTGATGCCCTTGTAAAGATTTGCTTGTAAATGTGCATGCACGTGTGATTTTATAAAGAAAAGAAAATCACCCCAAAGAAGCAGAAAGCTCTTCCGATGGAACAGAGTGGGGATCAAGTGCTCTTGCCAAGCGTGCATTGCATATTTGATCATACTGACCACTAGAAACGTCACTTTTCTCTCCCTCTATAGCCACCTGAGACATTGAAGTTATGAACAAGGCTTGGGTTACATGGTTACATTAGTAATAGACCACACCCTAAATGGAGATGACATCATAAACACATCTAAATGTAAATGCCCTTGAAAAGCCCTGAGCTGAACACCAAAGAGAGACAAAGGACAAATTTATCCCCAAACAGGTAATGGAAAACCACGATATCCCAAAGGCAGGCATTTTTAACTTAATAAATCACAATGCACTGAAACGCATCAACAGAGTACTGATAAGCAGCCAATACTTTACCCGTCGTTGAGGAAACAACTTGCATATCTGTTTTATGACCACAGACTGTTTATGAAGACGTTCAGCAGTAATTGCTCTCTGCAGTTTAAAATAAAAAAGAAAAGAAAGGAAAGAAAAAATCAGAACATAAATTTTGCAGTTTGTAGAAAACGAATGATGTTTCACTGTGAAGAAGGTATGAGAGGAACATAAACTTTCAGCTTAAACCTGAGATTGAACAATAAAGCAAGACTCGTCAGTTACGTTACACAAACTTGGGAATCCCACGAATGTGGATGGGAATGCCTGTGTATAATTACAAAACAGTTCCTGATTATTGGAGGTTAATAATAACAACAGTACTCACATGCCCTAGAATCTGGGTACATATGAAATTAGGATAGAACTTCTCCAGTTGGTCAACTCGATTTTTTTCCAGCTGCAGAAGGAAAAATAATGGTATGAAAAATTCGCATACTCATGCACATTAAACTTGACAATATATTACATGACAGTCTGGTTTCAATGTCCATGGCAACAACATTTGCAGAAAAAGTAAAGAAAACAAGCATACCCTAGAAAAGGCTGATTCAAGCGCACTGAGCTTGAGTTTCAGATCAAGGGATTTACTCTCTATGTTAGACCTTCCTGTAAAAATACTGATTATTCCAGACCCAGAGAGTAAAACGTCATCTCATAGCAATATTTCTGATGCATATGTATATAAAGATTTCTAACCTTGCGCAAGTTGTTCTTTACTAAGTCGGAGCTTCTCCCTCAACTTTGTAAGCTTTTCATGTTGAAGAACTCTCCAATTCTTTTGATCATCTGCCTTCCCCTTGTGAAGATCATATACAAAGATGTTAATGAAAATGAATGGAGATAATGCAAGGCTCCTAAAAAAAACAAAAAGAAATCAGAAAGTTTGGAACCTTCTGCACAAAAAATTACAAAATGCACAAGTAGATTAGAAATTAACAATGTACAACTGGGAAATAAGAATGAAGATAATGGTGTTAAATGCAAAAATGTAAAGAAAAAGGGGAAATTTTGTTCTCTGACTTACAAGCAGATTGGCATGTCAAAATTTTCCTAAGAGGGTTAAGCAAGGACAGGGACTTTTCCTTGTTCTTGAAAATACTTTCAGAATTAAAAAATTTCAAATCTATTCTGAAATTTTAAATGATCTAATCATGATTGTTTCATTATTAAAAACGAGGCACTAGAGAAATAAATAGAAATAACACGTATTCATATTTCATAATTCATAAATATTGTTCAAACCTTAGCTACAAGAACCTCACTTAATGCTGCGTACAAGGAATCCCGATGAGCCTTCAACGATTTTAAGGAATGATAATACTCATTCAATCTGCCAAGGAAAACATCATTTAGATAAATTTATGAATAAAGTAAGCAACAGATACCGGTAATCACAGGTTCACTGTCCAGAAGTAGAGAAAACAGAATTGCGTGTAAACGCAATGATATAAGCCAGCAAATAACAAGTTCGATGGCATGTTCATTCATGTATAGGTAACATTTTAGAATAAGTATCATCAAGAATATTAGCGTGCTACTGCTTGGACGACAAAATTTAAAATCATAAGATAGCTGAACATCAAATAAGCTTTTCCCTTCGGGGGAAAATTATTTATCCAAAAGAATATATGAAGAAATAATTAAATCAAGTCACATACCTGTAGTTGACACAAATGGTGCATACCGAAGCTAGATTCGAGTTCTCACATAGCGCGCAAACACTGGTTTTTCTCGTCATCTCCAACTTCGCATCAATAGCTAAATTTTCAAGTCGAACAAGTTGAGAAATTATCCTCGAGATTAGATTTAATCCAAATTGATAGCCTAGGCACACTACTCGTAGTTTAAACTTAAGTTGCCATTAATTAAACAACAGGAAAAGGTTATAACTTACCAAAACGTACTACAAATTCGGCTCAGAATCTAATAGGCGGCGATCAAATGTCGCCGGTGGCTGCGTCCTCGCCGGAATAAAGAACCTAATAACCTAGCTAGACTCCTATGTCCTACTATCATATAAGTATTGAATTCCGGTAACACCAAATTTGAATCTATCGATAGATTTATATGAGCTGCGACTCCGGTCCCGCGGAAACCTGCGCATAGCCTCGTTCAGGCGTTCTCGTCGCGATTTATATAAAATAATTTAATATCTGTGTGAGAAAGATGGTTTCTTTTTAAATAAACTAGCAAAATCATTAGCGGGCCTTGACGGGGAGATCCTTTGAGTGAGTAAATTTTATTTAAGGTGTAACGGATTTTAGTAAGATTAATAAAAATTAAATTTTTTTGCCGGTAATTAAAAATTAAAATATACTTATTAAATTGCTTCTTTTTTCTTCCTCAGCAATCATCCATCAAATGTCATTTTTGTTATGAGTACGGATATAAATGAACATATTTTCAGCCAGTTCATCACATATTAAGGATGAGCAGCCTAAGATTCAAGAGGGATTGAGAATATAAACGAGTTCGTATTACCACCCCGTTTATGTCGTAAATATTTCATTAAAGATCGAGTATTAATTATCGCGTCTACAATGGTGAGGCTTTCGGGCTTGAGTTAATGGGGCTTAGCCAAGGGCTCAACCTGGCCGCTTTTATTCGGTTTTTTAACATCAAGTATTTTTTTTCAGGGAAAAAAAATCACTGAAGTTCGTGATATATTTAAGTACGTAATGTACTTTTATTATGTAAGTTTGGTGTTTTTTGACAAAAATAAGTTTATTTATTTTACGTAGTTACGTTTTATTTAACATTTTACATTATGACAGTAATTTAACGTTGAAATGTCAAGGTGTGAAATATTTGTAAACAGCTATATTTTGAATTTTGAATTTTGAATTTTGGATTTTGTACTTTATATGTTATGTTTGTATACATCCATTATCACACGTCGGATCACACATGTTCATTGGGTTATGTTTTTAAAAGATTATTGTTAAACTGTAAATTCATGTGAAAAAAAAAATGTAGAGAATTTGATATGATAAATTAAAAATTAAAAAATATATGTAAATATTGTCCTTTACTAAACTATCTTTTTAAGACTAATAGGTCGTTTATAGATGATTATGAAGATCATGGAATGTGATTAGAATATTAATTTTCAGTATCATGCTTTTTTCAATGGAATGTGGAATTTGAAGTTTAAAACATTTGTATTTCATTAATCTTGCATTGCGCAGATTAGACTCTGCAATAACTGTAAATTTTAAATGAAAAAAAAAATTATTTGAGCTTATGAGTTCAGCCTTAGCCCTTAAGCCCAGTTTACGAGAGTGTGGGCTCCGCAAAATATATGAGAAGAGAATTATAATTAGGTCTTAAGAAAAATATTTAATTATCTTAAAATTTATTAATAATTGAAGAGCATATAATGACAGATTTTATAATAAAAAATGACAATATATTCATATTGGTCACTTATTATTGAAACTTATTGGTGGTTAAATTCTCTCTTTAAAATCCCGTAATAATTCTATCACATATAAAATTAGAAATTTTGGGTTTTATTTGGGTCTTCACTGACCAGGTCCACTAGATCAGATAGTAGGTGAAAGCATGTTCTATCTATAGTTATATGCATTTTGTCCTTAAAATTTGTAATCACAGGACAAGACTAGGAGATACTTTGACATTGTTAGTTTAATTCTTAGAACTTGCTTTCCCTCCATGTCTATTTTTTAAGACAGTTGTTATAGATGATGTAAATTTAAAACATCAATGTCATGAAATATTAAATATCCAGTTATCCTTCAACCAATAAACAAGCTCTTGGTAAAAAAAAAAAAAAAAACAATAGACAAATTCATGTAACCATCCAACTCATGAAGAACTAATTTTGCAGCTCCTTACTTACCCCGAAATTTAAGAAAGTATTTAGTGGCAATTGAGTTTGATTATTTTTTTCATGATTTATGAGATGTCTGGATATCATGAAAAGTGTTTTTTAAAAACACTTTTTTAAAAACACTTTTTTAAAAATCAAAACAAACATTCATATATTAATTTCCTATATCATAAAATCACTTTTAGAATTATGATTTGGTTTCTATCCAAACATATTTTAAAAATCTTATATGTGTAAAATTACACCTCATTTCCCGTATGTATTAGATTACTTATTTATTAATCATCCGATTCTAAATATAAAACCTATTTTGTAATATAATTTATATTATAAAATGGGTCTTATATTTAGAACTAGAAGAGTGTTTGTTTTTGTACACCCCAATCCCCATGCTATTCAAAATCTAGTGATGTTGCCCTTAGGATAATTAATCATTGACAACGAGTTACTGTATTTAACTCACTATAATTTGGCGGGCTAGAATTAAAGCCTAACTCACTTCACCTCACCACACAGTTAAGCAAGCATACTTAACTCACCCAAAAAACTGAAAAGAAAAATATAGGAGCATTTCTTTTTTAAAAATATTAATTTAATACTCTGACAATATTTTTAAAAAAATATTAAATATCAAATCAGGGGGGGGGGATTTGAACGGTCCAATCAAAGAATGAAAGATCAGGGAAGGTCAGAAACGGAGAGAACCTCAAATCAAATGCTGTGATTTTTATTTTCTTAAAAATCTTTTCATTTTCAGCCCACGGACTTCCCGCCTACTAATCTGGAAACTTGTCGCAGGCCCCCACTGACATCACTGCGGGTTCAACTTTGAATTCATCCTCAAGTCTTCAACGTTTCTGCTTTCTACTCAAACCTTTCGCAACAAATCCACTCTCGTCATCAAGTCTTCTTCGTAGCTTCATGTTCAATTCAGCGCCTCCAGTCAGATCTGTATGTCATCCGATCTCATCTTTAGAGTTTTCCCCCGTAGATTTCTCAGCTTGTCCTGCTAAATTGCTGGTATTTTAATTGATTTCTTTGAATACTGTTGATTTTTCTGATTTCGCCGACATGTTTTTGAGAGATTATTTTGGCTGGCATTCTGCTTCATTTGCCAAGTAAATACCAAAGTTAGAATTTGGCATATATGATCCGTTTGATTGGCAAGTAACCCGATTTAATCGACCAAGAAAATCTTGTAAGTCTTTATATTAGATCATCCAGGAATAGGCCACGTTGACAACCCCCCCAACCGTTTCGTTCGGCATTCTGGCTTCTTGCATCGCTTTTTGGCAACACCTGCTGCCTTGGTGGCGTTCTTGAAACCCCTCACCACTAGAACACATGTACGAGGAAGATAGGTCCCCATTTTTTAAGTGAAGGCCGATCACCTGACTCCTGGTAACAGCAATGACCATAAGAACGTATTGTGACTGCTAGTGAGAGACAAGGCATTTGTTTTTCCGATAAAGATAGAGTAGTTTTGGGCTTCCCTCCTATACTTGAACTCCACGCTTCGTAGGAATAATCAGGTGAAGGGTTTTCTTTACAATTCCAGGCCCTTACTCCAGCTATTTTGAAAATCAGACGGACCGAGAAATCTAGAAAGTTAATTATGATGACAGTTTCTGAGGACGATTTAAATCTGTCATAAACAATTGGAATTCTGTGACCTGCGCAAAAGGCATATTAAATTTACTACCTACAACCCTTTAACTTCACATCAGACACCTTTTTCCGTGTATTTCATGAAGTGTGAGAACATCAGAATATGATTCATGAATTGTGCAGCATGTTATAGAAATTATATGATATATCGGTATTGATATAGATGATATATTGATGATTGCTGTTTACAGCTTAAGTTATCGGGAAATGTTTATCATCTATTATTCTTGCAGTACTAGAAACAGAAGCTTGTTATGATGTCACTGGGCGAATTCGCTTCTTATTAATGAAGACTAAAAGAAAATGCGTTGTTAATGTCTTATTAATCCAAATCTCACGCGTATTTCATGCAGGATTAATAATTACGGTGTAGCATATGGTCAGTGCAACATATATCTCTATGAAATAGCACAGAAATTCTAGCTTTCTTCCAACATGGAAAAGAAAGAGTCAGTGGAGACAATTGAATCAAATTCTCAAGCTGTTGAAAAGCTGGAAGATGTTCCCACTGTTCACAATGAAAAGGCCAAGCAGCCAGAAGAGGTAAAAAGTGTAAAAAATCAAAATATTGGCAGTGATGATCGCCCATTAGACAATGCACAAAATGACATATCTGACAAGACAAATGAGATGGCAGATGAGCGGGAGAGTAATGTCATGAAGACAGAAGCTGAAGATAAATCCTTCAATAATGTTAGACAAAACTCTGATGATGATTATGTTGATGCCAGAAAAGGTTCTAATTTTATCAGTCAAGGGGGAAGTGTAGATATAATTTCTGGACAAAATGACATGGCCAAAGAGATGAACGAGAGTGGGCGCGTGGAATCCACAATAATGGATCAGAAGACAGATGAAATGCCAAGTGAGGACAATAATCTAGAGCCCGTGTTTGACGGAACAGAGGTTCCTGGTATGGAAACTAGCAGAAGCACCGATAACTGTTCTTTAGACTTGAGTGCTGATCCGGATACTCATGGTGTGGTTGAGAAGGCTGTGGCACTTAAAAATTTTGTTAGGGAGAGAAGTGCTGTAGCAGTCTCTACTGTGCTACGTCGCCTTTCTGGAAAAAGTGATGAAGGTTCCATGAGCAATTCTGATGATGAAAGTAAGAATGCTTCGGAATCCTCAAATGTGGATTCTGCTGAGAAAAAATCTTGGAACCCCCTAAATTATATTAGGATGTCATTCGATGCTGAGTCGGAAGGCAAAAATGAATGTAGGGAACCAATAACCGGAGGTCCTCAATATCCCATAGCCATGAAAGGAAGGATTATACTCTACACAAGACTAGGGTGCCGGGAATCTAAAAAGGTCAGGCTATTTTTGTATATGAAACGGCTTAGGTATGTTGAAATCAATATTGATGTGTACCCCAGTAGAAAGAAGGAGCTCGACAAGATTTCTGGATCTTCTTCTGTTCCCAAGGTCTTTTTCAATGAAATACTTATTGGAGGATTGAATGAGCTGAAGGCCCTGGATGAATCCGGTAAGCTCGAGGAGAAGCTTGAATTTCTCATCACTGAAGCGCCGTCAATTGAAGCTCCGTTACCACCTCTTTCTGGAGAGGATGATGAGTCTAGTAGTGGAGCTCTCGATGAAATGGCTTTAATTGTCAGCAAAATGAAAGAATCTATTGTTGTGAAAGACCGATTTTGCAAAATGCGGAGGTTCACTAAATGTTTTCTAGGCTCAGAAGCTGTGGACTTCTTATCAGAAGATCAATACTTGGAAAGGCAGGAGGTAAGCTTGGTTTTGGTCTTGCTATATTTTATTTCACATTGTCAAGCAAACCATCCACTGAGTATCCAACTTAGCTTCATTTTGTCAACGATATCCATCCATTTGAATTCTTTTCGTGTTGAATAGGCTGTTGAGTTTGCCCAAAACCTTGCTAGCAAATTCTTCTTCCACCATGTTCTTGAGTAAGTATTCTCTGTTAGTTGCTTCCATTGTTTGAATGTTTTTAATTGCATAACTAAAAAAATCCTTCTCTATTTCCATTGATTTCATCTTGCTGTAGTGAGAATCTATTTGAGGATGGTAATCACTTGTATCGTTTTTTGGATGATGACCCGATCGTGGCTTCTCAATGTCACAATATTCCGGGGGGCATAACCACTGTGAAGCCAAAGCCTATAATAGAAATTGCATCAAGGCTGAGGTTTTTGTCTCATGCAATATTTGAAGCCTATGTTTCTGAAGATGGACATCATGTTAATTACAGAAGTCTCCATGGAAGCGAGGAGTTTGCAAGGTCTCTTTATATTCCCCCCTATCTTGAAATTTACAAGTACATCTAGTTATGCCAATATATCCCTAGCATTTTTTTCGACGTCATTAATATTTCCTTCCATTCAAGGTATCTGAGAATAATAGAGGAGCTCCAGAGAGTGGAAATGTGGGATATGTCTAGAGAAGAGAAGCTAGCTTTCTTTATCAATCTTTATAATATGATGGCCATTCATGCAATCTTAGAATGGGGTCATCCAGCCGGAGCACTGGAAAGAAGAAAATTGTTTGGAGACTTCAAATATGTGATTGGTGGGTCAACTTACTCACTTTCAGCCATTCAAAATGGCATTTTAAGGGGAAACCAGCGGCCACCATACAATCTTCTGAAGCCTTTTGGTGCAAAAGATAAACGTGCGAGGGTAAGTTGATTCATATTCTTAACATGTTCAATCTTGAAAGTGATGGAGATGATCTTATAGTTAAGCTTTTGTATCCATCCTGTTGGATACCGGATTTTCTCCTCATACTGCCAAATGACCTTGGCCTGTACTGTGATAGCTTTTAAGATGCCCTTTTGACAATGAAGGGCCTGACTGCAAAACAGAGAGTCTGAACTTTTTATGGTTTTCACCTGTTGTTTTATGTTTCTTTAATGCGAGCTTACGTTTTTCTCTTGATAACTTCGTTGTGAAGTAGGATTAATTGCTTTGAGTGATTTTACTAGTTTTTAGCATTGGACTAACTATGGCTCTCGTGAATGTGTGTATATTGGAGATTTCTGCTTCTTGTTTCATAATCTGTTGGCCCACATGCTTCCACTATGAAGTAAGTTGGTTGGCTTTTTAACATATTTGATGCTCATTATGTTTTTTACCCCTCGTGTCAGGTGGCTCTCCCCTACCCTGAGCCTCTTGTTCATTTTGCCTTGGTATGCGGTACCAGATCCGGGCCCGCGCTTAGATGCTATTCTCCTCGAGCCATTGACAAAGAATTAATGGACTCAGCTCGCAATTTCTTGAGAAGTGGAGGACTTCTCATTGATTTGAATACGAAGGTTGCATATGCCAGTAAGATTCTTAAGTGGTAAGTTCTTCTGTGGTGGATGCTTGACATTCTGTTGACATGCTTTTGGGTAGGGGTCCTCGCAGGATTTTGACGGAACAACTTGAATTTCTCATGTTCACAAACAGATTCTTTCCCGACGAGACTTTAGCTTTCAAATTTTATGCATTGCTGAATAGTTTTTATGGAAGAACACTTACATGCATCACGATTGAGTATTGACATCAATTGTCTGGTCTAGTTTGTCAATTAAATATAACTGTGGGTCTGTACTCCATACGGTGTGTTATGAGGTAGGGCTCATTATTCGTGAATTTATGGTTTTTTTTCCTCTAGATTTTAGATAATATATTGATAGATTAGGGTGCGCCCGATGATTTAGTTTTATCCTAAAGTGGGCCCTATATTTTTGCATGGAGCCTAAAATCAACCATACTGACTACAACTTGTAAGCAATGCGATATGACAACTGATGGCAATTCTCTTTACTTATTGATCCGCAGGTTTAGTGTAGATTTTGGCAAGAACGATGTAGAGGTACTGAGGCATGTGTCAAATTACTTGGATCCAGCTGACGCAGCAGTATTGTTGGATCTGCTTGCCACCTCTGAATTGAAGGTGATTCATATCCCATATGATTGGGGTTTAAACTACTAATTTGCAGGGAACCCAGTAATTAAGACTTGGTTCATATGTGATTCACCTGTATTAAAACTATTGGACCAATTTGTATATCAAGTAATCAATGTTACGTGATCACTTTTTTTTTTTTGGTTTATGACAAAATTTTAGGAAAAAAATTGGGCTTACCCACGATTCAAGAACAGGGCACTTAACGTTTGATTTACTGGGATGTGGTCACCTTGTTACTTGCTTCAAATATACATCTATTAAAACTAAAGAACATATTAATCATGTAGTTATATAGTTTTCACTCAATTATAATTTAATTTTTAAAATTTAATTTCATAGAATTCAATCTCTTAAATTTTAGCTATTTAAGGGGTATTTGAAGACCCCAAAAAACAGTTTTAAGAAGTGTCTTCATACAAATTTAGACAAAATCCGCTCACATACTTATTTTATATATTATAAAATCATTTTTAAAAATATGATTCGGTTTTTACCTAAATACTTTTTTAATCTATTAGCTTTTTTAATAATTTGATTATAGCTCAATTTATAAAAGAATAATGATTGAAGCTTGTAAACTTGTAGGGAAGTAATTAGAAGAGTATTTTTTTTCACTTATGAAATTAAACTATATTAAATTGAAATTATAAAAATTAAATAATTAATTTCTTAATACGAATTGAAGGATTTTTTTTTTTCAGGTTTAGTCTAAGGAACTTGATAATTCGGGGCACATGACTTAGGTCATGCCGCTCAAATGCACAATCTCGAACATTAAGGGTGTGTTTGGATTGGCGGTGTGTAAAACTGACTTCTAGTCTAACTGACTTTTGTAACTGAAGTTAGAGTAAAAATCAGTTAGTGTAATGCTATTTATGTTTGGATAGGTGCTTATAAAAAGTCAGTTAAAAAAGTTAAAAGTTGTTTACATGATTAATGAAAAAATAAGTTTGGATGTAAAATAACTTAAAAGAATGATATGAATTATATTAAATAATACATATTTATATTATATGTATATAATGTAATAATTTTAAGAGAAATATTAAAATTAATTGTGAGAATGACTTAAAAGGAGTCCAAGTATTATTGAAAAATTTGTAAAATATAACTTGTCATATTTTAATTAAAAAGCTAATTTTAATAATTTTTTATTTTGATGAGTCAAGCATAAAAATCAAAATGAAAATAAAATTATAACTTTTAATTAGTGAATTGCTTTAATTTTTTTGGGATAGAATATTAATTATAAAAATAATAGTGACTAAAAATGAAATAAAAATAGTAACAGGAACTTTATTATTCATGAAGAGAGGGGGAGAGAGAAATGATGTGTGAAGGAGAAGATGAGCATGTGAAAATTCTTAAAACCGGATGTGACGCTAACGTGAGAAAAGTAGCAAAAAGTAACATTGGCTTTATTAGGTGATAAGTTAGTTTTGAGCTTTTCTAGTAACGCTGTTCCAAAAGAGCAAAAAATCATAAATGAGCTTCAAACTTTCATTTCACCAATTCCTAGACACGTTTGGCCTTTAAACGGTGATCCAAACGTGCCCTAAATTTGCATGGGTAACGATGTGTAGTCTTTATATATTTTTCAAGCACCCAGAGGCGGTTTATTTATAATATTAATTAATTTCAAGGAATAAAAACATGATATGCATGTAAACGTACGAGTCGACTATTCGTCCATAAAAAGAAATTAAGAGGGAAATATTACATCCATTATGACATTTTTTTGTGGGTTAGGAGTCCATATGCCAAAGAGAATAGCCAGGAGCCGATTATGAAAGTCTGTATGATCCTCTATGGACATCGTGGGCATAAATAAATAGCAAGGCATAAAATCCATGATGATTTTCATTTTTTGGCCAAAGCATAAAATCCATGATGATTAGATGATGGAAATGTGCTTCTTCCATAATTCAAATCAATGTAACTAATTTATCATTTTCACCGCTTACTTGCAAGCAATCGCTCCTTCAGTATGCTGAAGCAACCAGCAAATCCCCTTTCAATGTCCAAATTACAGGCTCTCAGAGTCGAATTACGATACAAATTTGAATAATCTCACCCCTCTAAGTCGAACTGATACAAGTGATCGGCTGAACTGATTATCAATTACCTCGCACAGATATGGAAAACAGAGCTCCAAAATTGCAGATGAAAATGCAAAATGTGGTCATTCTTCAATTTTTGCTTCCCTTTGTTATCTGCCCTGGTGCTGCCGCAGATGAACAATGGCTTAATGATACAATTAAGCTATGGACGTATCAGCTAGATTTCTTTCTTGATCATAATGTCTTCTCCAGGATGATACACCAGTTCGATTTGTCAAAAAACTGTTCAACAACTTTAGCATTGTTTATTCCAGATACTAACCTGCAAAAAAGTAATGCAATATGAGCTAAAAATCAGAACTTAAAGCATCCTGTACATATGACAAACCATTTGAAACAGTCCTGCCTTTTTTTTTTTATTGGGATGAAGAAAGAAATAGAGAAATACAAAGAAGCGGGATGATGAATCCCTCCTTAGCAACAGCCATAAAAGATAAGCCAGCGTCGGCCAAAGCCGGCATAGTGACATTAATCATACAAAGGAACTTTCTTGAAATTATCATGAGCTGAAACACAAGAGGCGAACAAAACAAGCATGTCCTACAAAAGATGTGAAGAAATAAGCTTTCATGCTAGGATTGTGCATTTTGCTCCATCCTAAATGCACCAAATAACTGTCTGAACCCGGAGCGTATTTAACTGAATCCAAGTTTTGATCTCATCTAAGTTTGTTTATTCAAACCCTTTCCACGTTCAGATGAATATAATGCTCACAAGAGTTGAGTCACCCAAAACAAAAAGCTATAGATTGGTGTAAAATTAGGCTTAGCAAGCTACATTATAGATAACAAAATTAAAGAGAATTTTGACCTTGAATACTCAGCTGACTAATCCACAAATAATGAATGGATTGTAAACATTTATTTTGCATTCATTTACCTTTCCAGCTCCCCTTCTCTGAAAACGTGGTAATATCTGTTATACACTACAGCACCCTTTTTGTCATCTTTTGTTGCAAGACCAGTAGCAAGAGCATGGGCAGATGCACCACTGATCTCAGCACGATGATAAGGTAAATGCCAAGGAACAAAATATTCCTGTTTGTTCTTTATATTCTTTTCATCCTTCACCTCCAACACATTTTGATCCTGATTAATTAGATCCGGGGTTTCCTGGATGTCCTGGGTTGAATGCTCCTGGGAAACTTCGAGGTGCTCACCTAAGCTATTCAACTCATATTCTGGAATACTTTCTAATGTTATGGATGAAGGGCCCCGGGTACGAGGACTTCCTGGGCCTATCCACTCCTCAACATACTTCTCTGCAAGTGGAGTCCATTTGCTAATCAATGATTTATCCTCTTGTTCTACAGCCCAAACTGTTATCAGGACAAAGCCACCCCTTTTGACAACCCGTACTAGTTCTTCTATTGCTTTTCTCCGTCTATTTTCAGTACTTAAATGATGCAACACAGCTATAGATATTGCTGCATCACCAAAATCAGTTCTGTAAGGGAGATTTACAGCATCTGCAACCAGAACTTCATGCCCTCTATCTGAGCAAATTTTAATCAAGGGAGGGCTTATATCACATCCTATAAAAAAGCAATCACGATTTAAAGCTAAGTATTTCCCATTGCCACAGCCTGCATCGAGGATCAGAGACCCTGATGGCAAAGATGACAAAAATGAGGCAACCTTCGGCCACTTGGCAAACCGGGTCGAACTGAAGTGGGGAGCAATAGCATCATAAACATGGTGCACATACTTCTTTTCAATGTCAGGGGTGGATTTAACGCTCATGGATACAGTGTTAGAATTTTCACTTCCTGGTACAGAATCTACGTTGTCAGATTCTGCATTTGAGGCATAAGTATGCAAACTAGACGCAACTTCAGCATTCATGTTTTTCATCAAGTCAAATTTTGAATCACGGATGCAATGGCTATAGAAAATAGGCAACCCAAGGGCCTTTTTAGATTGACTGATCAATCTGATTGATTTTAAAAAATTATGAACCATCAGCCAGCCACAGTGTGCCAGACATCACCTGCATGAAGAAGATGCAAATATAGCAAATGAGTCTCTTGCCTTTTTAAGAAAATTTATGAACACTAAACACGCATACTAGTTAAATATCCATAATTTCTGTTATGGAGGAAGGTAAGCAGATAACAATAAGTTCAAAGGATTAAGCAGAGAGTAAAACCTATCTAAAGTCAAATCAAAAGCCAAGCTACTTTCAGAGAATACAATCCGTCAAAATAAATAGCATAGGATTACCTGAAGAAGAACTAAAGAGTTAATTAAAAATCAACGACAGCATAGATTCAATGATACCTAATGTCTTCGACCAACTTACTCGGTTGCCAAATGATTTCCCCTCTAGTCTCCACCGACAATAATCATGAAGTATAAGCGGTTTTTGTTATACGTTTTGTTTAGTAAGAGCTTGAAATCTATGCAACTACAAGCTCACTCCCCTTCCAATGTCGAACCTCAACTCCTATCGTCCATCCAATATCGCACATTACTATTTTCTGGAACTTCGAATGGTTTGAAGCGTCTTTTATTTTTAACTTCCAGAAATGAATATACACTGAACATGTGATATGAAAATCTAATATCATAACTTGGTAGCTGGGATCTCTTTTTAACTAAAAGTGGCTGGAATTACATAACAGTATTTTCAAACTTTGCTCGGAAATTCAGAAATGCTATTTACCAGAGAAACAGATCATCCAACCAACCAATCTTGCCGCACTCGTCTTCGTCGAAGTTGAGAGCAGCCGCCTGGTTGAATAGCATCCACTGGAGCCGGGGGGTTTGAATACGGTCTATACAGCACAAAGCTGAAACGACGGAGATCAATATTTACCGCCGCGGGTTGCCCCCATTTTTGCCACCTTCCCCACTTCAGCAGTCGAGTGGGCTGTGGGCCTAGAGATGGGCTGCTTTTGTAGCATTTAATGGGCCTTCTTCTGTGTTAGCATGATGGTTGGGTGAAAGATCCTTTATTTTTTCCCCATATGCTCTAAAGTTTTGATAGGTAAATGTAGCCCATATGAGCCTGAAAAACGGGCTACTTTGAGGAAAGACAGTCAGTGCATGGATGGGCAAAACACTGTTCCAAATCTGGGCTTGGGGCCCAAAAGTCAGTTAAAAATAATTTTGTGCCTGTTTGGGTGTTTGGTTATCTGCTATCCTAATTCCTATTTGCTATATGCTAGCCAGCGTTTTCCCTGAAGCTTCCTGGAGTAGCTTCTAGCTTTTTTTGGCTGGGGTGCATTACACGTTCCTTTTCCACCCTTGTCCTTGGTGAATATGTTTGAACGGGACGATATAATGCCTTGTTCATGTATTAGCTTAATTAAGCTATTAGAAAGCTAAACATTGTCAATTTATATGCTTCGGAACTTGGTCTGGGAAGCTACGGGCAAAAATGAAACGAATTGGATAATAACTTTTGACTGCATTTTTACGTCTTATAGTTTCACTTGAATCAAGCAGATTAGTTCGAGTTTTTGGCAAAAAAAAAAAAAAGGTTCAAAATGTATTTGAAAAATGGAGGAGAGTGGATAACGATCATGTATGTGTAGTTATAAAATTCATATAATCTTGAATGGGCATATTTGTCCTGTCGAGGGAAAAAGGAATGAACGTGTTTGTCATCCTTGTCATATTAAGCAATAAACATTGGAAGACAGCAACTCAATAAACTATGCATGACATGTTGAATAAGCATTAAGTTGCATGCCAGTTTGGAACCTCTCATCTTTCCTTCCCATTCTCTTCACTCCATTTCCTTTTCTAACTATTGGATTAACATATTTCAGCTGTTGAGACTTTAATTTTTATAAACTATTTATTAAAAAATTTTAAAATTTTTTTGGTGTATTTGCAAATCATTAAAATTAAATTTTAATAGAGTTTGTAATCTATTGTTTATTTATTTTATAATTTAACATTCTAATACTAATTTTAAAAAGATTTTAATCCAGTGGTTAGAAGAAAAAAAGGACGTAAGAAAATGAGAAGGGAAGAGGAGAGGTTCTGAACTGGTTGTATACGACCCTTTCTAAGAAATTTCGGGTGACTTTATGTGAGCTGTAAACCTTCTAAGCGAGAGTATTTATTTTAAACTAATAAATATCATACAATTTTCTTTTTTTAAAAAAAAAACACATGCAACTTATTTGACATTCAAAAAAAAAGTTATGTGTAATTAAGCACGTCATGGGTTATTGACTTTCTCATGTGTATTGTACTGCCTCTGGTCCTAATTATAAGAGCTAATTGACTAATTTGAAAAGATTAAAAAAAAAAGTTAAGTTAGTCATTTGTAATAAATATGTGATATCTTTCTTAAAACATTCTTGTTAATTAAGTATATTGGTTAGAGCTACTATTGTTGGAAGGACCATCTTGAAAAAATATATATAAATATGAGAGACAAAGTGGATTGGAGTCTGATATTTAAAACCAAAATAAAAGTCAAATAAAATCTTATATTAAAATATATGATGAGGATGTCTGATCAAATCCTCTATTTATACGAGTTTTAGAAGAAACAACGAGACAAGAAAATTGGGCCATTTAATATGATCCGAATCTCATAACTGTACATGACTACCATTTACTCTCCAGTCTCCGCCTCTTTTCAAATGCGTCCCACGCATTCATCTTGCGCGCGGATTATATCCGGAGCAAGAAGATCCTAGTGGACCTGGAAAAAAATCACCTGAAAAACTGTGCCTAATTTGGATCAAAATCTTAATTCCAAGCTTATCTGATTTAGGCCAAAATATAAAATACAGGGTAATTCTCATCCAATCGCGTCCCGATTCAAAAATTCAGAGTTCTAAGAAAGCCAAAGTAAAATATCAAAACTTGGTGCCCCGACAATGTTATTGAAACTTGATAAACACGTTTCCCCAAAAACAGAGTGGAGGCATGTGTTTTCCGTCCCTTGCCACCCAGCAGGAATGCCACTGCCCATGACAAGATCAAGCAGTATACCATAGTTTTTTTTTTTTTCCCCTTAACCAATGAGCACTACATTATAGCTTGAAGTTTATTTCATGGTTCTTCGTGCTTTTTGTTTTCTTTTCCTGCTGTGTGAACAAAATTCTTGATTTTCTCCGTGACAATAAAGAGTAATTCACAAATTACATGGCTGTAGCTACGGGCCGCGAGGGAGTTGAATCTTGGACGACCCAGGAACGCACTGGTAATTCCAATCCCATTTCCACGTAGCCATCGTAGAAGACGTTAAATGGGTTATTCTCGTTCCCCAACTCATCACAAGTCACGTCCGTTCCTTCTTCTTCAGCCTCTTCGTTAACTTCCACTCTCTGCTCTTCCTGTTCTGAGACGACGAGCGTCATTACAAGTCTACCATTTTCTCTGCGAACTTCGAAATCTTGACGACTCTTCACTCTCCGTGCTTTCAACATGAGCCTCCCGTCAAAATACTCTCTCTTCAAAATCCATGAATTTCGATTCATGGGCGGTGGGTACTGCCTCGTCACTGCTCTACTCCTGGGTCGCGCCGTTGCGCGGTTGTTCAGAGGCTTAGCTTCGAACGCTTCTTCCAAATCAGACGTCATGGAAGCGCCACTCTCTGCTCCGATCAGTTCGTCTATAACAGAGCACCCGAACATCGTTCTCTCCATGATTCGTGGAAGCGGGCGGATGAACAATAGTCAGATCATCGCGAACGTGCTTCGATCCTGAACTGGGATTCGGATCATTTGGGGCGTGGCAGGAGATCTTATTCTTAACTGGGTTGAAACTGGTTTGAAATTTTCTGGAGTAATATTGGTTGCTTAAAGATGACAACGATTCGCTGGGGATATATCCGGGTCTTACTTGTGAAGAGAGAATAGTTATCCACATGCAATTATGCCGCGGGAAATTAAGGAAAATTAGATATATGCGTTGCGTTTAATTTGCTAGGTGGAAGTAATTAAAATAATTTATCATAGAAAATTCGGATACGGTGCAAAATGATTCGATAAATGCACGAAACATGTTATAGTGAACTAGATGAATTTGTGCCTATTAAGAAAGAACCAGCCAACTGGTCATGGCCTTGCCTTCGTTCCTGGGAAGATGCGTGAGTATGGCGATCCGTCTATCGAAAATTCCCTCAGGGTATTCATTCACTGCCCTCAGAGGTCGTAATGTACACTTCCTACAAAACGTGGTTGTTAATAGGAGAAAGTTCACTTGTTATTAAAATAAATAAATAAATAACAAAATACTTTTGTCGATGAAAAGAAATAAAATCCAGATAATACACATACTCGCACATTCTACACAATTAAATCTGTGGTCTTTTATTTATAAGGGAGATTTTCACGCATCATCATGGTAGTTTGTTATTAGCAAGGATTATTACTTTCTTGATGATGGCAACCGGCAACATCCACTCCAAAAGCGGCGCTGTGTATTTTTATGCAGCATCCAAGTGATTTACAGCCCGCCAATAGTAAGTTCATGCTTCAAGATAAACAATGATTATTATATTTAATTAAAAATAATAAACAGCACTGAAAATCATAAATTTTTTCCATGTGAATTAAAAAAAAGAAGGTAATAACAGCAAATGAATGAGTGAGTGAGTTATTGCTCGCGTTGGCATTTTTCGAGGGGTGAGCGAGACAGATCAAAATCTGGCAATCGCAAATGATTGGAGTCTGCAGTAGACGAATGCCTAAAATAGATGCATTTTTGAATTGGGCCTGAGGCCCATTAATGAGTCCATCACTACCAATAAGCAAGCTGAATAAGGTGTTGTTATAAAAAAAGTAAAAACAAAAAGCATGTTAAACTAATACATCACAAATTTTTTTAAAAATACGTGTTCAGTAAAAAAAATATTCACATAAAATAAGTGAAGATATTTATCATAATTTAAGATAAATTTAAGAATCATGACCCAACCAATCACATTAGCGTAATTTTTTTTTTATAACATCTCAGCAGTGTGATTTACCCAGCAGTGCTTGTCATTTTCCTAAACTGTAATCTAATCTGACATATTGCTTTATTCGGTTTTGAAGCCGCTTGCAAAATTGCAATGCGAGGAAACAGGAAATTGATGGTTTGGGGCAAAAAGAACTTTTACGAGTTTTCCTTTTTGTGACGTGCGGTGTTTTTGCTTTCGGTATGAGGAATCGAAATTCACAAAGTGGGGAGTCACCGCCTTTTCCGCTCTTCAAAAAACGAAGAAGAAGAAGAAGAATCCCACCAACTACCGCACGTCATTTCCTGGGAAAGACACGTGGCACCATCGATTACGTGTTTTCCGGTGGTTCCCGATCTCTCTCTCTCTCTCTGTTGCCTCTTCAACCTTAACAAACCGCTTCATTATGTTATGGCCATAATAATCTTATTATGCACTGAGCTGCCATCCTGCTACTGCCAAACCCGTTGCCACTGCCTTTTCAAAATTTGGATTTTTCTTTCACTTTTTGGACCACCCCTCTTCTCGTCTTCGGGTTTCTCAATTATATATTCCGATTCCGACTCACTTCTCTATACGCATATGCCTCCCCCCCACTCTCCCTGCGCCACGTTCACGGCGAACATTATTGGAAAGCTCGAAGATGCGCAGTGCGCACCCCAACCCTCTCAATTCGGTCATGTCATTTCTTAACTTGCCACCTTACCTTTTTCTGTCATAAGCGGAAACCTTCACACTTTCGTCGAACTTGGCCGCTCCGTCCTCAAATTTCACTGCCCATTTTGACGCTTCTGTCTCATCCAAATTTGTTTCTCAGATCCAGTTATTTTACTGCAACTGCAATTTTTAGCTGACATTCCTGGAATTAGCGCTAATTCCTCTGTTAAGTTCATTTCTATGGCGTTTCGCTTCGTGTTGTGTTTGTTACTGGCGAAAGGCCTGGTGGAGGGTACGGTTGCGCTCACATTTTCTTCCAAGCTGATACACGTATATTCCGACGAGGCCAAGGCTGTCTGGGCTTCCAGAAGTAAGAATCTCTCGGTTGAATCGTGGCCCAAGAGGAATAGCTCCGAGCATTTCAGGTTGCTTCTGGGCAACGATTTGACGAGGCAGAGGATGAAGCTGGGCTCGCAGTATGACTTTCTGTATCCTTCTGAGGGAAGCGAGACATTGTTCTTCGACAATGATCTAGATTGGTGAGTTGTTCAGCCTCTGTTTGGTTTCTGAGAAAATGCTGGAAAGTAAAGCTAAATAATGCTCGAATCTTGAACCTTTGTATTATATTCAACAAATGGATAGTATGTCCTGGACTGAATTGAGCCATTTATTAAGCTGCACTGATTAAAAAAGTTTCCTTTCCCTTTTTCTTTTTGTTTATACAGAATCTTTTTTAATTGCTACGCTGGCTAATTGATTTGCTGTTAGAACCCCATTCTCTCTTCCTCACTCCCCCAACCTCCGTTCCTAACCCCCGAAGGAAAAAATCATTCTCATTATAGCTCGTTTTCATGCCATTTGGCACCTTTTTCTCTGTGCTATATTTTGTTTCAGCGGGAATGTTTGTGGTTTCACATACGACTATAACTTTAACCAGCAGAGTTGCAAGTTGCAGCTAGCAACGTGAGATTTAATCAGAAAAAAGAAACGAAAAACTAAGTATGGTAGTGGCTTAACTATTGCGAAAACTCCATTGTAATTGAGTTATGATAATCGATATGCCGATACATTTCTGGATATTCAATGGTTAGTTTGCTTAAATATTTAAATCACTGCCGGTGTAAAGTGTTTTATGATTTTCTGAAGCGCGGAAGATTGCAATTTTTCGAACAAAGCAGGAGTCCTGTATGTTAACCCAGTATTTAACGGAATGACCAAATGTCCCTCAGGGGGCGCGTTAAGAAGTCAGTTTTCGTTAAATTGTTAAAATTATTAGAATCAGAAAGGGGGAAGTTGGGGCAGCGTAGAGGGTGCTTAAAAAGAATCACATACATTGACTTATTATCTGTGGTTTTGGACTTTCAGGTTGCACTACACATGGATTGATTTAGGGACTCCGAATGTTTCTTTCCTTGTTGCATTGGATGCTGGAAGCGATCTGCTTTGGGTCCCATGTGATTGCATAGAATGTGCTCCCTTGTCGGCTAATTATTATAATGGGCTGGTAGGTCTATCATACGAACTTCTAATTTTCTCTTCCTTTTTAATTTTTATTTTTGGCCTTTTCAATTTAATTTGCTATTTATTATGTCATTACTGTTATGGACATCATCATAGCTCTAATGACCAAAAAGTCCTTTTCTTTTATTGTAGACCATTACTTTGAATGGCTTATCCGTTGCTGTTATGGAAATATTCTTTACGCCTTAATTCAGATTAAGGACTGGTACATGTAATACTAATAACTTTTACATACATATACCTTTTTATAAGAGGTTTTCTAGAAACTTTTGTCCACATTATAAGGGGTTTTTTTCATATCTTCTGATAACCATCTAACTAACTTTTACTGGTCTACACAATTTAGTAGAAAATACCCTATATATAGGACTGGAGGGAGTAATTCTCTTCGAAAGTATTTTCATTTGTTGGTAGGATCAACCAAGAATTTGTCATAGCCTCACCATGGTCCAGAGGGGAAATGTACACTAGATTTGCAAAGAATTTCTCAACTTAATTTAAATCTCCTATATATTTATGGGCTTTTGGTGAATGATTGTATAAAGACCGCATCTGTTGTTGGTACTCCACCGTAACATGCAAACTCAGAATTTCTAAGAGATAATATACTTTACGTGTTCTTATTTGGACTCAAATAGTTCAGCTGAGAGTGATTGATTGGTAGATGCTCCGTTGTATTCGGGGGCATCTCTGATGCAGGACAGAGATCTGAGCGAGTATAGCCCATCATTGTCAAGCACCAGCAGACATCTGCCTTGTAGTCATCAGTTATGTGATCCAAATTCCAAATGCAAAAGTCCTAAGGAGCCCTGCTTTTACACTTCTCAGTACTACTCCACAAATACCTCAAGTTCTGGACTTCTGATTGAAGACAAACTGCATTTGAAATCATACGGAAAACATGTTGCACAATCTTCTGTGGAAGCCTCAATTGTTTTAGGGTATGCTTTACTGTCTAAATCTGCTACTATATATTTTGGTGTTTTGGGCACAAATATATTGACCGAGGCTATGAGCTCATGACTCTATTGGTACCAGTGCTCGAGGTAATTGATTTTTTTCCTATGCAGTTGTGGTAGGAGACAAAGTGGTGACTATTTAAATGGAGCTGCTCCTGATGGCGTCATGGGGCTGGGACCCGGCAGCATTTCAGTTCCAAGTTTGCTAGCAAAGGCAGGACTTATTAAGGATTCTTTCTCAATTTGCCTTAATGAGAATGATTCTGGCAGAATTCTTTTTGGTGATCAAGGGCATGCTTCCCAACAATATACTCCATTCGTGCCAGTTAATGGGGAGTTGTACGTACTGTATAGTTTTCTATAAAATGCTTATTGATTCTAATTTACTTCGCTCCTAGAAATTGTTCCTAGTCTACTTGGCAAGCTAAGAATTTGAATTGCTTCAGTGTTGCTTATGTTGTTGGGGTGGAGAGCTTTTGTATTGGGAGTTCCTGTCTCAAGGAAACGGGGTTTCAGGCGCTCATTGACACTGGCACTTCTTTCACATATCTCCCTGATGAAGTTTATAAATTGGTTGTTTCAGAGGTGATGTTTTCCCCATAAATTTACGGCATGTAATCAACTAATCATGCATGTGCTGGGCTAAAAGTGCTCTTCACTGAATGCAGTTTGACAAGGAAGTAAGCGCATCTAGGGTTAATCTCCGCCAATACCCATGGGATTCCTGCTATAATGTCAGCTCGCATGAGTTGGATAACATCTCAACAGTCAAACTCACTTTTTCTAAGAATCAAACTTTTCGAATTCATAATCCAATGTTCACTTCTCCTTCCAACCAGGTAAGCTAGCCTCTCAAACCTTATAATTTGTTTCTTAGCTTACAAAAACTTGTGAACCACAACCTTGCTAAACACTGAAGTTAAGAAATTAATTCTTGGCCTGTAACTAGGGTTATGCCTGGTTATAATCTATTTGTCGTAATAATTTTCTGTTTCAGTGATAGATTAACATGCTAAGAAATGTTGAATGCTTTTCTTGATACTGGCTGATCTTCAACATACTTCAGTGATATTAATTTTGCAATTCTGCGCTGAAGCAAGCTTTTGGCTTCTCTTTTCACCTTGACTTTTGTAACAGAAAATTGTTTCTAGACATGATGTTATTAACTGCCCATTGGCTCCGCAGAAACTCTTCGTTGAACTGCTGGGATGTTCCTTTGGTCTAAGTTAACAGTTGCTTCTAGTAGAATCTTTTTATTCATCTTCCCAGAGCCACTTTGGTTATCATGCCGAATGATTTTTTATGATTTAAATAAAATTCCAACTCTCTGGTGCAGGATTATACTATCGCTTGTTTGACTATACTGCAGACTGATGACGATTATGGTACTATCGGACGTGAGTACTTTGTGCTCTATCTGTAATACGATTTGGGTCCTTTATTTTGTTCTTTTGCCTTGGCTTGTTATTTTTTTTTATCATGTTCTTTTTAGTTCTTCTTTCTCTTATCCCTCCATCTCTAACAAACACGCACCTGCTAGCAAAATCTACGTGGAAGTGCACAAACACGTGCACATACACCCTTCTTCTAACAAATGATGGCTGATTGCATTGGATTGGACTTTTTGTGGCAGAGAACTTCTTGAAGGGTTATCACATGACTTTTGATAGGGAGAATTTGCGGTTTGGTTGGTCAAGTTCCAATTGTAAGTAGCACTTTTTACTTTCAGGCAAAAAAAAGAAAAAGAGCAGCACTTTTTACTTAAAACATTTGGCTCAAAAGAAGTAATACAAGGAAAGAAGACGGTTTATTTAGCTGGTTTTCTTCAGCAACCTTGATTGTGCCATGTTCACATGTTCTATTTTCTGGAGTCTCTGTACGTACGTGTTTGCTTGAGGATAACCATGTAAAAGTTGCAGGTGAAGATAACATGGGAGATAAAGCAAATTTTACTGCACCATGGAATGGTGGGTCACCAAACCCTTTACCAGCCAATCAGCAACAGAGTATCCCTAATACGCATTCTGTACCACCGGCTTTTGCTGGACCGGCTTTGCCCAAACCCGCCGGAGCCCCACCCAGACGCATGACGGCTGGCCATTTTTTAATTTTACTGTCACTTGCATGTTCCGTTTTGTTCTGGGTAGCCCATTAAGTCTATCATATTCACCTGCAATATTGTGTTGTCTCTAGGCTCTGCTTTTCGTGTAGGATGTGTTGTATCTATCGGGGGTTGTTGTGTATTCTTCAGTTTTAGGCCTCTGTAAAAATTGTCATTTCAATATATTATCTTATTCTATAGGTGCAGGCTTTTCCATTAGCATGTCTATAGGTGCAAGCTTTTCCATTAGCATGTTTGGTTGCTGGAGTCAAGGCCTAAAGAGTGAGAACGGCGTCTTCATTTCAAAATGATGTGTTGCCTGTTTATCTTAGCATCATCCTTTCAATGAAGATGTCTGATATAATAGACGTAGGAATCAAGTCAATCAACACATCTTCGTACAATTCCTGAATCATAACTTTTAAACTCAAGAATTTTTCATTTGACTTATCTCTCCTTTACATTTTTCCCTTCCCATTCCTCTCTTATCCTTTCCAAAAACAAAATAGTCTCTCACTATTCTGCTCACACATGGCCAAGGTTCAACATGCTTAACCTAAAAATTAATTGTCTGCGTAAAAACTTGATGTTGACCACCTGCTCTGCTTACAAAACGAGAAAAGAAAATGGTGATGGATGGCTCAGATTGGTGCCAGCCTATTGAGGGTCAAGGTCAACCGTGACACTTGCCCGTTTTCATACTATCATCTCTCTGAGACGTATTGAATTTGAATGCCATTTATCGATTCTGTATTATCACCCTAAAATTTAATCAGTACAGACCCAAGTTTTACAGAACTGTTACGTCTACCTGTCGTATCATTTCCGTATGGTTAAAGATATGTTGCGTGTTCATTGAAACGCGCATATAGGATTTCAAACAAAATCCCTTGCCCACTGTGTGCATGACACAGTCCACTCTGTCATAAATCTAAACGTTGGAGGAGGATCAGGGTAGTTGAACGCTGTACCTAAATTCACTGCGAAACATCATAAGTTCATACGCCATCATTTGTTTGTTACTAATACTTATTATTATCGGATAACGAGTAACTCAATGTCGGTGGTCGAACTTTGGGATCAAAATTAGTTGCGGAAGCATCTGGATGTCTGAAAGTTCCTTCAATCATATCTAAATTATTCCTCCCTCTCCGCCTCGTGGATATGGGGGGAATGGACCCAGAGGCCACAATCTTCGTGCATTAAAACACTTAAAGTGACGTACTCCTAATTTGATTAAGATCCAATTGCCTCCTTTGAATCCTTTGATGGCGCTCTAAATTACAATTATGTGAGATTCTTTTTCCGTCAATAACAGATTTGCCTTATCTCGTCTTAGATTACGAAGAGATAAAATTAAAAAAAAACTGGAATTGCATGTTAGACAGAGAAATAAAGGGGACAACTTCACTTTCATGGATATTAATGGATTTGTCACTCCAGATTAAAATGCCTAAAGATAATGCTTTTCGTTACTTACCAAACCCATTGGTGGGTTTGTTTATATTCTTAGTGTGCCTCTCCTCACAGGCTGACACTATTTTATTTCTTACAGTTCCACCGACCACGACTAGCTACCCGCATCCTCCAAGCATCATTTGACAGGTGGTCAAAATTCGGAGGCATAGTTTAAATTTACAATTCTTATAATGTATGGATATGACTATTTCTGCATTGAAATTTCAAGTGTCCACCTCCTTCACTTTCAGATTGCGTGTACTTGAAGCATTAAACTCCTTTATCTCGCTGATTGCTTATAAACCTGTTACCTGTGTATCATTTTTTTTTTGGAACAATGGCAGAATTTAATTATACCAATATCTTAAAATTGAGTTATTTTTAAATTAATTAATTGTTTCTATTGGCCGAAAAGATCTCGAACAGTAAATGTTACGTTGGATTCATGTGAATTCAATTTACATCCCACCCTTTAATTTCATAAGTTTTTTTTTTTAACCAGCAATTTCTATAATATCCTCATTGCCTTTTTATAACTTATAAATCGGACAATATACGTCTTCATTTCATGCATGTCAAACTGAGCACCTAACTGAATATTTAAATCCATCAGACTATAGATGTATTAAAAATAAAAAAAAACTAGATATTGAGACCAAGCCATGTAAGCTGGAAGATTTCTCTGGGCCCCACCAACGAAGCATCTGTACTAGACACCGAGTCTCCGACACGGCCTATAAAAGTAGACGGTTTCATTGAACGAGATAAGGTTGGGTTGTGTGAGACATGAGAACAGTTAAAGAAGCTCATGCGGGCATACCAGTACGTTTTTAGGGCAGCATCCTGAGCAAATATTCATCGTCAACCTACGTTTGTTCTTAAAATTCAGGTCTTGGAAAGCTGGGAGCTAGGACTAGGATGGCCTAGATACAGCATATAACCTTTTTGTTGTCACTGTAACGTATACGTGTAAACAAAAAACGCAGAGCATGGGAGGAGTTAAAAGCTAAAGTACCTCCTTCCCACTGGTCACTGTCCCTGTTCTTTCTTTTGTGTGTTACCTACGTACCTGTGCGCTAACCGTAGTTCACTGCCTACTGCAGTTTAAAACCAAAAACCAGTTCATTTTGACCATTATTTAATTATCTATAGTTTTAGGCAGGCCATCTGTTCATATTAATCTTGCTTGCTAGTTTAGTTACTTGTGATTTGTGAATCGAGGGAGACGCAGAAAATGGGTGTCGAAGGCACTTTAGAGTACTTGTCGAATTTACTCAGCAGCGTCAAGAAGAAGAAGAAGAAGCCAACCCAGACCGTAGCTCTCAAAATCAGAATGGACTGTGAAGGCTGTGCACGTAAGGTGAAACGTGTGCTCTCCGGCGTTAAAGGTACGTACCTCAAAACTTGGAATTCCGACCTTGGTTTGACACACACGTACGTACACAATCATACATGTGTTGTGAATTATGCGCAGGAGCGAAGTCAGTGGAGGTAGACTTGAAGCAGCAGAAAGCGACGGTGACGGGATATGTGGAGGCAAAGAAAGTGCTGAAGGCAGCTCAATCGACGAAGAAGAAGGTGGAGTTGTGGCCGTATGTTCCGTACAATCTGGTGGCTTATCCCTATGTGGCTCATGCCTATGATAAGAAGGCGCCTCCTAATATGGTCAGGAGCGTTCCTAATACTGCCACCATATCTGAAACCACCATGGACGACACATACACCCTATTCTTCAGCGACGAAAACCCAAATGCTTGCTCCATCATGTAAGGCCATACTTTATTCCAAGCAAGGCTCTTGAGAACCAGTAAATTACAACTAGAAAACCGTATTTCTTTGTATTATATATGACTGATACTCAGATTGTTATTAGTGATTTGAATGAATTTGTTCGAGTGCTCTGAGTTCATGCTTAACAGTGATTTCTCTACGTTCAAATCAAGCTGATAGTGTGGCTGCTTCTCAAGAACGTGAAGGCTCATGGATTTTGGCCGGTCCATGCCATAGGGTCACTCGTGTGCAGATGTGCGTGTTTTAGTCTTAATAACTAAATTACTAGGAATCAAGTTTTATCAAGTTCGAGCATTTGCAGGATTATAAATATATTGTGTTAATTCACAAGTAGCATTTTTTTGCTACAAATTTACAAGTAACACATTTTTTTTTGGGGTGCAATACAAGTAATATTAATCAAGCGGGGAAAAACAATTGCGTGGCCCATTAAAGACACCCATTGCGGGTGGGCCCATAGTCTTCAAGAACTTTTCCCCCCCGGCTCTCTTGTTCTATTTTAAAATTTAAATTGTGCAGATAACTCTTTTATTTTTTTTCCCAATACAATTCCGGTAAAAATGAAAAGGGAAATTTGATTAAAAAAAGCCCTAATTAAAAACTTAATTGATTAAAAATGTCTAAATTTAAGTGCACGTAATTATGATTTATATTAATTTTCGGCATATTTGTCATGTGCAAATAATTTCTTTATTAATAATTATTACACATCCTTAATAATATGTTGCACACAAACACGAGAAAAATTACACTCATAAATCATAATTATATTCATTCAAATTTAATTCTTTTTAATCAATTAAATTTTCAATCAAGAAGTTTTAATCAAATTTTCCAAATTAAAATATCTTCACTTTCGACTTTTAAAACAATTTGTGCATATTATTGCATACCCTTTTTTGTTTTTTTTGGGCTAGGCATATTATTGCATAAGCTTTTAACACTAGTACTATATATCCAACCAATTCGAGTCTTCCACCAAGGCCATATCCACGGACCATAATCCACAAGCACATTTCCCTTCCAGGACGGCCCAACCTTCCCCTATTCCCGTATTTCGAACTTAAGTACATTTTGAGCACTGTATCCAAAAAAAAAAAAAAGTACATTCTGAGCATAAAGTAACATGTTTTTTGGCCTGAGCATAAAGGACCATCAGCACATCGCTAACATATGGAACCCAAAGAAAAAAGTAACCAGGATAGGAAACCTTAAACTGGAATGCAATACAAGCAGGAGCGAATTAATCCTTTACAGAAGCAGCCTCCAACGCAAGAGCAGTTTTGAGTGACTGAAAGTCGACCTCAGTAAAGTGAGTTATCAAACACCCATGGTTCATGCTGAAACAGCTCCCGGCCGTTCATTTGGATTATTCCTGCCGCAATATCCTCTGCACGTTTCCTGGATGCTTCAGCTTTCCTGGCTGAGGCAGCAGCATCCTGCAAGAGGCTAGGCATACATCAACAAGAAGGAAAAAGGTTCCTCATAAAACAGTAGGTACAACGTGCCATGGTATGTCACTCTCATTAACATGAATCCTTGCTCTAGGTAGTCCAATAATCCATAGTTCGCAATAAAAAGAACACCAGGCGTATCTATTCAAAAATCATTTCTAACCTCCACGATATGGAAATTGACAAACATGTTTCAAACCAAACACTCTGAATTTAAGATCATCCTCTCATTATGAATTAAGCTTTAATCTTATAGATAAGTTAAGGCAGAAACATAAGTGTCCTGAGTTGAATACTTCTGTATACTTCATTCTTTGTTTTTTCTTGCAGGATCATCACTAAGATTAACTAGTGCTAGCACTAAATCATGGCCAGTCGCAGAAGCATGAAATCCAGCGTCTCAATAATGTGGCAGGCGTTAGGGGAGAAAACCCCCCCCCCCGGGGGGCGGGGGGAGGGGGAAAGAAAAAGAATATGTGAGTATATGACTACGCTGAGAATTCTTGCAAGTTGCACTAGTAATCAATCGCTGAAACATTTGCACTAGTAATCAATCGCTGAAACAAAGTTCAAAGAAAAATTACAAGGATTTTCAAAATGCAAGCTTCCAACCAATACTTTAAATTAATCTAAACAAATTGAAATTAAAATTAATCAGCGATATAATTTAGATGATTGAAAGAAACAGACACATTTATCAGAAACCAAAGAGAAAAAATCCTCGACTTTTAGGCAAAATGGGAAAAAAAAAAAATCATTAACGCCACAGCAGTGGAAGAAACGAAAACCCTAATCGATTATGGGGAAAGTAACAGAGAGGGAGGGAGATATTGTTAAAAGACCTTCTGGCGCTTCCACGAGAGGAACTGGGACTCTGTGATGGGGCCGGCCCTTGGCCTCTCATCATCGTACTTTCCCTGTTCTTCCGTTTCAGCCCCCATCGTTCCGTTTACTTCGCACCAAATTGTAGCAGACGATCCGCCGTGGGAGAAGACAACCTCGTCAAGGAGATGATTAGATGAATAAGGATTATGTTTGGACATTCGACGGTGCCGTTTAAGAGGCAGCGTTTAGTGTGTGTATTGGTGTCGGAAGCCTCTTGGATGATGACGTGAGATTTTTTTCCCTTCATAATTTATAATTTAGGCACTTATTAAAGGAAAAAATTAATGAGTGTTATGAAATTAACCAACAAAATAAATAGAGTAAAAAAGAGATGTAGATAAGAAAATAAGAGAATAATATTATATTTTTTTACTTGCTTCACTTACGTCACAATATAATAGCATGTCCTATTTATAAATATAATCTTACACATAAATTATACATATACTTAAATGATAGACAGTGAACAATAAACCAAATGAATGTGAGTATGGGTGAATTACGAGATTAAAAGTATAATAGATTTAATAGTATAGAGTAGTGAAACATTAATACTAAAAAAATAGTAGGAGTTGATGAAATTAAAGAATAAAATAAGATAAACATCTACATTTGATATATTCATAACAATAAGAGTTTCCCCCCCCCCGGGTGCGGTCACAGGCTTTTTTAACCACATTTTAGGTAAGTTGCAAGAGATTGATCCTTCCTCTAAGTGGGCCTGCATTTATCAGATTCAGTTGGGCGGGCTCGTCTGTGCTTTCTCTTGTCCAACAACTGTAGAGGAGCCCAATTTCTTATGTATCAACTTGCCAGATAAGCTACTTAGTGTCTCTCATCTTTGCAAGTTCGGCCTGCCAATATTAAAGATATGAACCTGATAGCGATATTGCAGAATAAAAGGGTGTGTTTGCAGAATAAAACTAAAATTTGAACGTGATAGTCATGTTGCTGAATAAAATTAAGTCGAGCACATGACATGCTCATCATAATAATAAATATAAAGTTCTTATTATAATTTAGGTTATTTGGATCGATTTTGGATGGTCCAGAATAAATTTCAAATTTTTATATGTTTTAATTAAATTTTTGTTTCAATAAGTACATAATTTAAAATAAATATAATCTATAATTAAGATATCTTTAAGAAATAAATTTATTATTGAAATAATTATATATTAAAAATTTTAAATCTATGCTATTCATATTAAACTTTGAATGGTTTAGATTGTAGTGATGAATAATGATCCAAAATTAAGTACTCGTTCCTTCCATTAAAAAGTTAAAGAAAAAAGGGGGGGGGGGGTTCATTCATTCGACGTGCCGCCGTTCTCTTGCGAGGCATCAAAACCGGCCATGTCGTTCAATCACGACCTGGGGCCGAAACTCTCACTAGCACCGAGAGAAGAGAGAGATATGACTCAAACTAAAATTTGAACGTGATAGTCATGTTGCAAAACTAAAATTTGAACGTCATAGTCATGTTGCTGAATAAAATTAAGTCGAGCACTTGCCATGCTCATCATAATAATAAATATAAGTGCTTATTATAATTTAGATATTTCGATCGATTTTGGATGGTCCAAATAAATTTTCAAAATTTATATTTTTAATTAATTTTTGTTTCAATAAGTACATAATTTAAAATAAATATAATCTATAATTAAGATATCTTTAAGAAATAAATTTATTTTGAAAATAATTATATATTAAAAATTTTAAATCTATGCTATTCATATTAAATTTGAATGGTTTAGATTGTAGTGATGAATAATGATCCAAAATTAAGTACTCGTTCCTTCCATTAAAAAGTTAAAGAAAAAAGGGGGGGGGGGTTTCATTCATTCGACGTGCCGCCGTTCTCTTGCGAGGCATCAAAACCGGCCATGTCGTTCAATCACGACCTGGGGCCGAAACTCTCACTAGCACCGAGAGAAGAGAGAGATATGACTCTGAGTCAATTGTCGATACAATGCTCTCGGACTTGTAATACTACGATCCTGTTTAATACAAAATATTAAAAATAGGAGATAATAATTAAGATTGTAATAAAATTGTAAAAAAAATATTTAGGATGAGTAATTTTATTATTAGGATCAGACTAACCCATGAATGTGATGGTTCCTCAATTCCAAATACATAAATTTGTCTAGTTACATATAACAAGTAATCTTTTGTACTAAACACTCTTTTAACAATTTTTTTTTCAACTCCCATTCTAATTTTTATCCCTTATTTTTAATACTTTAAATATATGGGCCACGAAAGTAAACTACAGGGGAAAATGACATTCAACTCATCAAATTTGACCAATAAAAATCGGTAAGGTGAATTCAAATCTTACCGTCCACATAAAAATTTTGCTAGTGAATAATCATTGTAAATATCTTTGGAGCTTGGATGCATGTTTTAATCTTAATGAGTTTTCTAGACCTAACTCAACAAAACTTTTTTTTTGTGTTAAAAAAAAAACTCGTCAAATTTGACGGGTTGGGTTAAAATCCTAGGTGGAGCCAGCAAGCGCAAGAGTGCAATTTTGAAAATTCGACCACAGTCAGATTCCTGGAAGCTGCATGGTGGTGACCCTGGCCGGGAAGACGTCTATATTCATTGCCTCCACAATGCGACACGTGTGAGGTCTTCCTTGAAACCAAGGAAAAGAAATCCGCAAGCATACAGCGGCATTGACCAGCAAAGTCTTGCGTTTACAACTGATTACCCTGTTGGTGTTGACTTTTCATTTCATTTCCCATTTTGCCCCTTCATCTTCGTGGGGCTGTAGCTGCACCGTGAATATCGACCTTGCACGTTCAACGGCCAAGCTAACAATTTGATGTTATTCTTCCACAGAAATTATTTAAGATATATACGCGCTCTGATCTCCTGACTTTTCACTTTTAAGCGTCTCCTCTAAATCTCATAAGGGGCATCGAAAGAGGAAATTTTGAATTTTTTTTTCCTTTGCCGTTTTTATTACCTTCTTAGATGTCATTATTCTTCACTTGCTGGGTTTCGTTGTGACGTTGCACACACATTTCTTCGTTCCTATTTGAATTGCCTCCAAAGTCACACTATTATCAATGAAACATTATTCCCAAGCTGATTCGATGGACGTCGACTGTGGTATTATAGGTTAGTACAATTTCAGTGACGATTATAGATTCTTTTAACATGGACTAGGACTGGGTTTTCTGGTTTCTTTAACCCTTCTCCGTTCTGTTTTAGATTTTAATGTGGTGTCTTTTCAGAAACATGAGCACCGTCGAATGTGAAGAACAGAAAGCCAAGCTGTAACTATTCCTGGGTATTCATTCTTTTGAATTTTCACTTGTTCCTTTTTGCTGTTATGGTCGATGTCAGTCTTGTTTTGATTGCTTCTTCCCTCAAATCCCGATGAAGGACTAGTTAAAGAGGCATTTGTATTGGGGGGGGGGGAAGAAGAAGACTTTTCCGCGTTAATGCGGTTGAATCCTCCACTATTGATGGCTTACATGAGAAGCCATGAATGGATGGTTTAGTTGCAAGTCTTGTTTACTCTATTCTCCAAACATATATGATTTCGAAAGGGCCATTTTGGTGGCTGGCGGGGGCAGAACAAGTTAAGGTTTTGGCTCTCTCGTTCTGATAGGAGAACCAGTGTTCTGTTCTGTTTTGTCATGCATGCATGTAATCAAAGTAAATTCCGTAGAGCTATATTAGCGATGACATATATACAGTACTTTATTACATGGAATGGTTTATCTCAAAGTGTAAATAATCTCTTCAGCCGAACATAGACTTGAAAACTTAATTTTCCATTACATAACTCCTTATTTATTTTGTATCCTTACGTATAAATTGAAGTAGGCAAATTAAACCCCAAAAAAATGTTGGTCATCTCAAAATATCTTTCTTCCAAAAGGAACGAAAGAAAATGACAAAATACTCACTGTTCATCGCCAGGACAAACACCTTTTTTTTTTTTTTTAAAAAATTCAGCGTCTGGAAAAGTTAGGCTGAGATTTTGGAAGAAATCGACTTTAACTGCACAGCCCATTATTATTGGGGAAAGTCCTGTGCAACTCAGCCGTGTCACGCAAAATATCCTTGCGTTGTTGAGCATCAACTTGAATTCGTGATTCTCTAGGGTGGTCAACCTGGGTTTTAGCAAATATGAGCTGGTCAAACAAAAAAAAGAAAAAGCAATGATTTAACATGGGAGGAGAGAAGTTTAATTAAGATCATGAATTTGATTCCTTTCAGTCTTTTTTAAGAATGAAAATGTTTCGTATTGATTTCTGTTTCTTTCCATTCAAACACTCTAAATGCCTGGATGTGCATGAATGGTTATTATTTTCTGTAGCGTAGTGTTGTGGACTATTATTTTCTCGTGTTGCGTGCATTAAAAATCTGCAGCCACGTGTATCCGTGAAATTCAACTGAGGTGTTAGATTACGCTTAATCATATTCTTAGAATCCTCCAAATCTTTCGCGTCAGCAAATGAATTTTGAAATTCGGTATTTCAAATTGTTTTTTTCCCCCTTCCCTCTTATAAATCAAAGGCATACAGCTTCTCTGACTTCTAAGAAGGGCCAATTGACTTCATTAGCATCTAGCTGTTGCTAAACCCTGATCGCTAGTCGACCCACCTTCTCATATGGTATAAATTTATTCTCGTGGGATGGTTGGTCGTATTGAAAATCATGCTTGGTTTTACTTTATCATGCATTTTCGTGACGTGTGAGGAACGCGATTTCACAACCTCTCAGACTTCTGTTAATTTTCTACTTCAGCTTGAGAACTTTGACCAAGACCTTCAAGTTATACAACCCAATAGCCTCACGGCGACCTCGTGGCCTTCCGACTTGAATTAGTGACCAGTCATTACTGCATCTGTCAGCAACCCAGCATTCGCACCCTTTTGCTCAGGTTGGCTGATATTTTCTCAATTGTTGCTCGTAGTTACCAAATCTACTTTAAGTCTACTTCTGAAGTTGCTTTGGATTTGGTTTGGTTGGAATTGTGAATTGTGCATAGCATACTTGGTTATTAAACTCCTGAATTGAAGTACATAGAAGGGCTGCAGTGAGTCTGTTTTGCATGTAGCAATCATCATTTCATTATATTTTTATTTTTTATGAATAAATCCAGTGAATAGAGGGGAAAAAAAAAAGAGGGTACCTGGTCACAATATAACTAAAATTTCGTTAAAATTGTCTGCTATCTTATTTTTAAATATTTTATCGAAAACGCAAGGCTGGAGAAGTTTTTGTGCATTGCAGGCGAGGGTCTGTCTCCAATGGGAGATCCAGCTGATGAAACCCATAAAACAAAAGAGAGAGATGCTAGAAGTTTGTCATCTTCACAGGGTCAAGCACCACACCGTCACAAAGTAGGAATTCCTCCGAGACAGAACCTGTTCAAGGAATTCCAATCCCTTGTCAAAGAAACATTCTTTGCTGATGATCCTCTACGCTCTTTCAAAGACCAGACTAAATTCCGGAAATTCATCCTTGGCCTTGAGGCCGTATTCCCCATACTTAACTGGGGGAGAAATTATAATGCTGTCAAATTCAGAGGGGATATCATAGCTGGTCTAACTATTGCAAGTCTCTGCATTCCTCAGGTAACGTTGCTTTAAGGTTGTTCTGTTTCTTGACATGTAAATGAGAGTGACTTCTAGAACAAATAATTTCTGAAGGTTTTGATAATCATCCATGCTTAATAAACAGGATATTGGATACGCAAAGCTTGCAAATTTGGCTCCACAGTATGGGCTGTGTAAGACTCTTCATTTGTCACGAGCACAAGTAGCCTATATGTTTCCTTTGGATATATGCTGGACTGATCAAGTTTTGGTTAATGTTGTTGTACCACTTTACAGATTCCAGCTTTGTTCCCCCACTGATATATGCTATCATGGGTAGTTCTCGTGATATCGCCATAGGACCGGTGGCAGTGGTTTCTCTCTTGCTAGGAACCTTACTTCAGAGTGAGATTGATCCTATCGCACATCCATCTGAATATCGAAGACTTGCTTTCACGGCTACTTTTTTTGCTGGCATTACCCAAGCAACTCTTGGGGTCTTGAGGTTTGACGCTTTCAGCCAATATTTTTTTGTTTTTAATATAATTATTGTATTTACACCTTCTTAGTTACTACCACCAGTGTTTATACCATCTGCACCAACTTCTACGAAGGCTTCAGTTTGTTTACACGCCTTGATGAACTTATGGTCTGATTTGTTTTGGGATCAGGTTAGGATTTTTGATCGACTTCCTTTCCCATGCTGCTGTTGTCGGTTTTATGGCTGGAGCTGCTATCACCATTGCCCTTCAACAGCTTAAGGGCTTCCTTGGCATTAAAAAGTTCACAAAGAAAACTGATGTTGTGTCTGTGTTGCATTCAGTATTCTCAACAGCCCATCATGGTGTATGCTTTCTGCTCCTCTGTCTGTTCATACACATATATGCACAAACAATAACTTATATCAGGTCCTCTAATGTGCGGAAGTCCTTGCACAAAATCGCACCTGTCCGACATGATAAAACTGATTTGGTTTGTATAATCTTGCAGTGGAACTGGCAGACTATAGTTCTAGGAGCAAGCTTTTTGGTTTTTCTGCTGATTGCAAGATATACTGTGAGACATCCTAACTCCATTTCACTATTTATTCCTTTTATAGATTGTAGGCATATTATATATTGTTTTCTCATTTCTAATAATATGGTAATCAGGGCAAAAAGAACAAGAAATTCTTCTGGGTGCCGGCTATCGCCCCATTGATATCTGTTGTTCTCTCCACTTTAATTGTGTTCATAACCCGTGCAGACAAGCAAGGCGTTGAAATTGTAAGTTAGATATATTGCCTTTTTATCCTAAACTTCGTAGATTATGATCATATATTCATATCATTGGGAGATGATTGGACTGATGCCAGGAGAAGTAACAGTATTTATTAATGTTTGTCAATTGATGTGTTGATTAGGTAAAACACATAAATAAGGGGATCAATCCTTCATCTGTTAAAGAGATATATTTTAGTGGTGATTTCCTTGGGAAAGGTTTCAAGATTGGCATTGTGGCTGGCATGATAGCATTGACGGTGAGTTGATCTCAACACTAATATCTTCCAATGAAAAGCAAATAATTCGACTAACGTTTATAATTCTAAACTCTTGGTTTTCAGGAAGCCACAGCAATAGGAAGAACATTCGCTTCTATGAAGGATTATCATTTGGATGGAAATAAGGAAATGACAGCATTAGGAGCCATGAATATTATTGGTTCAATGACTTCCTGCTATGTAGCAACAGGTGAGCTTGAAGTTTGTCAGTTGCAAGTCCGAAAATGAATAGATTGGTTTATAATAACCTAGTAAAGTGGATAGCTTCGTAATTACCATGTGATTGGGTGTAGGTGGGATGAACTAACTATTTTTGTTATCACCAAAAAAAAAAAAAAGACTATTTATGCAGCCTATGACGTATGATCTAATCTGATGTTATTGCTATGTTCAGGTTCTTTTTCTCGGTCAGCAGTAAATTACATGGCTGGCTGCCAAACTGCAGTCTCTAATATTATTATGTCCATTGTTGTGTTCTTAACCCTACAATTCATTACACCTCTCTTCAAGTATACACCAAATGCCATTCTTTCTTCCATCATCATATCTGCTGTGATCGGCCTTGTGGACTATCAGGCAGCAATTTTAATTTGGAAGGTTGATAAATTTGACTTTATTGCTTGCATGGGAGCCTTCTTTGGAGTTGTTTTTGTCTCAGTTGAGATAGGACTTTTAATTGCTGTAAGTTCAATTCCCTCGTGCTTTTACAATCTCAAATTAATTATGAGTTTTGGCTCAGCCTGGTTACGCTATTGCTATATGTTGGGGCAGGTCACTATATCCTTTGCTAAAATCCTATTACAAGTTACCAGACCACGAACAGCTATTCTGGGGAACATCCCTGGGACAACTGTCTATAGGAATACCCAACAATACCCAGAGGCCACAAAGGTTCCTGGCGTGCTGGTTGTAAGAATTGATTCGGCCATATACTTTTCCAACTCCAATTATGTTAGAGAAAGGTAAACATTTATTGCTCGTTTCCTTATGCTTCTAATGGACCTGAAATGAGATTAGACAAGTGATTTCCATGCCGATCCTTTGTAGAGATTGTGCTGTTCATAATGTCAGGGATTGCGGGTCATCGTTCATATCATAAGATGAAGTTTGAGTACAAAATATTCAATTCTGTCAAACAACGCAAGGGAACTCCCTAGAAATCACAATATACCAGCCACTGAATCTTCCATGCTAGTGTTAAAAGGGTGGGGATGGGTTTAGGATTGATTTGAAGTTCTGAACATGAGAACAAACGGATACGGTCAAACTAAATCAAGATGGGTTCTAATCATTGCGAGAAAGGAAAGAAGGATGAAACAGTTGGATGAGCAATATAATGTGACCAAGCCGCTTTGCTGTTCAGAACACTGTGTATGCTGGAACTGTGTGTTAAGTTTAATTTATTTTCTTCAGTATAAAACATTGTACTCCTGCGGACCTTTAGTATAAGGGTTTTATATTTAGTGTTCTGTTCAAGTGTGTTCCCATGTTTGTTTTCTAAACCCTTTGTTGTTTTTTTTTCCCCAGCTGTGACTGACATTGATACCAGTGGCATTCATGCCCTCGAAGAGTTACACAGAAGTCTTCAAAAGAGAGATGTTCAGGTAAATAAATTAGCCCTGCTAAGCCTAAGATCCGCATACTCATCATTAATTGCATCGAAATCATTAAAAGCTTATGTACGAGGTGACAACAATTATCTTACGAAGTTTGAGTTTCTTGTGCTTGACAGCTTGTTCTAGCAAACCCCGGCCCAGTAGTGATAAACAAGCTTCACACCTCCAATTTTGCAAACCTGATCGGTGAGGACAAGATCTTCCTCACAGTTGCAGATGCTGTTTCATACTGTTCTTCAAGGCTGGCAGAAGAGCCTTGAAAATTTTGGTTATGAGATTGAGAGGTGCAGATGAATATGGTGTTTGTAAATAGGGTGGAAGTTGTGAACGATGGATGCATCAGCTAACTAGTCAGTATAAACAGATGGCATATGTGGCTCTGCCTATTTGGGATCCTTAATTGTCCTATGAAAGGGAAATACGAAAATACTGGGAGGTTCTTGTTGTGCACTCCAATAAGCTTGAATTTTTTTTGCCCCCCGTTAATATCTGCTAATATGATATGTCCACAGAGCTACTTCCCAGAATCCCAGTCTGAAGATTTTTCATTTCATGTTGAGGGAACTTCTCGAAAAATCAGTGGCCTTGCTGTGGCTATCTGCTGATGATGCCATTGTATTTCTGAGGCTATATCCTTCAGGAATGATAACTGCTTGCATTTATTAATGAAGCGTCTGATTTTTGCCGGGCAAGCTGTGAATCGTCGTTGTACCCCCAATCTTCTCTGCAGCTTTCGAAGCGAAAGTTCTGAATTGTAGATGCATGATTGCGCAGCACGGAAATGTGTGTGGACGGCTTTGTGTGTGCTGGGCTGCAAAAGATGTCTGATTCAAATTACAAGTATCCCTCACCTCATATTTGAATATTGAAAGAAAAGTGACATCATTAGCTAACAATTGGGTGAAAGTTCTTATCCGTTTCTACTGTTAACTTGTTCAAAGATGTTGGTCTTAAAGCACATGGAAAGTGAATGCAGTTCAGGGTTGGGGTTGTTCCAAGATTTATTTATGTATTTTCTTGAGATAAATTATCCAGGATTTACGGTTTCGTGATCATGGGTGTCTATACTCCTTTTGAGTGAGAAGTTTTCTAATATATACTTAATGATTTTAATGTTTTAATATAAAATATACGTTACTCCCTCCGTTCCTTATTATAAGAGACATTTGATGCTTATGGCATTTCTTATATATAAGAGACACTTAAAAGTTGTCTCTACTTTTTTGTGTTGATTTCCTATTTTATCCATATTTATTGTCTCCAACTCAACTCTCTCTCTCTATTCCCCTTCTCTTTCTTTCAAAATTCTCTTTCTTTCAATAATATAAGTTTTCTTTCATACTCTCTCTCCTTATTAATGAGGGCATTTTTGGAAAAGAAATTATATTTTTTACACATTGATTGTTCTTAACTAATTTTAACTGCTTTTTTGATCAACGTAATTCGGTTATTCGTCTCTTATAATAAGGAACGGAGGGAGTATTATTCTACAAATGCGAGAAGGCAACGTATTTCCCATTTTTCTTACTCGCTGTTGACTTTTTTCTTCGTATAAAATTGACAAGACTGATTACAGCTTTTTATTTAGAGGGTGTTTGGATAAAAACCAAACTATGATTTTAAAATATTTTTACGACACACGAAGTAAATATATAGAGAAGTTTATCTCAATATGCGAAAAAGTATTTTTAAAAAGCATTTTTGAGAATATCCAAACACCTCCTTAATTGCTTAGGTTTCACGTCCCAGGAAAACAAAAAAAAAAAATATCGCCGTATCAATACGAACATGACACAAACATGATCCATCAAATACGGTAAGCTTTAAAAATTTTAAGATAGAGCACGATATGTATGTATAATTATAATTAGACGCATATCAAAAAATTAAAATATAAAAATAAATAATATTAAAATTCAAGTATAAAATTGAATTTGGTTCACATCCAGGTTTTTCTTAAGTTATTGAATTGTCTTGGAACATTTAAAACGGGAAATTTAAATATGTGTTTAAAATAAAATGGCATGCATAAGCTAAAATACCTATCACACGTCAGATTGAATTACTTTTTTGAGAAATTATATGCATGTTTCACATAAAAAAATAATTCTTACAACTCTTAAGTATTAACTACTTGTGAATATAAAAGCTCAGTATATGAATATTAAAATTTGACACATAAATAAGACGAGAAAAATAATTATTTTATTTATTTGTGACATGTTTGTAATTATCCACTTTGTTGAATTGGACTTATATTTGTTATTTGATGCGCGCGCAAATTACTGGGTCAAGTTATAAAAACGGGAGAAGAAAGCACTGGGTATTGAATCTAAAAAAAAAGAAAGTACTGGGTAAAGTTACCCAAATCCAGATTACAAGGCCGAAAAAAGGAAATCCGGATTATAGGTGTTGGGCCTAGAACAGTCAATTGGGCCAGACAGGCAACAGATAAGCAGCGGGAAGTGCGGATAGATATCCGACGGGGCGGAGCCGCGCTCTGGAGCAGACTCGATGGCGCTCGAATACTTGCCTGCTGTCCGCCATTTCCTTCGTCGCGTGTGCTGGTTCTCTCAATCCCCTCGATCATACCCAGCCATAGCTCTACGGTTAAGCCCTTCTTTTTGTACTAACTGCCTTCTTTCCTCTAAATTAACAAGTCCCATCTCCAAAGTTTTGAAACCCCGCGCCACTTCTAAAGGTCTGGACTCCATTTCTCTTCGATATTTTCAATCTTCTTTACTTGCGCTTTTGTATTCGCGTTCTTGTTCTTTTTGTTTCTCACTTGCCTGATGCATGCTCAGAGAATTACACATTCTTTTCGAAGAAAGATGAGCGCTTGGCGGAACATGTTGGTGCTGCTCAGGATTTCAGCCGTCTTCAGAACATGAGCACAATTGCGGCCATTGTCACATCCTTGGGGGGTCCCTCTGGTGCCGTGGGAATCGTTCGACTTTCGGGGCCTTCTGCTGTGGCTGTTGCTACTCGAGTGTTTCGTCCTGCGAGGAAAAGGAAGAAGGGGACTTGGCAACCCACTAGCCATGTTGTGGAGTATGGAATGGTGCTCGATAAAGATGGCAATGTGATTGATGAGGTATGCAGAGTATCATCTATTCTTAGCCCGTGTTTGTCGGACGCTGTAGTGCGTGGACCTATTCGACTGCTCTCTCTGTTTACAGGTTTTAGTAGTACCTATGTTAGCCCCGAGGTCTTACACTCGTGAAGACGTGATTGAGCTTCAATGTCATGGGAGTGAAGTGTGTCTACGCCGCGTATTGAGAACTTGTCTGGAAGCGGGAGCTAGACTTGCTGAACCAGGTCATTTGCGCTTTTTGTCTCCGAATAGACACCATGGCGAACGTTCTTCTTTCATAACTTTTTCTTTAACCTCCAAATAGCCACCAGTTCAAAGTTTATTGCTGCTGAACTTATTCGTCACTGATAATGATATTTTTAAAAAACAGCCATCTGCACAGCGCTAGCATAAATTACTGTTCACAAGTTAACATGCAAGAATTCCTTGAATGACATTCCTTGATAGTTGACGGCCAATGCAAACGATCAAGAAGAAGAAAGAAAATAAATCATCATAAATTTATATGTAAAATTTTGTAAATTTATAAAAATTCGCATTATTTTGCAATTCATTTCATGCATCTATTCATAACAAAATTCCGCATTAGATCACATGCCAGGTAGACTGTTATATATGGTCAGTGATCTTATTATTGTGATCCGGAGCTTTTGTGTAATGGAAGTGACTTAATGCTGAAGTGTAGTAGAAGCCATAGGGGTTTGTCATCAATCTGTTGTTGGCTTCTAGGTTTTTATCATTTATCCTTGGAGGGAAAGGGAAAATAAAATGAGACCGAGTTATTCGCATATCTGAACATATAACATTTTGCATAAGGTTGCGGAGCACGGATGATGATGTTATTCTTGTTTGATGAAGCTTATTTTGTGGATTAATTAAAGGTAAATGATTTGTCTGGCAATCAATTTCCTTGCAAACATGAGGACCACCATAATGGTCACAAAGATACTTGCACAATACGTTCATGGATTGAATGATCCGGAATATTCACTGGTCTTTTCTTCTTTCAGGTGAATTTACTCTGCGTGCTTTCCTAAATGGTCGGTTAGATTTATCCCAAGCTGAAAATGTTGGAAGACTGATAACGGCCAAATCTGTTGCTACTGCTGATGCAGCACTGGCAGGAATCCAGGCATGTCTATTTCATAACTCAACTTTGTTTTGAAATTTAACTGCGGAAGTTATGTTTTTCTTGAACCTGGGGGCATCTGATGTTTGAATAATGTCATCTTATAGCTGATAAGCAGAACTAAATCCATAATCTCTTGGACAGGGTGGTTTCTCTTCTCTCGTCAGGTCTCTGAGAATACAGTGCATTGAACTGCTTACTGAGATTGAAGCTCGTTTAGATTTTGATGATGAGATGCCACCTCTAGATTTAAATTTATTAATGGACAAAATATGTACCATGTCACAAGATGTACGGGATGCACTGGAGACAGCCAATTATGACAAGCTTCTTCAATCTGGATTACAGGCATGATCTGGAAGACAGCTTTGTAACTAATGTTTGCTTCTTGTTTGTACTAAAGGGGTTTTTGTTCTCCCATATTATTCCACATAATACAATGTATGATATAATCACTGATATTATAAAATTCTTGCAGATAGCAATTGTTGGTCGTCCAAATGTTGGCAAGTCAAGCCTTCTTAATGCATGGAGCAAAGTATGTTACAAAGTTTTATCCTTTCCATGAAAATAAATTTAACCTGCTGTTATTAGATGAATTAATGCTATGATGTCAATGTTGGTATAAAGAGATTTATATTATTGTGCTCATATTCTCTTGCATTTATAATTTTCTGTCAATATGTTTCCAATTAATGCTTTGTGATCTTCACACTTTATTCAGCTCTGTTTGTCGGTGAATGACCCCCGCTCTCTACTAAAAATGAAAACTAAAGAATGAGAAAACAGAGAAAATAGAATATGATTTCATGATTATGTGGTGATTAGTAGCCTGCCGTGCTTGAACTCACATTACTAACAAGGGAGAGTGATTTTAGCGTGATGTTGTTGTAGTATACAGAGTGAGAGGGCTATAGTTACTGAAGTTGCTGGAACCACCCGGGATGTGATTGAAGCAAGTGTCACCATCAATGGTATTCCTATAACCTTGCTTGATACTGCAGGAATCAGGGATACTGATGACATTGTAGAAAGGATTGGTCAGTTGCTCTCTTTCCTCCTTTTAGTTAAAGGAAAATGTTTCAAATGTAATTGTATAGCATCTATAGTTGAATTCAAATGATTCATTGTGATCTGGTTTTTAAAACTTATTTTGTGTCTTTTGCAATCACATTTTTAAGCTAAATTGGTATAGCTTGCATGGATTATCTAGGATATTTATTATGATTAATTAGTTAATGATGGGTACTCGAATGAGATGAGAACCCTCCCCAAAAGCTAGCTATTGATGTGGGCATACCAACCTACTTAACCACCCCAAAGAGCATCCCATGCTCCTCAATGCGGGACTTAGACATCCCACTACATTTGGTCTCCATCGATTGGCCCTCTGGAATGTTGATGTCCTGGCAATTGCATTCTGCTTGTCATTTGGGGATACTGCATCTGACTTTCTGGCTGGTCGAAACCCTCTACTCTTCAGAACTCTCCATTTTAACCCTTTTTGGAGCCGTTATGCATTAATACTAGTTGATGGGTACTCAAGTGGGATGGGAGATTCTCTCCAAAAGCTAGTTATGAAGGTGAGAAAATCAATCCATTTAACTACCTCTAAGAGCATTCTATAGTATTCAAGGTGAGGCTGAGGCATCTCATGCTCTCTATGGTATCCATCAGTTAATTAGTTAATATTAGTTGGACATTGAGAATCTGCCCTATTTGACTTGTCTCTTTATATGCATGTTACTGGTTTGCTCGATTCTTTTGTCTCATTGTCAAAGTTCAATGGCCAGTATGTATTGAGATCTATATTTTTGTTCTCTTAATAGGCGTAGAGAGATCTGAAGCAGTTGCTATGGGAGCTGATTTGATTATCATGACTGTCAGTGCTGTTGAAGGGTGGACTTTGGAAGACACCAAACTTCTAGAAAGGATTCAATCTACTAAGGTATCACATCATGGTAACATGCTTCAGTTTTCTTTCTCCCATTAATTTTAGTATGATCTAGATTTATTCGATGCACATCGATGATAGATCTAAAGTGCTAATGTAAGTTTAATAAAGGGTGTAGAGGCAGCGTTGAATGAGAATACCATCAATAAAATATCTCCTTATACATGTAATATCAGGTGATTGTGACATAAACACCAGTCCGCTTAAAATATATAATAATTTAGCCTCGATACTCAGCTTGATAATTGGTACCTAAGAATAATTCTTGTATTTTTATGCTCTACCATGCTTTTGGAAAAGAGAAGGCATTAATTTCCACTGTTGTCAAATCTTCTTCTAACAACAGAGATCAATGGGATCTTCCACCCCTGCAATTCTTGTTGTGAACAAGATAGATTGTGCTTCTGGTGCTGAGACTGGATGGGCCGAAGTATTTTCCAATTTTTTCAGTAAACATGTGTTTACTTGTGCTGTGACTGGCGAAGGATTACAGGAGTTAGAGAGGGTTGTGCTGGAGATAATGGGTCTGAACGGCATTCCCACTGGGGGACGTAAATGGACGGTTAACCAGGTAATCTATCACTTAGCCTTGTCTCTTCGTCTCTCATCATGTTATTGCTTCACAACTGTCATACTTCTGAAAGGGAACCGAAAAACTTGAGATTTAGGCTACTAGGATCATTCATATATACACACACTCACACTTTCTTGTTCTAAATATAAGAGTTAGATAATTAATATAAGAAAATTAGTTAATTAAAAGTTTCCCTATAATACCCCTTTTAATAATTTATAGAGCAAACTAACATTATTACCTACGCACATTGTTCTGTGCAACCAATGGAGATAGCGCTTTTTTTTTTTTTTTGGGGAAGGGGGCATAATATAAGAGATAAAATAGATTAAGATCTTATATTTAAAATTAAAGCAAATTCCTTTACTAGTTCCTACATTTGGGACAAGAGGATCCATGTAGCAACATTATGTTTCAACCAGTAGTATTGAGGGTGTTATGTTGTTCATTGTTATGCTTTGATTCTGGGTCTTGGGAACCTAGTATGCTTTCAAGCTGGAGAGAAAGGAATCCAATTTACCCTGTCGTCACTAGTAGGGTCATCCAACCGTTGAGCCGAAGTAATTTTACCTTGTTCTAGTCTTTACTGACTTGTGCTAATGAAACGACGGGGTAAAAACAGAAAGAAAAAAAAATTGTCTTTTGATTGTGATAATGTAGTTATGTATTTTCAGAGACAATGCGAACAACTTGTTCGTACGAAGGAAGCTTTTGAAAGACTAAAAGCGTCGATAGAGGAGAAACTACCTCTGGATTTTTGGACAATTGATTTAAGGGATGCAGCGTTGGCGCTTGGGCAGATCAGTGGAGAAGATATATCCGAAGAGGTTTTATCTAACATATTTGGGAAGTTCTGTATTGGTAAATAGAAGTCTACCCCAGGATTTTTGGAAAATTGATTTGAGGGATGCAGCGTTGGCGCTTGGGCAGATCAGCGGAGAAGATATATCCGAAAAGGTTTTATCTAACATATTTGGCAAGTTCTGTATTGGTAAATAGAGGTCTTAGAAATCGATTATGCCCGTCAGATTTTTTCGGACTCTTCTTTTGGATCATATGCAAGCTTCATCTTGGTCACTACGCCAAAGAATTTAATTTAACTGCCGGTGGCCTAATGCCCTGATGGCACATGCATCTCCATAGAAGAAGGGAGGTTGCAAGTTTTGTTGGCAGGGACACCTCTCTTGAGTTTGTCGTATATGAAATGTGTTTCGTCCTATACTGGGGAGGGCGTGTTCAAATTACCCCTTGAAAAAATACTTAACCTAACCCGAGATACAATTCCGGGGAAAGATGATTTGAATCCTTTAACATTATAACTAACTTTTATAGTTCATTTCAACTCAGCAAGTCCTTCTGCTTACAATTTGCGTGTCCGTGGACCAACACGGATGCTCTGGAAAAAGATTCAAACCAGCAAATCCTTCATTTGCCTCTACTTTTTCCTTCGTCGTTCTTTTTTTCTTTTTAACAAATTTAAAAAAGATTTAAACATTAATTTACTTCTATTTAATATACATATTTAAAAGAATAACAATTCCACGATAATAAATTAAGGTACATTCATATGATGTGACTTGTAAAAAATATTTTCTTCCCGATGTGAGGAGCAAGCTAGGTTTTAATTCATAACCTTTAGCGCGATGTTTGTTAAAGCACAAATAGAACTAGAATCCAGCGGGATGTCGGTCAAAGTCCTTCAGAAAGCTTGGTGGCTCACTTCGAATGCATGGCGCATTGAGCTATTTAGAACTAGCTCTCGAGTCGAGAGTTGGATTTATTTGGACCATGAAGTCGAGAGTTGGATTTGAGTAGCAATCCGAAATGGTTTTCAGTGGGCGGAGGGGGTTGAACTTAGGGCTCAATTTCACTATGCTAACCTTTAAAGGCCTTCCCAGTATTCCACCCATAGCCAAGCTCCTCCTTTCCCTCTCCTCTTCAAGTGACCGGTTCGGCTATTTCAATTTCCACCTAAACTCAGGCTCCTACATGTCATGTTGACATTTTATGATACTAACATTTTTCAATTCAACGGCTAGTTTTACTTTTAAAACACCTCTTTAAGAAAATATTTTGCTTCATTATAATTATAAATTAAATATGAAAATATAAAGTTCATTTGTTACATTTATGACTAGGCGGCATGGATTCAAAAATTACGTAGTATAGCAGTAGTCCATTATTACATTTGGACATTCTATAGAGATGGATGTATAAATTAGACTTTGGGTCACCCGCCCAAAATTTGGATTGCCAAACGGGAAAAACCTACCAGGAAAAATCGCTGGGCAAATAATCCGCAGTGGATGCCCAAAATTTTGGATGCATAAACAATCATGTTACGAATTATAACATTTATTCAGATACAGGAAAAAAAAAATCATACAGTCAGCATCTAGAGAAACGGAACCTGCCCATGCTGGTTGTGATCCTGTCAATGCAGAAATTATACTTTATCTACCATTAACATGAGTTACACTCTGAATCGCATGGTTCCACTAAGATCACCTTGGCCCAATAAAGGTGAGATTCACGACTTAATTTAACCATTACAGAGGCAGGAAAATTAATGAACAAATAACAAGAGCATTTATTGTATTGCGTACACTGTTGAAGCGCAAGCCATCTAGCTTAGTACCTTCCGGAGCTCATCAATCAATTTCGCCCGGTTTGATGTTTCCAGCTGCATGAGATTTAGACATTCACTTTTAGGATGCAATAGTCAAAGCAAGGTACCAAATAAATTAGGGGGCAAAAGAAAGAGACATGACAAGTAGAGATAGTGTTTACCTTGCTTAAAAGAGCAGCAAGACCGTGAGGTAAAGCTTCCAAATCCAAAACTGAATCGCCAATATTTGTCAGTTGAAGCAGCACCTTTTGGGCACGCAATTCCTTTAATTTATCCTCGTAATTCTGCCGTTCATCCTTCCATCTGAAGAAAGCCTCATCATCCAACCAGGCATCATCTCTCCCTTTGGCCATATCAGAACTCAAGTACCAATTTTTGATCGACTCCATTGCAGATATATAAGACATAGAGCCACCAGCAGCGTCTCTGACACTGTTGATCAGCGAGTGCTCACCAATTCTCCTGCGCAGTCTTCGGTACAGGAAAAAGCGGGAGTTATGCCAGTCCAGAACTTCTCTTATTACACCCTTTGCAGCCATTCTTAATGAGGTATCATGTAATTCAGCAAATTTTGTGGCTATCTGCGTATACACAGGCAAAAGCTGTTTCTCCCGGGATTTAATCTGCTGCTGGAGGGAATCAACGGTCCCAATAGCCCTATTACTCTTGGCTTCCTGTAATTTTGCTTTCAGGTTTATCAGCTGCTGGTCAAGTCTACCCATGCATTCCAATAATTCCTTTGTCCTAAATTTGATCTCTATCATCCCTTCAGGCTCAAGGACATTCCCTTTAGCTGTGCGATCAGCATACATTTCGATGTGGTCTGAATTAATTCGGCTGTCTACAACAACCCATGCCCCACCACGGAGTTCACCCATCATTGGGATATATACAAATACGGGCTGCTTGTATGTTCTTAGGTTCTCCACAATGGTTGATCCAGCTTGAAGAATTCCTTCAAAAAGGTCCCTCTGCCCACCTGAAAAGCCTCTCCAATTTGCAAGGATGAAAAGTGGGAGCTCTTCTCTGTTGAAATCTAGTATTGATTGGGCTGTCTTAGTTGCAGAATCAGGAAACCAAACCTGCCCAGCCTGAGGAACCACCCTTTCATGAGAATCAAGCTGACCTGGATCAGCTGGTATAACTTGCATCACTGTCTGCGTCTCAACAGCAACAATTCCCACAGGGATTCCTCCAAGCTTTGCCCTTCCTGTAACAACTGTCCTGGCCCATCCATCTAGTGTCTCCACAAAGCTTTCCTTGTCAAAAATTCCGCCCATCCATTTTCCATTACTATCCACAGAACCACAGATGGCAGCACGAGGATCACACGAGTTCTCTGGGAAATACTCCACTGGTCTCTCTGGAGGATCATTGGGTTGCACAATGGGCAGTGTGCCGCCTACATGAGAAGGAATGTAGCTCAGCCACCTCAAAATAGCAGAAACACCTTCAAGATCATCTGAAACAGTAAGATGAACTACTCCATTTGTTGCCATGATCTTGGGCCCACCAAGTTGCATGTGAGAACTGTATACCTCCCGACCAAGGAGTTTGTTCAATGCAGAAAAACCAGTGAGAATAATAGGCTGATCAAGCCTCTGTATGCACCTCATTCCCAGCCTAGCAAGATAAGCTCCTATTCCCACTGTTCTCCCAGTCACGTATGTCAAGGTGAAAGTTTCCTTATATGCCCTTGAATAGGCACTAGCAATAGCTCCACTGCCACTTAGGTTTTCAACCCCTAGACCATCCTCTTTCCCAACAATACTATCAATTATCCACCTGGTTTCTCCGCTTTCCAGTTTTAACTCGTGTGCTATCACTGATGATCCAATCCTAGCATAATCTTCTGGTGTTAAATATACATACTGCAAACCATGCTCAGGGTTATATTCATCAGACCAACCAACTTTGAAACAAGCTTTGACTTCCTCAGCTACACCTAAACGGGCGCCGGAATTTGCTGCTAGGTAAATCAGTGGCAATTTTCTCCTACACGCAAGATCAGTAACTGCATGAAAGAACGCATCCTCTCTTGGGCCAAAAGAACCAGCCTTAAAGGTCACGTCATTTGCTACAACTAAGATTGTCCTTCCATTTGGGAACTCCGGAGTACGCATTTCCATTAACCAGGCTACCATGCCCACATCGTTGAGCCCAGCAGAACGCTCCACCTGAACAAGAGGAGTACCCCAATTGCCCTCCTTGTCAGCAAACTTTAGCTCTGTTACTTTTAGAACTTTATCTTCAGCCTTTTGAAATCCTGGGCATTGGTTTGTCCATGATTGCTCCAAAGCTGTTTCAAATGCCTGCAAGTAACACGTCTCCTCAGGAAAATTGTTTGGCTTGTCTCCAAGAAATGGTCATTAACAAGGAGAAATCACACACAAATGCAGAAGAAAGTTAAATTTGGAGTCACAAGTCGACTTGCCAGAGGAAAATCATAACAGTATGTGGTGTTGTTCTTCCTTGCTACAAGACGTTTTCGGTCAATAGAACCCAAAGGTTGATAGTTTTCATTCACTGGTACACCATGCAGAGGTCCATTTACAGTGACTGAACCGTATATCACTTTGTGTGTGCTCGTATCCTCCAGTTCTCGGTATATCTGCAAATATATTAATCCACAATCAAATCATGATTTATGAAGATACCAATGATTATTTATGACAGTCGCATTAAATGCTTATTGGTAGAATTCTGCCGAATATACATAAAATGCTCCTTATTGATTATTCAATGACCAGTATTCGTGTGTGTGTCTCTATTGGGTTTATACCGTACTGCAGATTGTTGATATGATGTGGAGGATAATAACTAGTCTTCTTTTAGAAAGCAGCCTTTAACTAGCTGTCAGTCAAAAAGTTGCCGTTTGTCATTTTTTTTCCCCCCAATGAGTGAAAACTTACATGTACTGTGCATGTATGGCCAGTCACATTAGTTACAATAATCCTCCAAGCACCATTTGCTGATCCAGAAGATGCCATCCAGAGTTTGACTTCCCACTCAGCAACACCTAGTCTATGCATTCTTACACCAACAAAAGAATGGATTTCACGTGACAGTTCTTCCAAGATAGCCTCAACTGCTGTTTCTTCTTGGTCAACATTTATCTCAATTCTCCTGGCAATAAAATCCCAAATTTCAGACACTGATCAAAGGTTAGAAGAAAAAATGTATCTACAAGTTTCCAATGATTACTTTGTGCGAGGCAAAAGATCACTAATTTGTTGCTCGCGTATGATATAGAGGTACATATGAGCATGTTCAGGTCTGACAGTGGCATTGTGTGAATTAAGCTCCAGCTCCTCCATTGCAGCCATCAAGGACCTCAAAATGCTCCTTGAAGTAAAAGGCATAGTCAATTGGGCACGAGATTTTTCTGCATCTAGCCCTTGATATGAAGAGAATCCATCATTTGTAACTGGTTGCCTTACAAGTGTTCGGAGAAACATTCTTTGAACCGGTTGAGGCTTATGATCTAGAACTGTGTACAAGTGCCACTGACGATCTCGGGATGGAGTATACCGTATATTATCATAGCCTTTAAGTTTGTCCTGTATCCAGATAGAATTCAATAGAGTCTAAGACCAAGCGCACAAGACAGTTTTGTTTCTCTCAATTCTATTAAAACATTACAGGCAATTAAATTCACAAAATAACTGACC